GTGATGCCCAATGGTAAGAGCAATCTGACTTCTAATCTATTGAATACTGTTGTACAGTCTTCAGCACCTATCACCTGGTAAGATGAATGCATTACATACCTGTTGTACAGTCTTCAGCACCTATCACCTGGTAAGATGAATGCATTACATACCTGTTGTACAGTCTCCAGCACCTATCACCTGGTAAGATGAAAGAGCATGAGAAAGCACAACAGGCTCCAAGAGAAAAAGGTGAGTCTCCACACACCAGGGGATGTTCGATGCTCATGCCTTACAGATCCCCATTGCCTAACCTGCGAGACCGTCCTGCCTCGCCCCCTACTCGTCGCCGACGCTACCAATCGCCCCCTCGACGCCCAGAATTCCAGGCTCTCGATGCTCCTCGAGTAAATGATGTCGATCCCGGCCGCTGTCAGGCTAGAGAACAAGTATTGCTGGAGAAGGAAATCAACCGGAAACTTGGCAAACCCAATGACGATGGCACGGTTGCGACCAGATTCAATGCCGATGATGCTGCCAAGGCAGATTCTGCCAAACCTTTGGGCTCTAGAAGTGGTGGTGCCTACATCCTCCCAGCGAGGCTGAGGGCAATGCAAGCAGAGGCGGCAAAGGACAAGAAGAGTGCAGAATACCAGCGAATGAGTTGGGATGCGCTGAAGAAGAGTATCAACGGTCTTATCAACAAGGTCAACGTTGCCAACATCAAGCATGTGGTTCCCGAACTCTTTGGGGAAAATCTCATCCGGGGCAAAGGTCTTTTCGCGAGGTCTATCATGAGAGCCCAGGCTTCGTCTTTGCCATTCACCCCTGTCTTTGCGGCTCTGGTATCCATCATCAATACTAAGCTGCCCCAGGTCGGCGAACTTGTCTTGATCAGGCTGATCAGTCAGTTCCGACGAGCCTACAAGCGAAATGACAAGGTACGTACTTGTATATTCACGTTTCTGGCTTCCACCGCTGACTTTTCTTCAGCTTGTTTGCCACGCCACCTCCACCTTCATCGCCCACCTCTGCAACCAATACGTCGCTCACGAGGTTGTCGCTCTCCAAATTCTCCTTCTCTGCCTCGACCGCCCCACCGATGATTCAATAGAGATCGCCGTAGGCTTCATGCGCGAGGTCGGCCTCTTTCTTTCGGAAGTGTCGCCCAAAGCCAACAACACCGTCTTTGAGAGATTCAGGGCGGTCTTGCATGAGGGCGAGATCAGCAAGAGGTGTCAGTATATGATTGAAGTGTTGTTCCAGGTCAGGAAAGACAAGTTCATGGACAACCCTTCGGTGCCTGAGGGTCTGGATCTGGTTGAAGAGGATGAGCAGATTACGCACAAGATTACGCTGGACGATGAGCTCAAGGTGCTCGAGAGTCTGAGTGAGTATGACACTTCTGCGTGGAGGACGGCATTGACATTTTTGCAGATTTGTTCAAAGCCGACCCCAACTTTCTCCAGAATGAGGAGCGTTACGCCGAAATCAATCGTTAAATCTTGGGCGTGAAGAGTCTAGCGAGTCTGGTGGCCACGATTCGGGCTCAGAGGAAGATGATGAAGACGATGTCGCGCCGGAGAAGCAGGGTATTCAGGATATGACCGAGACCAACTTGATCAACCTCCGAAGGACGATCTATCTGACCATCATGAACTCGGTACGCTCTTTCTCAATCTAGAGGTATCTCGCTGACATCCATCAGCTCAACTACGAAGAAGCTGTCCACAAGCTCATGAAGATCAACATTCCTGAAGGGCGCGAAATCGAGCTGGGCAGCATGATTGTCGAGTGTTGCTCTCAAGAGCGAGCCTACTCGAACTTTTACGGTCTTATCGGCGAGAGATTCTGCAAGCTGAACCGAGTCTGGACTGACAACTTCCAAGAGGCGTTTGAAAAGTACTACGACACCATCCATCGATACGAGACCAACAAGCTGCGAAACATCGCTCGATTCTTCGGGCATCTGCTGGCATCGGACGCCATCTCATGGGCCGTCTTGCAAGTCGTGCGTATGAACGAGGACGAGACCACCTCTTCCAGCCGTATCTTTGACAGAATCATGCTGCAGGAGATGGTAGAGGAGCTCGGTGTCAACAAGGTCGCCGAGAGGTTCCGTATCCCCGACTTCCGCCCCGCTTTTGCCGGCATGTTTCCGATGGACAATCCCAAAAACACTCAATTCTCCATCAACTACTTTACGTCCATCGGTATGGGCATGGTCACCGAAGATATGCGCGAGTATCTCCAGAACGCGCCCAAGCTGCTTGCTCCCCAGCACGCGGCTATGGCCGCAGAGGAGTCTTCGGACTCGAGCTCTTCATCCGACAGCTCCGACTCAGAATCTAATTCGGCCTCTGACTCTTCTTCGTCGAGAGCGTGACCGCCACATGTCATTTACCAACGCCACACTCTCAGCTTCACAGCGATACCCTCTCTCCCGTTCCGTCTCCGTTCATGTCCATAAAACTTGACCGTTGTAACTTGACCGTTGCTGTCCATAGAACTTGATGCATGTCGGAAACCCAGGAGCTCCTCTTCTTGATTTCCTTATCAAAAAGAACCTCCTGGCTATCCTTATTATTCTCTGACCTCCTAGCCGTTCATCATTTGTATTGAGACGAGTGCTCGAGGCGGGATGGAGCGAAGAAGACAGCCTCTGTCCAGTCCCACCGTAGCTGGCCATGCCGGCCTGGGGGACAGTGCATCTCGGCATCCAAAGTTATTATTCTGAACCGTGCCGAGCTGCCGAGCAGACTGCCACTCTGCCGTTGGGTGACTTGTTGATTCAGTGGGCACATACATCAACAATGTATAGACGAATGCCCTCGTGGCGGCTCACATAAATCACATACTTCATAATCTTGTCCCCTTCATAAACACATCTAGATATCCGGGATCTCATCAAGTTCTTCCTCCCCATCTCCACCCCCATCCTTCTCTTCATCAAGCTTGCTCTCTTCTTTACGATCCTCATCGAACCCTCCCACAACTCTCGCACCATCCTGCTCTCCATCCTCAACCCCAACATCGACCTCCCCGTCCTTCTCGCCCAATTCTTCATGCCCATCTCCAACTATCTTGGTCGGCGAGACATCATCCGCTTCTGGCGACGAGGTAGGAGGAGTAGGTGCACTGGTGGACGAATTCATGGCAGGGGATGATGGTGTGGGAGATGGAGATACTGGGCGCTTGTCTTCCTGCCTGTCGCTAGAGTTGCTGGCCGGAGCTCGTCCTTCCTCCTCCTTCTTCCCCGGCTTCCTTCCATCCCTATCCCCATTCTCATCACTTGTCTTCCTCTCCCTAGCAGCCGCCAACCCCAATCTCGGCTTGGCCACCATCCTCCCCGGCGCCTGCGGAGCCTTCGGCTTGTCCGCACTTTCCCCTCTCGCCGTCTTCGAATCAGAAGCAGAATCAGAAGCAGAAGCAGAAGCAGAAGCAGAAGCAGAAGCAGAGGTCGACGGGGAAGGTCTCGTAGCCGAAGACTTGGCGGCAGATGTGCCGTCTTTGGGAGAGGGACCAGAAGGGGGATGGGGATTGCCGTTGGACACTCTCGGCCTCGCCTTTGCCGGAGGAGACTTGACTTTCGAAGGAGGCGACGCACCAGCAGCATTCACAGCATTCGCAGCCGCCCTCGCCCTGCTCGCCGCCGTCCCCTGCATCAACCTCGACCCCGAGCTACTCCCCACCGAGCTCTTCTTCTCCCTCTCCTCCTGCCCCTCCGGCGACTTGACAGCACCACCAGCCGGACGATCGGAAGCGCTCGTCCTCGGCCTCACCGCCGCCCCACTCGAACGCCCAAGAGAACTCCTAGGCGACTTGGCCCCCTCCCTCGACCCCACCGAGCTCTTCCTCCCCTCCACTCCCGCGCCCATCGCCGAAGCCGCCCTCGTCGGCGGAGACCTGGCCTTGGCCAAGAAGCTCGCCGTAGGCTTGGACGGCGTGCCCGTAAGCTGAGGGTTGAGCGGCGCCGGGCTCGTCGATTTGTCTCGAGGCTTTTGCGGGGGCGAAAGAAGATGAGAAGCAGGGGAAGAGACAGTGCGTGATGTAGCTCCCGTATGAGATGGCGTGAGGCGTTTGGTAGAAGTGGAGGGTTGTTTGACGCTTTGGCTGCGTCCGAGGGCTCCTCGGGCGGACGGTTTGTTCGATGAAGTCGACTGGGCATGGGCAGGAGCGGGCGACGAGGAGGGGGTAGAATTACGAGGGCGGGTGGGTTTCTCGTTAGTGGAGGGGGAGGGGGAAGGGATGGTCGTTCCTTTCTCGGCAGGTTTGGCAGGCGAAGGTACTGGTACTTTCGCTGGACTTGGCGCTGGAGCGACCGAAGCACCACCAGGCGACTCTTCCCTCTCCCCCTGCTCCCCACCCGGACTCCCAGCAACCTGGCCCCCCTCCTCACCCTTCCTCCCAAAACCCCCCAAACCCCCCAGCCCTCCTCCCGTCATCCCCGAGACACCCCCCGCCCCACCTGCGGCGGAGAGAATAGGACTCGTAAGGCCAGCAGTCGCGGTGGGGCCAAGGCTCGTTCGGCGGGATGTATCGCGGGTGGCGGCTTCTTGGTCGCGATTGGCGGCGGTTTGGAAGCGAGCGACAAGGGCGGAGACCTGTACGGTATATCAGCATGGGTTCTTATGCGATCAGAGCCAGTATGAAGGGGATCATGAGGCGAGGAAGGGGGGGAGGTCAAAGGGCGAGGTACTCACGCTTCCTTGAGATCGTTCAACGGGTAACGGCCTGTAACCGGAGTATCAGCTACTGCTCATGATCACCAATGAGTCAGAAACTTACATGATAGTGTTTAGAATGTAGAGACTCCCTAGTTATCGTCCAGACACGGATCTTCTGAGGATGAGAACGCGTTCGGGGTCTGCGTAGGCGATGTGTATAGGGATAGGGGCGATGCCTATCTCGGTCGTCAGCATCTCCTCGGTTCCAAACTTTCACAGCTACCCACAGAAGGTAAGGACCGAGACTTGTATCGCAGATCTCAATACTCCTCCAAATGAGTTACTCGTAAAGCACCAATCCTCGTGAAACGTCGTATATCAAGCAAAGCCTTGAGAGTCGTCTGGAATCGTGGGTGTAGCCGTGAGAGATCTAGCGTGATCTAGTGATCTAGCAGGATGATAGCAAGACGATCGATAGCGCACGGGGGTAGTCGGAAGGGGAGTGGGAGTCGCGTATCCAGCACGTATCGAGTCGTCAGAACGTGGTCGTTACTGTACCGTCAGAGCCGTCGTACGCTCCTCTAGAGGCCGTGTCGAAAGTTAGAACAAAAGAAATATATGTCAAAAGAGGGAATCGGGGTGGAGACGAAAAAGAAAGACAAGGTGCGGCGAGAGTCCGAACTCCGTCGTCCGCGCTCGACCGCTGCCTGGATACGGCCTTGACTCCTTGCAAGAAAAGTACACCAAACGTCAAAGCCAAGTCATGAGATTCATGCACAAGTCGGTATAGTGTCCACTCAGGTCGTCACGAATGCTAGTCATATAATAAAAGCAAGCGATAGCTACAGTAGATCTCCTCCCCATCTTTCATCGTCTCGTCACATCATTAACTCGTCAAACTGCCTAGACCATACCGGCTCCAACAACAGCGCCAACGACACCAACGGCACCAACAACCATACCCCATCCGACCTGAGTGTTCACGCCAGCGGCGGAAGAGGCGGCAGAGGAGGAAGAGGAAGATGAAGAGTCGGTGGAGGAGCCGGTAGCGGAAGCGTCGGAAGCCGCGCCAGAGTTGGCGACGGTACCGGAAGCGGAAGAAGAGACGGTGGTGGAGCCGTAGCCGGCAAGGGTAGAGGACTCGACGGCGGTGGTGGAAGAGGGCTACTCTACGTTAGCTCGGACCAAAAGCAGTGACGAAAGAGGACGTACAGAGACAGTAGCAACACCGTTCTCGACCTGGAAGTAGTTGGCGGTCACGATGCTTCCGAGATTGGAGGAAGAAACATAGTCGGAGAGGGAGAACTGGCCGAGGGCGGTGCCAGGGGTGGAGAGGTCGTCGGGGGCGGTAAAGTCGGAGGGCTGCTCGTAGATGATGATAACGTATCGGTGGGCACCGGATCCAGCGTCGGGGCCAGGACCAGCGTAGTCGGTGCTATAATACGCATCAGCACACATTCAAGATGATCGAAACAAGCCCCCCCCAACGTCACGTCGAACGATCGAGAAAACTCACATAGAAGTGGATCCAGTCCAGTTCACCGCCTGAGATCCAGAGCTTCCGCTCTCGATACCGGCAGAGTTGACGAGCCAGTGTCGGGTCTGTTGAGTGGAGGACTCGTCGGTGCCGACAATGTCCGCGTCGACCATGACGACGGTGTAGAGCTACGCAGCGTTAGCTCGGGGACAAGATGACCGAGGAAAGAGGGGAGAGTAAAACTCACGGCGGACGAGTCGAGAGTGGCGTTGGACGCAGGGGACACGGCGAGGGTGGGGGAAGAAGAAACGTCTGGACAAAGGGTCAGATTGGGTGCTAAGACACGCGGGGAGAGAGGAACATACCATCGGCGGTCAAGTTCTGGCCGGTAGTGATGGCCTGGCCGGCAAACTCGACGCTCAGAATGCCCTCAGGCGTGAAGGTCTCGAGGAGTCCGGGGACGATTTGAGCCTCTGCCAAGAAGTGAGCTTTGGGCGACGTGGAAAAAAAGGGGACTGACGCTGAAAGTTGGCCTCAAGACCCTCGATGTCGACGTCGGAGGCGGTGCCGTTGCTGGTGCCCTGAGCGAGGACGGGGAGGAGGAAGGCAAGGGCGGGGATGAAGGCGAGCATGGTGAATGAGTGTGGGTAGTTGGTGTGTTTTGGAAAGAAAGATGAAGAGAAAAGAAAGAGGAGAAAGGAAAGGGCGAGACAAACAGGGCGATGCACTTGCCAAACACGCTAGACCACGCGTCATCACGTAAACACCCTGGGACCTCAGATCGATCTAGCGGGACTCACCGCTCTGTTCGTCCACCGTCAAGCTGCGTCTGGCTGCGAGTCAGGACCTTGGCCATCCGCGGTAGATAAGAGGGTGTGGTGCAGATAACATGGTCTTGTGCATGGGGTGACTTGAAATATATGTGGGAGAGGTAAATGACGAGGCGGGGGTCAAGTTTGCGGACGAGCGTTACAGACCGTTACATTCGCGTCGTCGTTCAACATGTTTGGCATGCAATGGTCTTCGGCAAAGCTCTTGATATGCAAGAGGACTTGGAAATACCATGGGAAATACGTTCGCCCTCCTTCAATGTCGATATGCACGACTGCGATCCGAGCCAGTCACAAAATCAGCTTCGCGTAACACGGGGTACGTTTTCGCCAGAGCCGGCATGGATAGGAGGCCTTGAAGTTCATGGATATGGAGAGGTCGATGTTGTATGCGAGGGATGCGGGATGGGAGCACGGTCAAGATGAGACGAGTGAGTATCAATGTGAGTGACATGCTGTTCTTGGTAGTTGGCGATACGATAGGCTTCCGACTAGACAGAAAGATGATGCACTGGGGGAGCGGTTTGACAGCTGATGCGGCAATCGGCTCTGTTCCGTCCAGTCACAGTACAGTAGTATGACACAATGGTACGACGAGGTACTCGTGGGCTTAGAAAGGGCAGACAAGCTTGGATGCTGGGGACTGATGAAGACTGTAAGGGGTGAGGGAGAAGAAGATCAAGTTTTTGTACTGTGAAGAAAGGACCAAAATGGAGGATTTATTCCCCTTTTCATATATGTACGGGTTTCAGGGTCAAGTGGAATCTAAGCTTGTCAGTCAATGACAGTCGAAGACAGTCGGCTACAGTGTCTAGCATGTGGGTTGTGCGATGACTGTGGCTTCTGCTGAACTCTCGGTGAAAGGCTCTACGCTCAGGCGCCCGAAGGCCGACAGCGACGACAGAAGCCAACGCGAATTGGATTTTCTAATCTATCACACAACATGCCCTTTTACGGCAAGCTGATTGTATGCAGCTAGGGGGATAATCGATCAACAGCTAGATACATGCATCTACGGTAGCCCTCTTATGAGTCAGAGAACCAGGCGGGTTCGCAGATTAAGATACTGAGCAGATCAAGCCTTGGTCGTCTTGGTGTGGTCAGTGACGAGAGTCTGCCCATCAACAGTATCGTTGTCGAATGGGATAGCCGATCCGTCCTCCTCGGAGTGATTGCTGCTGGGGAGATCATCCTCGGAGCCATGTGCGATTTCCATGCCCTCGGATTCGGCGACAAGCTGAGGGGTACTCCAATCACACAGCCCATCATCGTTGAACCCTTCCCTCTCGAACACTTGGCGGAAAAGCCCGCGGCAATAGCCATAATCGGGTTCTTGGGCAAATTGAAGTGATCGACAGTAAGTGATGTATGTGATAATCTCCTCCGGAAGGTCTTTGCACAGCTCTTGCAGAGCAGTGATCGCTTCTGAGAACGATATCAGCCTGCTGATCCTTTTGGGCAAAGCGATCTACGTACTACCACCCCTCACTGCGCTTGAGCTGTATTCACATAACCAGGGCAATTTGCCCTTAAGAAGGTACTACATCCAAGCCGTCAGTTCAAACAGCATTCTACATGCGAGATAAACTCACGATAGCCAGGAAACCAGCGGATTCCATATCATCTCGCCTCACAGGCTCGTATCCTTTGTGAATGGCCAACGAAATCCAAAATGTGTTGCCCACGTTGTCTCCATAGTCTCGTATGTGGACTCCGTCCTTGATGTACTTTTTAGAGAGGTCAAAGTCGATCATATACACCTTATTCTCTGTTTTGCTCCCTTTGAGGCCAATGCAGAAGTTGTCGGGTTTGATACCACGGTGGACAATGTGTCGTCCATGTAAAGCTTGAATGCGGGTGATGACTTGATCCATGATCTGAAGAGTCGTCTTGAGGCTAAACTTGCTTTCTTCCACCTCTTTGATGAGAACATCCAAAGAGGGTCCCAGACGGTCGAGGGCAAGAGCACCAATGGTACCATGCATTTCCTTCCAGAACCGCTTCTTTCTCGGGAATCCTTCCAGGTCTTTGAGTGAATCTTCGTAAAAGGCGGCCTCGAGTTCGATTTGGTCGACCGAAGAGCTGAGCTTGAGAGCGACCTCTTCCTTCGTTTCGATGTTTACTGCGACGTAGACGCTCACTATTCCGCACAAGCCGATAAGCTTTCGTTTCTGCCAGGAAGAAGAACGATGACTTACCTTTGTCGTCGCGGTCGGTGATCACTTCTTTGGTCACAAAATCATCTCCTATAAGGGCAGCGAACGTTCTTGTAACCATCTTGGAGCACGCTCAGCAGGAATCACTTTTGAGTGCTTCAGTGACAAGTACAAGACTTCAGGATGAGGAGACAAAGACGATTCGACGGCATATGCGGAAAGATGCGGAAAGATGTCGTTGTTGCGGCGGCTACGACGGTCTTTCGGACATGCTACCGACGCAACCCTGCGAGGCGGACCCGGCCATTATGAATGATGCATCTCGAGAGGAACCACCATTCCCATACATTATTGGCTGTGTTTCTTTCTTCTCCTCCTCACGGAATCATCGTTCAACATGTCACGCCCACGCCGCCCATGACACAGCCACCACATACAGCTGGCAATCCCTTATAACCTGGCGAGTTCTGGAAGCCAAACAATGGGAAGGACCTGCTTCAGCCGTCTCGAATGTTCAACAGTAGTGTCCTCGCCCGAAACAGCGGACGAACAGCTCTCTTCAGACTGCTCGCTGTTCTGAACATCACCAGAGGAAAGTTGGCCGATCAGCTTCTCCGATTCGCCAGCAGTCTGCGGTATACAGTGCTCTTCTTCATAATCTCGAACAAGCGGCTTTTCGATCCCATCTAGTCTTCTCCATCACACCGCGATGACTTTATGCATTGTGTATATGCGTCTTCAAAGAGTGAAAATCAGCATTGCATCTTTCGCATCTAGTAAACTCAACAGAAGGACCAAAAAATCTTTCCATACAAGATCAACACAATCAACCCTCGAGCAACAACATCCTCATAAACTTTCTTCTTCTCTCCTTGCCGAGATCCCCCTTTGGCGCTCGACCATATACAGCGGGCGGAAGCACATCCACCACCAGAGCAGCGTCGTCAGTGTCTTATCTCAAGCTCAAGCAAAGGGAAAAGTATACGTACCAACAACATCGACAGGCTCCTTCTCGGCGACTTTTTGCTCTTTCCCTCGTATTGTACATAATCCCTGAAGAGACCCAAGGGGTGTGATTAATGATATGTACGTATGTACGATACCTTAGAGTACTGTCAAAGGGACGAGCGAAGACGTGCTTGGAAGACGGTATACTCGTATGATGGTCTCGGATGTCAGTATCATACCACCGTACTCTTTCCCACACTTTTCTCGTACGCAGGCAAAGGCTCCGACAGGCAATGGCCGATATGGTTTGTGCAAACACAGACTGGCATGAAGTAAAGCGCAGAGATGACAGCAAACGAATTCATCAGATGATCTTCTCACCTCACACATGTGAGCACATCCCCGAGACCCGCGCAGCTCACCGTCCCGAGCACGCAGAGACCCTTGCGCGCTTTGTGTCTCCTGTCACGATTTCGCCTCAGTCAGCGCAGTAGACACTGCTGCCTTTTAGCATGCTTCAAGACCAGCGCAATCGTGAGCCCGATATGGCGGTGCTGCTCCCCCAAAATCACTTCAAGTTCGCTGCGGTATGTAATGTACTGTAAGAGTACCATAACTTGCGCTATGCGCGACCGCATCTCTTTTGGGGCAGCTTATGTCGACGATACCATACTTTAGAGTGACTACTATCAACATGCCAGATGTGCTACACAGAGAGAAACAGTCGAAACTGAACGCCCCATGCTGTCCATATATATATATATCGCTACGAGTAAAATAACTATGTATCAAGCATGCTCATCTCCATGTTCTTGATCAGCGCCGGCCTTCTGCTCATCTGCTCCAGGCGGAGCCTCCGTATTTTTGACATTTCGTTCAATCTCCCCGCTGCGAGCGTCCACTCCCCCTTCCCCCCTCGTCTTTTCCGTCGCCTCGGTCTGTCTGTCTCTGAGCCAACATCCAACATCCAACATCCAACATCGCTGCTTTCTAGTCTCTTCCCACATTCACATCCACATCCACATCCACATCCTCCCCACCTGATCCCTGATGGATAGACATAACCTCATCCTCTCCCGCTCATTTTTTTTTTTTTTGTCATCTATCTCAGGCGACAAATGCTGGGGGAAGTCGATGGAGAACGGAACGAGGGAGGGAGAGAATTCGGACCGGGACCGGGGGGGGGGGGGGGGTGGTTTGGAGGGGTACAGGTGACCCAAGATGGGCGGCGCCTACGCGGTGAGGCTGGTTGGGCAAGGAGATTGACCAAGCTTCAAACTGAGAAGGCTATCTGTGCAGATGTTGATACACAGCCAAAGTACGAGGATCTCTCGCAAAATCGGGCAATTTGGGTGATACCACCGGTCTTGATTGTGTATGAATGTACCTGATGCTAACCCACGATGCCCAGGGTTTCGTTGGATGATATGGTACGCGTAGTAAAGTATGGCCAGATACATGTTAGACTTACCAAGATATGACATGGTCATGGATCGTCAGCATCGATCGCTCTCTCAAACTCGCGGCACTCGGCGCTTCGATGCGATGGAGGTGAGACCCGAGTGTGGTCATGTATGTATAAAGAAGTGTATCTTGCTACTCGAGAAGGACGAGGCATTGCTCGTAGCTCAACGGTAGATCGCCGCTGCTCACGACACGACACAAAAGTGAAAATAGACAAAGATATACATGTAATCGTACATTTACTCGAGACTCACAGAGCATCTACTCCCAAATCTCAAGATCGGCCTCACCTTCTCCCTCTCCCCCTCTGACAGCTGGTCCCTAAAGCGACCCTATCCAATATCCATCCCACCAAGCTTGACGCCCCGTCGACCCCGACCCTTCCGGACATTACGCGGTACGAACGAAAGAGAAGACTCTAGCCCACCCATGGCTGCTGTTAGATCATCCATCACCAAATCCAGCCCCCCCTCTCTCCCCCCTCCCGTTTCTCCTGATCCACCCCCTCCAGCTTTTGATGACTGCCCACAAGTCTCGGGCGAGCCGAAGCCGCTTCCAAGGTTAAAGTTGCCCGACGCCGAAGCAGGCGATGAGGCGGAAGAACGCGGGGGCTGGGGCTGAGGTGGAGATTGGGGAGGGAGCCGTGGTTGACGATGATGCGAGGTAAGCTTCGACGTGGGGGATAGGGAGGGGTGGATATCAGCCCGCGGGCGGATGAGGGATATGGCGAGGCCGTCTTGGCGGGCTATTTCGTTGATCTGCCGTGCGGTCAGCGCGGATCGTGAAAGGGGATAGAAGAGACGAGGGAAGGAGACGTACACCGTGGTTGGTGATACTCCAGAAATACTGAACCGGGTATTCTGCGAGACAAATAAGCTTTTTGATGAAGAGGCGACGAGGGCAAGATACGTACTGTGTTTGCTGATCATATGTAGTCTTCGAGTCTTGGGCGTCGAGAATGTCTTGCCGCACTGCTCGGGAGGGAGAAAGCATTCGAACTGAATCAGGTGTTAGCACATTTTCACGAGTGAAAGCAGAAAGGGGCGGTATACGTACAACTTTTTCGCCGTTCTTTTGGCGTTCTTTGACTATGGGATCATGTGTCTCGGTGCCGTGCTAAGTAAGAATCAAGAGTCAACTTCAGTCCTGGATTTAGACGATACCATGAGGCAGATCTATGACGATCCCAACCTAGCACTCGGAAAAAAGCGTTACGCTGAGAACGTGTAAACCACTAGCCCTGGGACCAAACAAACCGCAAAGAAGATGATCGACTTACGAGCTGTAAAAGCCGCTCTTCCGGAAAAGCCTTGAGACATTCCTTCCACCTCTTACTGCCCACCTGCCTCACAAAGCTCTCCGGCACCTCGGACTCTTCCCTCGCGCTGCTCGACCCCGAGCCAAGTGCACCAGCGGTGGAGGCGGAATACGCTTCCCGATCTCGATCGCGTACGCTCGCCCGGCACACCCATCGATGGAATACTTGTTCGTGGCGTTCTAGTTCGGTCGATGTGGCGTAGTAGGTCGGCGCGAGGTGGCATGTTGGCGGGAGGGAGCAAGAGAAGGCGAAGGAGGAGGGGTCTGCTTCGCGGTGGTATATTTTTGGCGGGGGCGTGGAGGGTGAGGACGGTGGGGAGGGGAGGGATATGGAGTGTGATGCTTCGGAGGACAGGGGGGATATGCTGCGAGGGCGTTTTGTGCCGGGCATGACTTGTTGTTGAAGGATATGTAATGTGCGAGATGAATAGAAGTATGCGCCACTGGGGATAACGCCGAATGTCCGACGCGTGGGCGCCTCTTGCTGTCATCGCGCTCTAAGCTATCCCTGTCAGTCGTCTTACATCTTACATCTTACATCTACTCATCTACTCCCCTACTCCCCTACTCCCCCTCAGATCCCACCACCATGTCCACCGTCGCCGAGCTCTGTCCCGTCTACGCTCCCTTCTTCGGAGCCATGGGCTGTACTTCTGCCATCGTCTTCACCTGTATCGGTGCTGCGTGAGTCTTGATCTTCCTCAGATGTCCCATAGCTTGGAACGAAGACTCCATTGGGATGGGGCGATCACCCGGAGGAGGATGCAGTCGAACGTGCGGCGTCATGCTCGGGGTCTTGCTTTGTCCTCCCCACCTTTCCCTATCCACTCTGCCCACCCTTCTCCCTCGCTGTACCCAGGATCAAGATCCATCGCTAACTCGATGATCAGCTACGGTACCGCCAAGTCTGGTGTCGGAATCTCCGCCATGGCTGTCCTCCGACCCGATCTCATGATGAAGTGTGCCATTCCTGTCGTTATGGCTGGTATCATTGGTATCGTACGTCGATCTCAATCTTCCTCAATGTCAATATATGCTAACGAATAAACAGTACGGTCTAGTCGTTTCCGTCCTCATCTCCGGTAATCGTACGTCCCCCATCTCTCCCACCTCGTATCTCCAATCTGACCCCCGCCTAGTCACCTCCCCCATGCCCCTCTACACCGGTTTCATCCAGCTCGGTGCCGGTCTTTCTGTCGGTCTTGCGGGTTTGGCGGCTGGTTTCGCTATCGGTATCGTCGGTGACGCTGGTGTCCGGGGTACGGCTCAACAGCCTAGGTTGTTTGTCGGTATGGTGCGTTGCCTCTTCTCCCTGCCTGTCGCGAGTGATGTGTGTAGAGTTATGCTGACGGAGAATACAGATCTTGATCCTCATTTTCGCCGAAGTCTTGGGTCTTTACGGTCTCATTGTGGCCTTGATCCTCAACACCAACTCTACCGTCGACTACACATGTTCCATTGCGGCCTAATCGAACCGCTCGAACCACCCTCCCCTCTCCCCTTCCCCTCATCCTTTCGATTCACCTTTCGCTTTGATATCCTCCTGCCTACGACACTCGACGTTTATTCTCCAAATGAGACACCCCTCCGACCGCGAAAGATGAAGGATGAGAGAGGGGAAAGAGTTTTTGTTTTTGTAAAAGAATTTATGGGCCCGGTGCTAAGCTAGGCGGGTTGGAGAGTGAATGCGAGGGTTTCTCTCAAAATGCATCGAGTATGAATGACTGTCGTCAGTTTCAGTTTGAGCGAGCGCGAGTACGGGAGGAGATCAGTCGAGATGGGCGATATCAGGTGGTGCTTTTGAGAAGGGGAAGCTGGGGGTATATGAGGCGAGGGATATGTCGAGCTTCCTAGCCCCGACGATGCGTGCAGGGTAACACGGGCAGTCATCATACAGCAGTCTGCCCGTCCAGAGAAAGGGCCCCATCGCCCAGCGTTTGGCTGCGAATACACTTGACGTCGCCTGCTCGCTTCGTCTTCTCGTCCGAGTACGTAACCCCACATCGACCAAAATCTCCGAGATCTCTCTACTCGCAGAAAACACGACTGATGCAGTATGCATGTTTTGACATTTTTGGATTTGTCTACTCTCTATCTCCCACCCCACCCTCCCCACTCTCCCACTCTCTACTTCTTCACAGGCGTTTCCAAAATCTTGCTCACAGACGCCCAAACCAACTTGGGGCTCTGCGCAGCATCGACGGGCGTCCAAACGCCGGTACCCTTGTAGTACTCCACAACAGGGCCCGTCTGCTGGTGGTATGTGGACAGACGCTTTTTGAGGGTCTCGACATTGTCGTCGGAACGTTGGATGAGGGGCTCGCCGGTTTGGTCGTCGGTCATGGATTTCTTGGGGGGGTTGACTGTTGCGAAATCGTCAGTTGAAAAGTCACGGGGAAGAGTGGAGGGGGGGGAGGGGGCGTACATTCACGGTGGTATGAACGGCCAGAGGCGGGGTGGATCAATCGGCCAGTGATTCGGGAGATCAACAGCGCATCGGGGATCTTGAGCTCGACGGCGTGGTCGATGGCTTGCTTGGACTCGGCGAGCATGGCGTCGAGCTTGGAAGCCTGGGGAACGGTACGGGGGAAACCGTCGAGGATGAAACTGGGCAGTGTCAGCGAGTGTCAGAATACAAGAGGCGATGTGAAGGGAGACGTTGGGGGAAAAAGTTGAGAATGCAAGTCCGAGTAGGGCCGCAACGTCCCGAGTCGGGAGTCAGGACAATACAAAGCCACAGCGAACGCAAAAACTCTCCGCACTGCCAGACTACGTATCCCGCCGAGCCCAGCCTCAAAGATGGAGCATTCGAGGTCGCGCCCACATCTCTCATCCACGGCCTCGCTCTCCTTGACAGTCCTCCTTCACCGGACGCTCGCAAAGCAAACGCAGCAAAGCTTTGATACTCGCCAATAGTCCAGAGCAATCCCCGCTCATCGCCCAATGCTTCCCATCCCATCTCCCGAAATGACGCATCCCAGCCAAAAATAAACGCGCACTCACCCATTCTTGCACTCGGTGTTGTTGGTCAACTCCTGCTTGATCATACCGACCATAATCTCATCGCTGACCAAGCCTCCCTGGTCCATAATCTTCTTGGCGGCCTTGCCCAAGTCGGTCTGCTTGGCGACTTGTTCTCTGAGCATGTCGCCGGTAGCGAGATGGCAGATGCAGTACTTGGAAGAGATGTTGGGGGCTTGGGTGCCCTTGCCGGCGCCGGGAGGACCGATGAGGACCATGCGGGGGGGGTTGGGGGCGGCGCCGGCGCCGGAGAGGGCGGACTTGGCAGAGTCGAGGGTGGAGGAGAGGGAGTTGGAGGTGGACTTTTCGAGGGACTCGATCTTGCCCTGGAGCTGCGGGGGGTTAGGGGGGTGGGGGGGGGGGAGACAGGGGGCGTACCTGGGAGACGAGGGACTTGAGGTAGTCGAGTTCAGAGTTGCCGGACATTTTGAGTGGTGCGTGGGTTGTATACAGTAGAGAAAGATGGGGACCGGCTATTGACGCGGTGTTACTCGTCCTTGCGGCGTTTTTCGAGTGGCGCGTGGCTTCCACGTGGCAAGCACGCGACTGTCTTCGTGGGCTCTCTCCAGACGGCGCAATGTTGACTGATAAAGTAATGGAACAACGGCCAAGCATCGCCATCCGTTGGAAACTCGAATGGACGATCAAAGGAGCGATATGCAAAGTCGCGTAGTCACTGCAGCTCGTCATGATGAATGGTAGTCGCCATGAAAGGATCGCCCCTACGTGTTGAGCTCTCGAGACTTGTAACAATCGCCAACGCGTTCCTAGAGATATATCGCAAACAAGTACAAGTACAGCTCAACTGACAGCAAAAGATGACCTCAGCAACACCCGTATTCAGACTCTACATCGTCCGCCACGGTCGGACTTCCTAGTACGTCCCCCCCCCTCCCCCCCCCTCCCCCCTTTGCCCTTGCCCGCACATTAGGCTCACGGACAAACAAGCAACGCCCAATCCCTCCTCGCCGGCAAACTCGACATCCCCCTCTCCGCCTACGGCATCGCCCAGTCCTCCCACTCCTCCGCCCTCTTCTCCACCATCCCCATCCACGGCACCATCACCTCCACCCTCCTCCGCGCCAAACAAACTGCCGATATCATCCTCGAGTCGCACATCGGGGTCGGCGTGGTAAGTGAGGCACGGGTGGAAGATGGGCGGCTGGATGAGAGAGGGTTGGGGGAGTGGGAGGGGAAGCGTGTGGAGGAGGTTGGGTGGGTTGAAGAGCCGGAGGGCGCGGAGACGTTTGACGAGTGAGGTCTTCATTATTAGAACGTCGCACTTGACCTTTGAGCGCTACTGACCCCTACTTAGAGTCAGTACCAGAGTCTCCTCTTTCCTCACCTCCTTGCTTTCATCCTTCAACCCTCTCGCTTCATCTCGCGGCACAATCGAGCCAAACAACATCCTCCTCGTCACCCACAAAGACATCATCACCTCCTTCGCCCGCCTCTTCTCCTTCGCCGCCAAAACCCCAAGTGGACCCGAGTGGCGAATACCTACGAGTACTGTACCCGGGTGGCGGGTAGAGCTTGATGACGATGTCGAGTTGCTGGACGGGTGCTCCAACCTTGGCGTTGGATCGCTCGAGGGGTTTAGGGTTGGGGATGGGGATGGGGATCAGTGGGTTTTAAAGATCAGAGCGTGGGCGAAGGAGGCGCCTGTTGTATAAGCAACCGCCATGTAACTGTACCGTGTACAAGAGATCCACCCTAATCTGCAATACCATCCTCCAATGATACCGTTGTTACAAGTGCATTCCATCTACGCCCTCACCGCCTCCGGCACCACCATATTCTCCCCCTGCTCCAACCTCAGATAAACCATCTTCTCCGCCTTCCTCCTCTCCTTCCTCTCCCTCCTCCTCCTCTTCCTCTCAATCTCCACCGCCTTCTCCCCCTCCACCCACTCCCCGCTCCCCAAATCAAACGTCATCCCCGCCCTCCTATTCTGATACACCTCCGCCTGTTTTTCCGCGTTTTCGACCATATACGACGTTTGCGCTGCGTCTCTTACTTCGGCGCGGGTTCGGGGACGGAGGTTTACACCTTCGAGGGAGATCTGCTCAAGGTCGAGGATATCCTTCAAACCCCTATCCTTCCCCCCAGCTTCCCACTCCCTCACAGCATCCTTCCCCACCACCCTCCTCTCCTCCTCCTCCCTCTCCCTCCTCACCCCCCACGCCTTCCTCTGCCGTCCCCTCGCCCACCGCGGACTCAGCTCCTCGCTCAAATGCAGCGGCATAAGCGTGTCCGCAATCCGCCTTGTCGCATCATCAAAATGCTCCGGGTCGCGCACGGAGGTGAGGTAGCCGTCGGAGACGGCTTGGTTCTGCAGGGGCGGGGCGAGGAGGTGCGTGGGGAAGAGGGCGTCGTAGCCCGAGGTGGAGGCGATGAGGGGGACGTCGATGAGGTGGAGGGTACGTTTTCGGACTTCGTCGTTGTGCGTGTCATTACGGTCGGCTTTGAAACCACAAGTCAGTCCAGCAATAATAAATAATGGAGCGGAGGGAGAAGGACGAACGATCGGGGAATTCATAGATCTTTTCAGGCTTTGGCCAGGGCATGTCTGTCTCTTCGAGATGGGTCTCTGCGGCGACGGTACCAGTGAGCTTGGGAGCGACACGGCGCCATTCGAGACGCTGGGTGTACTTGTTGAAATGTGTCTCTTGCGACTTGAGACGGGAAGCAAAAACGCTAACCGAAACCGAACCGTCATCAATCCGCCTCATACCTCCTATATAATGGGGGGGGGGGGGGGGGACGTACTGCTGGTCGACCTCACCAGACTCATCTACACACAGCTGCACGTTCGAATAGTGGACCGGCCGCATAATGTCGATAAAGTTGGGGGCGTTGTCGACGTTTGTCTTTTCCTGCCCTTCGAGGGTATCATAGTTGTCGGGGAGGGGTGGTACGGGTTGGGCTTTTTTGTTCTGGTGAAGAGATCAGCCACAGATCGAGTAACGGTACGGGGACAGGAAAGATATCGCAGTGACAAGCCGACCGACTCCCACTTGCGCACTCTCCCGCCCAGACCTCGATCTTGAAAAGACACCAACTCACGGTAATACCCTCCAAGAAAACCCTGTTCCTCGCCAAGTCCACCGTCTTGACTGTATACACTTTCCACCCCTCACTCGAATTCTCTCCGTTCCTAAACACATCCTTCGCCTTTCCCGTCGTCATCCTCACCCTGTCTCCTGGCCGGATGTTCCATTTCTTGATTCTGTCTTTGGGCTGGATGAATTTGGTGGTGGGGTGGGGGAATCGGGATGGGACTTTGCGGGCAAACTTGCTGCTGTGGGGGGCAAGGAGGTGCTCGAATCCTGGATGAACGTGAGCGAGTGTAGAGATAAGTGGGGAGAGACTTGCCCCTGGGGATCCTTGATATGATGGTGCTGGCCATGGGGGTGTATGCCTCTGATGTGGAAATGGATGTCAAGGAAAGGCAGCGGGAATGAAAAGGAAATTATTAACACGTGGGATGATCGGTGGGGGCCGCCGTGTGCCTCCACTCTGTGCCCCCGATGGAGTTCAGTTCTTTCTGTCTGTACTGTCTCCCATACACAATGCTCCCCTCGCTCACCCGGCGGCCGTCCACGCTCCCGCCCCTGCCCTTCGCCCCCACCCCCTCCCCCCACCAGCCGCTCTTCCGCCCGACCGAGCACGTGACCGTCCACCAGCCCTGCCGCGTCAAGACTGCCCTCCACCCCTTCCGTCACGCAGACCTCCTCCTCGTCGTCTCACAAGATACTGCCAGAGATCATCCCGCCGAGGAAGCAGCGTACGTCTATACAACTCTCTCTCCATCCACTCACCCAGAGCAGCGTATTCCTCATCTCCCACCAGAATCCCCTCCACATCTTGTACATCATCCCCGTCTCCCAACATTTCACACACCGTATCGAACAGACCCCTCCTTCCCCCTCAGCCTCCTTCTTCCACCAAAGCGCACGACCTCGTATGTCCCTCCCGTCCAGCTCGACGTCCCTGACATCCTTGCAGACACCACCCTCATCCTATCTCTTCACGAGATCCAGCTCGAGCTGCGCATCCCTGCCACCCAATCTCGCGACGTCCAGCGGCTCGTCACAGAACTACGCCGATTCGTCGAGCACTCAAAGAAGGTCGGGTGCCCGCCCAGCTTGAGTCACGCGTGGACGGGTCTTTATCCTGTTCAGACGCCGCAAGAAGAGGCGCGGGAGGATGTGGAGGACGATCCGGTTGTTGATGAGGAGCAAGTCGCCGTAGAGGCTGAAACCGTGGGAGAAGCAAAGAAAGAGGAACAGAAAGGTACTGCAGAATCGGATGCTGTGAAGGAGGATACCCCTGAGCCCCAAGGTAACGTCGCTCTGGCTGTCCCAGCCCGATACTCATTCCAATCAGAAACACCGGCATCATCGATACCTCTCGAAACCCCCGCCGACCTCCCCACAACCCTCACCATCAACCACAACCTCCCCTCCTCCCCCCTCAACCCCACCTCCCCAAATTTCAACCGCCCCTCCTACCTCCGCTCCCACGTCCTCTCCCAATCATCCTCCTACACCTCCACAACACCCCTCAATATCCGTTGTGCGACGTACAACGTCAACAACAAAGTGCCCCCCAAGGGAACTACCGAACTTGCTGGGCTGGTGGGGCGGGGGGAGGAGGATGTGATTGTTGTGGGGCTGCAGGAGGCGGATTTGAGGGTTGGCGCGATGTTTGTGGGGCAGGGGAATACGAGGGCGGATTCGTGGGAGGAAGCGCTCTTGAACGGACTAGGACCCAAGAAAAGCGAATTCGAAAAGGCAAGTATCCCTTATCCTTCATTAATATCCAACTGACACCCTGTATAGCTCGTGATGACTCAATATGTCGGCGTCGTCACCATCATCCTCGTCCGCAAGTCACTGAGGCCTCACATCTCGAGAATCGAAACAGCAGAGAGAGGTATCGGCCTCCTCGGATTCGGCGGTAACAAGGCCGTAAGTCATCCCCTCCCCTTCCACCCTTACTCTCATACTTGTACTCATTTTTCTCCAGGGTGTCGCAGTAAGGATGAAAGTGTACGATACCGTATTCTGCTTTGTCAACTCTCGTACGCCTCCTCCCCTCTCCTCAAAAAAAGAGACCTGATATTGACATGCTGACGTTACTATAAAGATCTAGCAGCATTCTCAACAGCCCTCGACCGCCGCAGACTCGACTTTTCCACCCTCCGCTCTACCCTCACCTTTCCCCGGCCGCCCATCACAAACGTCGACGCGGCCAAACCCGCACCGACTATCACACGTACCAACTCGAGCGTCACCACCCGTTCTGCTAGTATCAAAGATGGAACGTTAGCCAAAGATGGAACTGGTGAAGATGGGCAAGACGATGAAGGGGAGGGGGAGAAGGTGGAAGCGGATGTAGTTAACCCGGTGTTTGAGGAATTCTGGCCTGACGATGGGAAGGCGCTGGGGGTCGATGACAGTCATGTTCTGGTATGTTTCCTTATGACTCTCATACTGACACCAGCTAATGAGGTTTTGACAGATCTGGCTCGGTGATCTCAACTACCGCATCGACCTACCCGACTCTGAAGTCTGCGAAAAGGTCAAAGCTCAAGAATGGCAGAGTCTGTTGGAGAAGGATCAGTTGAGGATGGATATCACGGCGAAGAAGAGTTTTGCAGGGTTTGAAGAGGGTACTATCGACTTTCCACCGTATGTCCAACTCGTCTAGTGTTGAGCCTTGTGCTGATCATGGCGCAGAACGTTCAAATATGTCCACGGCTCGAGTACATTCGATTTCAAACGCGCGCCGGCATATACCGACCGTATCCTCTACTCTCTCCCCCCCTCGCCCTTATCCTCACCCTCCAGCTCCAACGCCACTCCTCCAACCAACCAACACGCACTCAACATCACATCATACACCTCCCACCCCATCCTCTGGTCCGACCATCGCCCCGTCTCTTGTTCTTTTGCCATCTCCGCCTCACAAGTCGACCACGAGGCGCGTAAAGCCGTCTGGCGCCGTGCGCTGGGGGAGCTGGATAGGTTGGATGATGAGTGGAGGAGCAGCTTGGTCGTCGAGGTCATGGGGATTCAAGGGGAGGACGTGTCTGAAGAAGAGATCCGAGAAAAAGGCGCCGAGGCCGAACCTAGACATGCGACGACTGCAACCGGCAGCGGCGCCGGCGCCGGCGGCGGTGGTGCTGGCGATCTCGACTTTGGCGCCCTCACGTGGCGTACCCCCAAAACCGGTCTTATCCGCCTAACAAACCCCGGCAAAGTCCCTTCCTCCTTCTCATTCAAACACCCCTCCGCCTCCCATAATGCCCCTTGCAAGTCGTTCATCCACCCTTTCCCCGCGAGCTGGACCGTCCACCCGGGGGAGGGGGTGGTGTTGAGGGTGAGGGTGCAGGTGGATGAGTGGTGCGCGGGGAGGATGACTTTGGGGATGGAGGAGGTGGCGGATGTGCTTGTGTTGCAGGTCGACGGGGGGTGTGATACTGTGCGTCTTGACTTTCTCCGAGTAATCATCAAACGCTGACAGAATGACAGTTCATCACACTCCAAGGCACATTCACCCCCTCCACCCTGTCCTTACCACTCCAAACCCTGTCCTCCCTCCGCTCGCCCATCCGATCCCTCCCCCTCCCCGAGCGCAAAACCCTCGCCAGACCCATCCTCCTCTCCCGCACAAACTCGGGCGTATTCGACCAAGACCAAACCCCCCCACAGCCAAATACAGCCTTCCGGCCCGTCAACCAAATCTGGCGTCTCCTCGAAGTCCTCATGACCTCTCCTCCTCCATTCACCGCCTGGCAGCTTCCTCCCTTTTCCTTCTTACCGACTATACACAAGATCATCGACGCTTTGGACGACGACTCGGCGCTCCCGGAAGGGTTGACGAACGAACAAGTCATTGGCGGGTTGATCCACTACCTAGTCTGCGTCCCGGGTGGTTTGTTGGATAGTAAAGTGAGGACGGTGGTAGAGAAGGAAGAAGTGGGGGATAGGGACGGGGCGTTTGGGATACTCGAATCGGTGGGGCAGGTCGAGACGAATGTGCGTACTTTTAGTCTCGCTGTGACTTTGGTTGGGATGCTGATGATCTGGGGAAAAGGTTTTGATTGGGCTTATGAGTGTTGTCAAACTCTGTCTTGCTCGTCCTCCGCCGAGCCCTACGGCTACGGCTGAAGAGATTACCGAGGTTGAGGCCGCTTCCAAGGCCACGAACGACACTGCTGCCGCCCCCGACCGAGACCTTCCTGCAGATAAGGACGAGACGGCTCCTGCTGCTGCCGACTCGACCGCTACCAGTGAGCAACCCGAGTCCCAAGACAAGGAGGTGCTTGAGAAAGAAGAAGGAGGAGGCGTTTTCGAGCTGGGAGATGATGAAGATGACGAAGACGACTCTCCCAAATCCCTCCAACCCGCCGCCGACATCGCCTCCCCCACCCCAACCGCCGACCCCAAGAGCCCGATCAACTTTTCATTCACAGCCCTCAAACCCCGCCTTCGCTCAAAGTCGTCTGCGGCGAGACTTGCAAAGTCGATATCGCTGGCGGAAGAATCGTTCAAGGATGTTTCGTTGAGCGATAAGGATCGGGAGGAACTTGTTGGTGAGGAGCGCTCTACAAGTACGCCGCCGGCTGTTGCTGTTGAAGAAGGTCAGGATGCGAGGAATACGAGATGGAGTGGGAGGATTGGTTTGTTACGAGGGAAAGAGCAAAAGGTCGCCGAGAAGGAGCCTGTCGATGTTGTTGGTACGTATACTGTTCCCTTTGCTTGAGCTTGAGATAAGACACTGACGAGCTGCTTGGTAGTGGATGTGCTTCTGCCGGCTGTATTTGGTCGCGCTCAAACGGGGGATCTCGGCAAGGAGAGAAGAAGAAGGTTTTTGAGGCTGTTGCTCGAGGGTTGATTGTGTTGATCTTGTATGGCGGTTTAGAGATTGTTTTGTCCTTCTGTTGGGTTTACTAGATGCGAAAGATGCAATGCTGATTCTCACTCTTTGAAGACGCATATATACACAATGCATAAAGTCATCGCGGTGTGATGGAGAAGACTAGATGGGATCGAAAAGCGGCGTGTTCGAGATTATGAAGAAGAGCAACTGTATGCCGCAGAGTGCTGACGAATCGGAGCAGCTGATCGGCCAACGTTCCTTCGGTGATGTTGAAAACAGCGAGCAGTCTGAAGAGAGCTGTTTGTCGGCTGTTGCGGGCGATGACACTACTGTTGAATATTCTCTTATCAGTATCAGCCAGCCCGAGGCGGATAAAGCAGGTCCTTCCCAGTGTTTCGGTTCTAGAGCTCGCCAAGTTATGAGGCATTGACAGCTGTATGTGGTCGTTGTGTCATGGGCGGAGTGGGCGTGGCATGTTGAACGATCATTTCGTGACGAAGAGAAGAAAGGAGCACAGCTGATAAATATGTGGGGATGGTGGTTCCTTTCGAGATGCATCATTCATAGTGGCCTGTTCCGCCTCGCATGGTCGCGTCGGTAGCACGTCCGAAACACAGTTGGCTATCGCGATCGTCGTAGCCGCCGCAACAACATGTTTCCGTATCTGATTCGCCCATTCCGCATATGCCGTCGAATCGTCTTTGTCTCCTCATCATGATGTCTTCTTTTGCTAGCCAGATCCAGACGACCGAGGCAGGTCCTGTTGAGCATCTAGATATGCAGTTGTGCCAGACCTTGAAGATTAGAACATAGCTGTAGCTGCGGTATGTAAAGAGTTTATGCAGCGTTTATCCACAACCTGATGGTGTGTCTTTGGACTAGTATAGTATCGAGCGAAAGTTTCCGACTTGGGATATGGGTGCTCGCGTTCTTCCAAACAGATATGTAGATCTCATACGTGGATATTGCCTGACTGCCTGGCCCGGTACATGTCAAGTCAACTCCAGCGATGTCGTCGTCGACCTTCCCATAGGCACAACAGGTTTCCGCATCTTCTGGCCCCGCTCGATTCCGTCTCTTGTATCTTCTTCTTTTTGACGATCAACATTCAAGACTTTTCCCCGCTGAAAGCACTTCCTCATGAACGCAAGGAAAGATATTGGTGAAGTCATAGGGGGGAGATACGAGATCAAAGAAGTGATCACTCACCGTGACCGCAAGGGTGAGTTACCCTTCTTCCTCTTCTTGGCCGTCGAAACGAATTTTCATTGGTCTGTGCGGTATAGTGAGCGTCTACGTTGCCACAGACGTCCAAACCCAGGAAGAGGTCGCTCTCAAACTCAACACCGCGGAGCACAGAGTTCGACTCGAAACTGAGTTTTACGACGATTCAATCAGAGACCTGGAGGGGTTTCCGAGCAAGAGGTGGTCTTGGGAGCACGGTTTCTATTGTCTTGGCGCTATTGCCCTCGACCGTCTGGGACCGTCTTTGGATACTCTCATCAAAGAGGTGGAAGAAAGCAAGTTTAGCCTCAAGACGACTCTTCAAATCATGGATCAGGTCATCACCCGAATTCAAGCTTTACATGAACGTCACATTCTCCACCGCGGTGTCAAACCGGACAACTTCTGCATTGGCCTTAAAGGAAGCAAGACAGAGAATAAGGTGTATATGATCGACTTTGACCACTGTAAAAAGTATATCGTGGACGGAGTCCACATACGGGACTATGGGGGTGCCATGGGCAACCAAGATTGGACGTCGTTGGCCGTTGACGAAGGATGCGAGCCTGTGAGGCGAGATGATATGGAATCCGCTGGTTTCCTGTCTATCGTGGGTTTATCTCGCTTGTAAAAAGCTCATTGAACTGACGGCTTGCATGTAGTACCTTCTCAAGGGCAGTTTGCCCTGGTTATGTGAATACAGCTCAAGCGCAGTGAGGCGTGGCAGTACGTAGATCGCTTTGCCCAAAAGGATCAGCAGGCTGATATCTTTCTCAGAAGCAATCACTGCTCTGCAAGAGCTGTGCAAAGACCTCCCAGAGGAGATCATAACATACATCGCTTACTGTCGATCACTTCAATTTGCCCAAGAGCCCGATTATGGCTATTGCCGGAAGCTTTTCCGCCAAGTATTCGAGAGGGAAGGGTTCAAAGATGATGGGCTGTGTGATTGGAGTACCCTTGAGCTTGTCACCGAGTCCGAGGGCATTGAAAACGTACATGGCTCCGATAATGATTTCCCCAGCAGCAATCACTCCGAGGAGGAGGACGGCTCCGCTACCCCGTTCGATGACGATACTGTTGATGGGCAGACTCTTGTTGCTGACCACACCAAGACGACCGAGGCATGTCCTCAGTATCTTGGCATGATCTGCGGACCCGCCAGATCCTCAGAGTTATATGTGTGGTAATGGGCGATACTACTATCTTACATAACGTCACCTTTCCATACATATCCCACATTTGTCCGTAGTCACATTCTCTATGCTACCAATATGCTGAATCTATTAGCAACACAGCGCCGTCGGTCTCCAGACCTTCACGATATGAAGGCTACCGTAGATGCATGTAACTAGCTGTTGATCGATTACTCTCCCAGCTGCATACAATCCGCTTGCCGTGAGAGGGCATGTTGAGTGATGAATCAGAAAAGCCAATTCGCGTTGGCTTCTATCGCTGTCGGCCTTCAAACTCCTGAGCGTAGAGCCTTTAACCCAGAGTTCAGCAGAAACCACAGTCATCGCACAACATACGTGCTAGACAGTGTAGCCGACTGTCTTCGACTGTCATTGACTGACAAGCTTAGATTGCACTTGACCCTGAAACCCGTACATATATGAAAAGGGGAATAAATCCTCCATTTTGGTCCTTTCTTCACTGTAAGAAAACTTGATCGTCTCCTCCCTCACCCCTTACAGTCTTCATCAGTCAGCATCTAAGCTTGTCGGCCCTTTCCAAGCTCACGAGTACCTCCATTGACAGTTGTAGGGTCCGTCTTCTATCAGTCCATCCTGAGCAAACGATTGTCATCCCGCCCCTCTCAGTGGCAGAGTCTCTCTATTAGGACCGTCGTACCATCGTGTCATACTACTGCTTGTGTTTGGTGCACGTGTCAGGACGGAACAGAGCCGGTTGCCGCATCAGCTGTCAATCCTCTCCCTCAGTGCATCATCTTTCTGTCTAGTCGGAAGCCTATCGTATCGCCAACTACCAAGAACAGCATGTCGCTACCAAGAACAGCATGTCGCTCAAATTGATACTCACTCGTCCCACCTTGACCGTGCTCCCATCCCGCATCCCTCGCATACAGCATCTACCTCTCCATATCCATGAACTTCAAGGCCTCCCAGCCATGCCGGCTCTGGCGAAAACGAAGCCCGAATCCTGTCCTCTACCGTCGACTGACTTGCGAAAGAGCCGTATATCTCTATCGTCTTGAGCGGTAATGGTAAGCTTGGGGAAGACGTCAGCTCCAACCTGCAGGATATGGAATAACAAACTAACACCCAGTCAGACCTCTGCTCACTTTCAGCCATACAGGCCACAAGCCACCAAATCTCCTCGGCATGCTCTTCTGCCATTCTCCTCCGATCCGATTCATCCCACGGCTCGTCCATCCATATCCTCAGATTCTCCATCCGATTCACTCCCATCGTCATCATCCTGTACCCTCGATATCCGTGTAAACAGAGGGTGTTGTACACGTGCGAGCTTTGACGCATATAGACTCTGAGAGCACTGATGATCCAATCGCTCTCGTCTGCGTTTGGCGTAGTGAGGCAGATATGGGAAGGCGCCAGGCTGGAAGAGAAGAGCTCGTACTGCAGGAGCTTTCGAAGGTCGCCTGGTCGGCCTGGGGGGATGTCCGAGGCGCCTTGCGGGAATACGAGCCACCGAAGGCCAGGGAAGAGACGGATACTCGCCCCGAGCATCGGGAGCTTCTTGTTCGCCATAACATGATCTTTCACGATGCACTGGAGGTACTCGAGCTTTTCGAGGCCGACCGTATCCTCTATAATGAGCTTTCGCACCAGCGTAAAAGGCTTTCTGCGAGTAGGTCGGGGGTCGAAAGGGTATAGGACGCGCTGGTCTCCATAATGTGATGGAGAAGGGTAGATTTCGTTATAGAGGACGAAGGGTTTCTTCAAGGCGGTAGCCGAGGCAATACAAAATTTTTGGCTCCGTTCTGCCCCCAAAAAGATGCTTGAGTATAGTCGTGGGAGGTACTTGTCGTGTATGTCACGGCTGAGAAGTAGGACGTCGCAAAACGCCGAAGATGGGACGGAGAGAGAATCGACGTAGGTTTCGAAGAGGAAGAGGCGGATGTCGGGGTCTAGTGGGGAGAGAGATATGAGGGGTCGAGTGATGCGAGCCATTGGAAGAATAAAGTAAAGACAAAATAGATGATTCACATGCAAAGAGTCATTTTGATGGCAGCCTCGGTTTTCTGATTGCCTCGTTGATGTTCCGGTCTTGTCGGCAATAGGCGGTAAACCGCCGGTCTTCCGACGAGTTTGTCAAAATTTGGCACGATTACAGCCGGTTTTGTCTTTGCAGTGATGCGATAAGGCTAAAGCAGCAGGCGCTGTAGGATGACTGGGAGTGCCGGTATCGGAAGCGTACATAACATACAGACCAAGGGCGATGCACAAGCCTCATCTTCACAGCGACATGGTGGGCCATTCCGTAATAACGCCAGCTCCGTCCCCTTCTTCCACGTTAAAGCCTACCATGTCATCTGTTGAAGGTTATGTAATGAACATCAGAAAAAGAACCAAAAAGAGAAGCCTCCGGCGGGGCTCGAACCCGCAACCGCACGATTAACTGATGGCCCGTAACCGGTTCAAGCAGACTCGTAAGAGTCGTGCGCGCTACCGATTGCGCCACGGGGGCTTTCCATGATTTCTTGTTGTGCCGCTTGGGCCGCCTCGAAATGGAGTCATGTACGTCTGCAGTAGATGCTGAAGAACCCTGGCAATGCAGAGGATAAACAGTAGCTACCCTCGTCGGAGATAATCACTTTGCCCTGACGAAAACAAACGAGGAATAAGCGAAGTGCTCGCTACAGCTCAATTGACGTTGACCAGCAAACAACCATGGTCGCATTAGGTTGCATTCAACGCCGCCATCGACAAACGATACTCTGTGTGTTACACTACTGCTTTAACCAAGGAATTTGCTCTCGAGAGTACTTGTAAGCACGGAAAAGAGCGTTCGACTCGGTAGGATAGAATCCTGCGGCCTCCTTCTCCGGATACCTACATCTCATCAGCAACGTACATCCCTCTCCCCCGATCCGTATTCCCAATCATAAAGAGAAATGTTACTCACACAGCAAAGAACGGACAAACATACTCCCAAACCTGCTTCCCCTCGCTCGTAACCTCCACAACCCTCCCAAACGCGCTCTCGCACAAGACAGTATTACCATTGGGCAGACGTTGAGCCGAGCCCATGAAGGGGGTGTAGAATGTTTCTTTCGTAGGGGCGTGCCATTGCCAGACGATAGACTTTGTGGTTCGGTCGACTTCGATAGCGCGGGAGTATTGGAATGATTCGCGGTGACGGAAAGCGCCGTTATCAAAGATCTGCGGAAGTATATTAGTTGGGGTTGGCGTGAGAAATGAGGATCATAGAAGAGAGACGCACGAGTATGTTTCCGTTAGGCAGCTCGTTAGCATTGTGCTGCTGCGCGACAACGGTAGAGTCGAGGTGCCAGATGATCTTGCCGGTCTCTTTCTCGATGATGATGACGGCCGACACACTTCTCAGCGAGGCGAGGATATTTCCGTCTTTCAGAGGACTGCGTAGCCATCAGCACGTAGCTTTACCTCGGGAGGGACGAGTATACGCACAAGACGGAGTTGATGAGAGGCCAGTGCTCGCGCGGGTAATGACTTTGAAGAGGAAAGATCTTGGGGTCGAGGTGTTCAGAAACGCGCCATTCCCATACCAGTTTGCCATTCTTGACCTCTCGGATAGTGTCGGCGTAGGTGTTTCCATCGGGTGCTTCCTATACAATAGTCAGCTGCAGGCCAGGCGCGAAGAGGAATGGTCTAACTTACTGTACCTTCGACCCCTCCGGGAAGAGCAGCCTGTTGCTCTGGCGTCAGAGCTTCGAGCCCCGCGTAGAAGAAATGCCCATCGCCTTCGTAAAAGCAACTTCGGCAGCGATCAGTACGGGTTCGCCGATCACACCAAAAGAGTAGACTCACTCGTGGTGCCCAAGAGGATCCCGCAGCTCATTGACGACGTTCCCAGCGGGATCGAGCTCCATGTACACTCCACCGCCGTACTTGTTAAACTGCGCGATTGATCAGTCCAGACCTCACGAACACTATTGCAGACTCACAAAGGGAAACGGGGCAGCAGCTTCCGGGTCTTTCATGCCGACGATGAGGTTACCATTGGGCAAAATGCGAGCGTACCGGCCGACGCGATAGGGGAGGTCCCATTTGTGGACGACTTGGCCGGCGTTGTCGACGATATAAACCTATGATATGATCAGCATAGTACCATTATTTTTATAGGGCTGCTCACGTTCTTGGAGGTAAGGGGTGCGATGACTGTATACCCATCAAGAGCTACAGAGTCGTCCACGGCCCTTGTGCCGACTCCACGTCTTCGAGTGATGTTCTGGTCCATACTGTGTGGTGAATGTGTGGTGGGTGTGAAACAGTATATGTGGGTGGTGCAGGTTGAGATAGAAGACTACATATTTATACTGGGCGATCAATCTGTCGAAAGTGGAAATGACCGACAGGCAGCAGCAAGGCCGAAGACGACAGCAAGAGCGATATCGGAGCTCCGATGCTTAAATTTGGTTCCGTCCTGGCCTCAAGTACGACAAGCAGAGAGACAAAAGGTCAAGTCCGAGGCTTCCCTGAGGTGCCCCGGAGCTCCGAGGGTTGTTTTGACATTGCAAGATTGCAGATGCTTATCATGAGCGCTTTTCGCAGACTGACGACCGCTGGCGATATCTCTCATCATCGTTCTGCTCATTTCGCGACAAATGCGCGATAAGCCTTGCTGACATATATAGAAATGACCCGTCCCCTCCACCCAGGCTCCCCATCATCATCCCCGGAGTCGTGAGAAGACAGAAACCATCACCATGTCGGAAGCCCAACGACAGCACGAACCTCGGGAAACCGACTACACCCCCGCTGAGCAAGCACGAGCGGTGCGCAAAGTCGACTTTCTCGTCTTGCCCATGATAGTTTTTTGCTTTCTCATGCTCCAGTTTGTAAGCCCCCTTCCTCTCATCTGCGCTACCGAGCTGACAGCATCACAGGATCGTACCAATCTCGGCAATGCCCAGACTGACAGGACATTTCTGCCCTCGCTCGGTATCACCACCGCCAACATCAACATCGGCCAGACGCTCTTCACCCTCGGCTTTGTCATCTTCGAGCTCCCCAGCAACATGGTCAGCAAAGCCATCGGCCCGCAGCGATGGGTGCCGTTCATCGTCTTCACTTGGGGTCTCATCACCCTCTGTCAAGCCTTTTTGACCAACAGAGGCGGGTTCTATGGGACGCGCTTCCTGCTTGCTTCTGGAGAGGTATGTCCACTATACTCCCAACAGGCATAGCTGACATGAACACAGGCCGGCTTCATTCCCGGTATGGCGTGGTATATCACTCGATTCTACAAGAACAGCGAGCTCTCTCTGAGACTCGCTATATTCTGGGCGGCAAATAGTCTGGGTACGTCTATCCTCTAGCCGCAAACGCACGTATTGACATCAACGCAGCTGGTATGGTATCCGGACCCCTCGCTCTCGGTATTCTTCGAGGCCTTGAGGAGAAGCGAGGCTGGCACGGGTGGCAGTGGTTGTTTATTATCGGTGAGTCTTTCTTCCGAAGCCGACTCCTCTAGCTGACCCCGAGACAGAGGGAACTATGACCATGTTTGTCGCCACCATCGCCTTCCTCTACCTCCCTTCTGTCCCGACCGACGGCGGCCGCTCCCTCCTGTTCCCTATCCTCTCCTCTCGTGACGCCGAGATCCTTTCCGCCCGTCTCCTTTCCGACGACTCTACAAAAGCTCTCGGACGAGGCGAGAAAGTGACGTTTGGTGATATCAAAGATACCTGTCTCGACTGGCGTCTTTGGGGCCATTGCGCTGCTGCCTTCCTATCTTCGTAAGTCATAGCTCTTCCTTTTCTCTTAGATTCTGAATTGAAGCCTGACGCCGTCGCAGCATCATCCTCACCCCAATCAACACCTACGGCCCCAGAGTGATCCAATCCCTCGGCTACTCTGGCTTCATCGCCAACGGCATGTCCGCCCCCGCCTCCGCCATCGGCCTCGTCTTTTCCGTTTCCCTCGCCTACTCTTCCGACCGATTCGCCGAGCGGGGGATCCATATCTTTGTCGCTATGGCGCTCAGCTGCGCGGGGTGTTTGTGGTTGGCGCTGGCACCGGATGATGTTGGGAAGAGGGTTTTGTATGGTGGGTATTTGATGGCGGCAGGGACTATGGGGTGTGGACAGGCTATCAATGCTGTGAGTCAACTGTTCTGGTATAACCGAGAGGTTGAAGGGCTGACGGGTATAATCAGTCATGGCTCAGTCACAAATTTGACGAACGCCGTCGTCCCATCGCCCTCGCCTTCTAGTAAGCCGCCCTCCCCACCCCTCTCAGTCCCTAGCCCACTCCTCATCCTAACCTCCACCGCAGCGTCGCATTCATCCAAATGGCAGGCTTTGCCGGATCCAACGTCTTCAAACCCGGCGACGCCCCGCGCTACAAGAACGGCTTAATCATTTGCGGCGTTTGTGCTCTTGCCGGAGGAGTGGTGATGCTCGTATGGAAGGCGCTTTATGTTTGGGATGAAAAGAGGAACGTGGCTCGGAATGGGAGCGAGGAGGAAGATGATGGGGCGCATGTGGTATGTTGATCTCTATCGTTTCGTTTTGTGAAGAAAAGGCGCTGATGGTGACTGCAGGAATCGTATCATCTCTCGAGGGATGGTCAGAGCGAACACAAGGACGTCGACGAAAAGTAACCTGCTGTTGATCTGTTATTTATTTTTGAATTGGCTGTATTTTTTTTTGGTTGTTTTCATTCGGATGAATACTATTTCGAGATCCAATAAGAGAATCAGCCTCAGCTTGTCGTACATCAAATATCACATCTTTTGAATCTTTTGAATACAACCACAGCCATCAAATTACCCCAAGACGTCAACAAGATCCAGCTTGGCTCGCGCTTATGTTGAAGATGGCATGCTAATGGCGCCATCGGACTCCAACCTCGATCGTCATCACCTCCCTCCAACGTAGCAACACATCCATCTCTTTGTCCTATTCTCCACTTTTTTGTATCTTACTGATATATCTACCTCTTCCTATCAGCAAGACTCGACTACAGCAAAACTCTCCGCAGAGGGACGCTGTAAACACGGCCCTCGCCGACAAGACAAGACACGACGAAGACTGGTGACCGTGAAATCCTCAATCTGCCTCCACTTTGACGCACCACCATCTCGCCTTGCTGCTCCACTATATAACCCCCTCCCCCATCTCCCCCATCTCCCCCATCTCCCCCTCTCACGCTCCTCCCCCCCTCTTTGCCACAAGCATCGAAGAAACCAAGCATCCCATCATGTCAACCACCGCCCACCCCACCCCTCTCCCATCCCCGCCCGCAAGCCACGACGGCTACTGCTGTCCCGCCTGTCGTCGAGAAGAAGAGCCCGGGGAGCCCGAAGTGGATGATATCTGGAACGACGAAAGCGCCGAAGTGGTGTTGGTCAGTAGCGATAATGTGGCGTTTTGGGTATCGGGGTATCATATCATGTCGCAGAGGTACGTTTCCTTCCATCCAAGCTTGTGAGAAGAGGGAAAGGGGCTGATGGAAGAGGGTAGTACGGCTTTGAGGGATGCTTTGCAAATGAATACCACCCTCCCATCCCCCTCCTCTTTCCCCGCTCCCAATAAAGAACCCATCCGCATAACCCTCACCGACGAAGACTGCGAAACATCCTCCGCCCTCCGCTTCTTCCTCCACCTATCCACCCACGGCTCCCCCTCCTCTCTCCTCCCCAAATACCCAAAAGAGATTGTAAAGATGATGCTGGAAGGGATGTTGTTTATGCGCAAGTATGATTGTGCGCCGGCGCAGAGTTTGGGGGAGATGTGGATGAGGACGATGGCGAGGGGACAGGGGGAGTGGGAACGGGACGGAGAGGGGAAGGGGTGGGGAAAGAGTTTGTCGGTGTTGGACCTGTTTTTGATAAGCGCCAAAACGGGGATGGACGGCGTCATGGTCGATTGTGTCAAGTACTACAGACCCCGTGGCCGATGGGTCCAACCTCGTTTCGCCGACGCTTCCTCCCCGTCAAACCAAGCTGCACCCCCTCCTCTTCCCGAGCCAATCTGGGAGAAAGACGAATACATCCCCATGCTCAACGAGCGCTTCGGCTGGGGCGCATACACAGGTTTGACCCCGGGGGAATTCCCAATCCTAGCGTGGGAGGCTTGTCCGCCGTTGGTGCTTTGGGCGTTGACGAAGGCTTGTGAGAGGGAGGAGGGGTGGGAGAAGAGGGGAGAGTGTTTGGAGGGGATTTTGGGAGAGGTTGGGTTTTTGAGGTAGATGTTTTCGAGGTAGATGTTTTGGTAGGGGTGTTGTAGTGGTATCGAAGCGTGTAAAGAATTAGAAATAAAGCATGAATAAGTGGTAAATGGTAGCGCTGGGGTCATGTTCGAGTACATTCGTATGGTCGTACAAACCTAGACAAACATCTAGCCTCCCGTCAACCTCAAACTGTTATAATGCTACACCCAAGTCAGCTCCACCCCCATACATTGACTCGAAAGACTCACCTCTCCCAAACCATACATCCGTTTGTGATAACTGATCCTGACGACTCTTTCTCCCGCGGCATTGCTCTGCTCCGCGGTACTGGCTCCGCCGAACGTATCTTCGGCACCGCCGTGGGATACGACGGTGGGGGGACCGCGTTGGATGACGTGGATGGGGACAGAAAAGGCGCGAGAGAGAGCTTGCAACTACACCTCATCAGCTCATGCCTCGAAGAAAGAAAGAAAGGTGGGACATACCTCGGGCTCACCGCCCCACTCTCCAGTATTCGCCACCATCGAGCAATACTTCCGATACCCCTCCGGCGTCAACACCCCATCATCCGTCGCACCCGTACTGTCTTCCCCGGTGATGGACGGCAAGAAGGGCATAAAGTCGTCGGGGTGGTCGAGCATGTATTTGGCGGCGTGGGCGCGGATGACCTTGGGGTCGGCGCCGTCGGAGGGGGGGAGGAGGGCGAGGAGGGCGAGTTGGTCGCCTATGGCGGCGTACATACAGTGGCCGTCCGGCGCGATCTAGAACACAAAAGTTAGGATAGGGGAAAGAGAAGAGGGGAAGGGAAGGGGGCTTGCCTCGTGGATGACACGGCCGAGGGCGAGGCAGGCGTCGCCGATGACTTTAATCTCTTCTTGACGCTCCCTATCGAGCTGGGCAGTCCAGTCGGGGTTGTCGGGAGGGGCAGAGTCGAGCATTTCTTGCTGCTTGCGCGCCTACACCATGTCGATGTCAGTTGTGGAATAAAATGTGGGATGAGGTGGCGCACTTGACGTTCTTCAAACTTCTGCCTGCTGCTCTTCTTCTTGCCACCTCGTCCTCCCCCCTGGGCAAGTCCATTCGCGTACATCCCCCCTCCATCCCCGTACAACCCACCTCCAGGCGCAGCACTTTCCAAAGCTCCTCCCTGCACCGCAGCAGGCGCACTCGCCGACAGTCCGCCCTCCGGGGCAGAGGTATGACCAATGACGTGTTCGCGCTGCTGCATCTGTTCTAGGACGGCATCTTCATTCACCTGGGCGGGGGTGATGCCGGCAGCAGATGCTTCTGCGAGGGCGGTGCTGTCGATAGAGGGAGGGATGTCGGGCGGGGGGGAGAGGGTGTGGGGAGCCGAGTGGGGTTCTGTGGGCTGGGGGGATTGGGGGGAGAGGAGTTTTTTGAGGGCGCGTCGTTTCGAGCCGGGCATCGTGCATACATGGGTTTAGCATGGAGCAATAAGAATCAAGGAAGAATAGCGGAGAGTGTACGTAAGCAGCAAGCAGGCGGCCGAGTACCACACTCCAGTATCTTATCGCGTCACAACAACGCGATGGGCAGGAAGGCGTACTCGTGTGAGTAGATACTGCGAGCGGGCAGGCTGACCAGATACAGGCATCCCATGTCGCAGCAAGAAAGTCAAAGTGCGTCCATCGCTTGTCCTCTTGCCGAGCTGACATTGTACCCAAGTGTGACAGACACAGGCTGTGCGGGTACTGTGCCAAGAGGAGTATACAATGCGTCTGGCCAGAGAATGGTGTGACAGTAGAGGACGAGATGGAAGCTTCTCCACCGTGAGTCGACGTGCTTGTCCCAAGGGCATGGCTGAGATTTACCTGTAGTCCGCCCACAACGGTACCCCCTGTCCATACTCGGCCACTACATCAATACAGCCTCTCGCCATCTACAACAAGACCGGAAACATCATATTCGGCTACCCGCTCGTCCTTGGTGGATGTCCCCCAAACAGTCGTCCAGGCTGAGCAGCTCGACCATTCGATATTGAACGACGCCCGGATTGAGCCTGTGGATCAAGATACTGTGCTTTCTGAGAATCACGGTATGGCGGAGAGTGTACGATCAGGGGCCGAGATAGGTGGGCAGAAGGACGTAGGGGCGAGGAAGAGGAAGAGAGCCTTTCCGTTCTTTAGCGGGGGCAGGGGTGGGGATGGGATGGTTACGGATGAGCTGCTGGAAAACCTTCCGACGCATGGTACGTTCTCATAATACTGTTCGCGTTAGGCAGAGGCTGATTGGTGCATAGCCGAATGTGACATCTTGGTACGCCCTCTCAAGTCGAATGGTATAGACGCAGTTGCTGATACAATTGCTTCCCCAGCTCAGAGTCTATGTAAGTCTTCGAGTGTCTCGACAGACGATATGGCTGACGATCTCATTAGCTAGAAAAAGTCGAATGGGTAAGCCACCCACATCCACCCCTCACATCCTCACTCACCATCATCTATTCCAGATCCACCACCCCCTCCACCTCCCTGCCTTTCTCGCCCAATACAACAAATTCTGGTCCATGTCCCCCTCTCAGCGCCGAGTAAAAGTACATTCGAGGTGGACTGCTTTGTTGTTTATCGTGCTCTGCTTGGGTGAACATTTTGGGGATGAAGAGATGGGGAAGGATCGGGATTTGGAAGAACGTCTGCTTGTCGTCAGTCTTATCCTTCTTCGAACTGAGCAAAGAGGGTGTGCTGATCTGGGTTGGTGTGTTGGTAAGGCGACAGAAGATTCATTATCCCACTCCGACTTCTTAGACCAGCCTTCGACAGAAACGATCCAAACCATCATATGCCTCAACTTGTATCTCAACAATAAGAACAAGGTGAATGCTGCCAGGTCGTTGTTGGGGACGGCTATCAAGATGGCCTTTTCCATCGGCATGTCTGTGAGTTTTGTTCGTCTTGGATGATACCAAGGTGGAAGGCTGACGGAGGCGGGGAAGAGGATACCGGATGAGGGGCCGGGTGTTGATCCGCAAGGTATCGTCGACCGCGAGGTAAGCACCAGTCATAAAAGTAGATGTAGCGCTAAACGACAAGGGTAGCTCGGCCGACGTCTCTGGTGGTCCCTCGTCACCCAAGACGCCTACACAGCCTCCACCTCCGGCTTCACCTACCTCATCAACCTCTCCCACACCTCCACCTCCCTCCCTTCCAACCTCAACGACGACGATATCCTCCCCCCGCCCCACTTTCACGCAAAACCTCTCATGAGCGAGAGGGGCGAGAGGGGCGAGGTGACGACGGCGACGTATCATATAACGAAAGTGGATTTCGCGCTGGTGGTGAGGGGGTTTGTGGATCTGGTCAATAAAGATTTCCCCAATGCGGATTATGAAGGCATCATGGCGCTCGACCTCCAATTCCGCCAAGTATACGCCTCCCTCCCACCTCCCCTCCGCCCCGACCTGCCCCAACCATTCTCCCTCTCCCAAACCAGCTCCCAACGCTACCTCCTCCCCCAACGTCTCTTCTCCGGCATAACCCTGCACAACCGCATCATGCGCCTCCACCGCGCCTACATGGTGCGCGGCTACGCCGAGGTAAAGTATGAGTACTCGACCAGGGCGTGTTTGGAGTCGGCGTATGCGCTGTTGGGGTTGGTGAGGCAGGAGAGGGGGATTTTGTGTAGGTGGTGGGTTGTGTTGGTGCAGGTTTGGACGGGGGGGTTGATTATTGGGGTGGATCTGCTCCGGGGCCGGGGCAGGGTGGGGCAGGGAGGGGAGGAGGGGTGGGGGGAGAAGCAGAGGGAGGCGTTGGGAGTGGCGGTGTCTTTACTCGAGTGAGCTCTTGTTTTTTTTTCTTCTTGACGTACAGCTCGAGAGAGAGGGGAGTGGTGCTGATGGAAATGATAGGCCGATATCAAAATCGTCGCCCGTAGCTGCGAGGGGCGTCAAAGTCCTCCGAGCACTTATCGCTTCATCGTTCAACCCACCTCCTCCTCCTCCTCCTCCTCCTCCTCCTCCTCCTCTGGCGGTCCCCTTACCACCTCTCGCTCAACGTCAACGATCACAACGTGCCGACGACATTGGGACGGGACATCTAGGCGAGAGTCGGGTGGCAGAGTGGGGCACGTCGTCGCATCTTCAGTCTAATGGCGGGGTATCGTCATCGGATAGGCTGGAGAGCGTGGGGAGAGACGGGGAGGAGGATGGGAGGCGGATGAGAGGATCGAGAGATATGGAAAGTCAGCGTATGGGTGGTGGTCAGCTCTCGGACGGGGGGAATCAGTTCGAGCTGGGTCACAGTACGTTTCTTCACGTCTTCTCTACCTCCTACAGTACCAGGGCCGAGTGCATGTACTGATTGCCAACAATAGCATCCCTCAACGACCTCGACTTGTTACTCCAGAATGCGCCGAGCTTTGTGCCGTCGGGGTTGGAGGGGGAGGCGGATGATCCGGCGGTGGCAGAGTTTTGGGAGAGCTTGTTTGGGATGGGGCAGTGGTGATGGGGGATGATGCTTTTGTGTGGCTCAGCTTCTACGGCTTATCAGACATAGAGTTGCTCTCTATCTATTCTCTCACCCATACCATATGCCCATCTACTCTTACCAAAGCCCAGAGACAGCTGTCGGCGTAGAGGCATGCGGCGGTTCCGGGTGACTCCAGCGTATAGCAGTGTACTGACACGACTTCACATATTCATTCATTCTTCATAATTCGTAGATTTCCTAATTGACCTTCGGTCATAACGATAATACTGATAAGGACGATAGCCCGTTGACGAACCAGCCGAGTCCACAGAACACTGCCCGAGCTTGGGAAAGATGCCGACGGGGTATGATGAAGACGAGGATCTATAGTCCTGATCAGTTCACATTCTCTCCAACCTTCATTCGGCCTTTCAAGCGAATAGATAGATATAAGAACATGCACTCACGCACGTTACTTCTTCTTCCCACCACCACCACCTCCCTGCTTCCCCTGCCCCTGCCCCTGGCTCTGACTCGCCTGATGCTGCGCAAAATCCGGCGCAAAAGCCCTAGCAATAGCTACCGCCTCCTGCGCATCTCCCGAGTCGTACGGCTTGAGGCCCATAGCGTGATTAAAGTTGGTCCAGCCGCCGTAATCTTTGACGACAGCTTTCTCGGCGGGAGTGAGTGGGGGTTCTGCGTACGCCGAGTGTCAGTACTCAGTGCTGCAGATGGCGGTGGGAGAAGAAGGAGAAGGAGGGAGCGTTTGAGGGAGACTCACGAAGAGCGTCAGTTAAAGGCATGATTAGATTTGTCTAATAGTGGAAGGGGATGGGAAAGCGAGATGCAACGAAAGAGACTGAGAACAAATCAAGAACAAATACCTCACGGGCCAGGAACCGAACGTGGCCGACTCGGTTATTGATGAGGTAAAGTGGGGTTGGTTCATCTCTTCTTCTACACTACTCCCGGCGCCTTATATATCTTGCGCCCTCCGCTATGGAAAGTACTAGAATATCTATGGTGTCCCCTGTGCTTAGTAAGCACGCCCCTGGTAGTATCTACTAGAAGTTTCTACTGTCTTCCCCTGCTTACTAATACTACTGCAAGGACTCCCTCACTTCTATATACCCTACTAGAATATTCCAGAACTGAGAAGTGTCGGTCATCACCGAATGACATCGGTGACGTGGAATCCATCTGCCTCTATTACAGTACGAGTAGAGTATGTACTCGAGTACATGGCTCAATCGTCTAGTTAAGGTCTGATCTTTCCTGTCACTGTGCTCCTTCTATGTCGTCTCTGTACTTCATACCATGTATACATTCTGCTGTTCTACTCTTGACTACACGCTTTGATATTCCAATTCCAACCCTGGAATCATAATACACCCTACAGCAGATCAGCCACACTCCAGCAGGCTGATAAATCGCCTATCGACGTCCCTCCTCCTTCCCGGCCCCTTGCCAACCGATTGGGCAGCGTCTTCAAAGCACCAATGCCCGCCAATATCTGCCTGCCGATCGACGAACCCGTCACTGTCGTTAGAAGCCGCAGCGGGTCATCTCGACGCACTCGAGCGCAGCCTCAACAACCTCGACCCTTTCCCCTCTCGGCCACTTCCTGAGATTGACTAGACAATGCCTCCCGGTAACAACGCAAAATGGCGATGGAGTACTTCAGGGAGGACACGAGCCGGTCGACCCTGTTGATGAGCTGGGGAAATGGGAACCCAAGGTTCGGAACGCTGCACTCGGGCTACTAAAGTCTCTCTCCGTCAACGTTGTCAGTGCCCGAGAGGGGAAAGGGTCGAGGTTGTCGAGGCTGCGCTCGAGTGCGTCGAGATGACCCGCTGCGGCTTCTAACGAGTCAACGACAGTGACGGGTTCGTCGATCGGCAGTCAGATATTGGCGGGCATTGGTGCTTTGAAGACGCTGCCCAATCGGTTGGCAAGGGGCCGGGAAGGAGGGGGGACGTCGGTAGGCGATTTATCAGCCTGCTGGAGTGTAGCTGATCTGCTGTAGGGTGTATTGGCGCAGAGGGCATGATGTTATTGAGGATGAGTAGAGGTGAAGTTGACAATAGTAGTGAGGCGCTGACGGTTAGGGGCGATGAGAAGCAATGAAGAAATGGCAGCGACGGGGGCGATAGAAGGAGCCTTTATATACATCTCAGGAGTGGAGGTGGTGTAGAACATTCTCGCAGTGGCTATGCCAAGAAAGTGGCGGAAGCCGCCTGGAAGTTGCGTGAACATTCGAGTGAACAGTGCCTGGGCCGGTGCCGCACACGGCGCCCCGATTCCCAACGTGGGCCGACTCGGTGACGTGGAATCTATGGTACATATGGCGCAGCACTATGCTGATGCCTCTACATGGCTCAATCGTCCAGCCAAGGTCTGATCTTTATTGCCACTGTGCTCCTTCCATAATCCATCGTCTCTGTACTTCATACCATGTATACATGTTGATATTCACCGAAACCGAGACCGAGTACCTTTTCGACCCTTGACGGGACGACGGGGCTGGAAGATGTGAATCCATCTGCGCATGCTATCATCCATTATTATTGTTGCCCTTTTTCAGCCCAGAGCACTCACTTCACTTCTTCCCACCAGTGTTCTGGCCGCCCTGTTGAGCATCATACGACGCCATCGCCGAAGCAATAGCCTTCCCCTCCTGAGAAGTACCAGCGTCCCAAGGGTTCATGCCGTAGCTCTGAGTGAATTGGGTCCAGCCGCCAGATTCTTTGACAGCAGCTTTCTCGCCAGAGTTGAGAATAGGTTCTGCACCGACTGTCAGTGTCCGAGGCTTTGGCAGGGGAGCAGCGGGGAAGGGGGGGGTGCTCACGGAGCGAGTCGGAACCGGGCATACTGTATTCAGTGAACGTTCTTGAGGAGATAAAAGGCGATGCGAGAGTAAGAGTAGAAGACAAAGAAAAAAGGAAGAGCGGCCATATATGTATACATGAACGGTCCAGGAACCAAGTGGGCTCGGGCCCTCGAGACCCTGCGGAGACCTCCGATCTGCCTCCACCTTGCGCGACCAGCCGAGCGAGACGAGCAAGTACAAGTACGAGTCGCCAGCAGCACAGTCCGTTCGCCTTACAGATGTGCATTGTATCTTGAGAACACCTCAAAGCCTGAGAATATGTCGCACCCTTTCGGCCTCATCTCGCAGCTCTTTGTCCCCCGAAGAGCACTTTGATCAGACGGGAAGAATCAAAGTCGATGAGGGCACTTGCAAAAATGATGACGTGCCGTAACAGGTGACGTGGAACCGGCCATCTCATCGGATCCAAATCGGATCGGTGATCATCCTGCATCTCTAACAATCTAGTCTTCTGATAATTCCACTTCTCTGCCCACCTCTACGACAATCTACCCAAACAAACAACACTCCACTATATCTTTCCTCCTCAAAAGAACCCTCGGTTTCTGTCGCAAAATGAGCAATCCTCCGCCTCCACCTGCAGCGTCGAGGTCGCGCTCGCCAGCACCCGTCTATCGGAGAACGCCTCTGAGGTCTGCCTGTGTCCAGTACGACGTCAAGGTGAGTGCTGATCCGCCTCTGAGCTGCAAGAGGAGAAGTGGCTGACCCGGAGAAGCTAGGCAAAGTCAAAGAAAACGTCGCCAAGGTCGAGGAGATGACAAAATGGTCTGTCCCTTCTCTCCCCCTTCCTCGCTTGCCATTCATATGATCAAAGCTGATTCCTCACTAGGCTCACCCCCGGCTCATTGGACCTCCTCGTTCTCCCCGAAATGTGTCTATCCGGCTACATCTTCCCCACCCCCGCCTCCATCATGCCATACCTCGAACCGCCGAGGATCGGCCCGACGTCGCTTCTTGCACGATCTCTGAGTACCCGATTGAAATGTCATGTTATCGCTGGATATCCCGAGAGACTAGAGGATGTCCAGGAAAGTGGTGTGGTCTCGGGAGAAGCAGGTGCCCAGTCGGAAATGTCAAAAGCCGCTGGCGTGGGGTACAACTCTGCCCTGATCTCATCGCCTTCCGGGGAGATAGTCGGCAACTACCGGAAAACTTTCCTTTTCGATACCGACAAAAACTGGGCGAGATCAGGCGACGGGTTCAAGCATTTCGATTTAGGAGGAGCGCTGGGTAGAGTGGTTGTGGGGATCTGTATGGGCGAGTCTGTTTCCTTCTCTTCTATCTTTTCGTCGCCGAGATACTCTATCAATATTAGCTGACAGTCTGCTAGGGCGTTTTTAGACATGAACCCTAAAGACTTTGTCGGTACGCTTCATCCTTACGTCGGGCGTCAAGAATTCAAGCTAACGGAGGTGGAATAGCTCCGTGGGACGCCTTCGAGCTTGCCAACTTTGTCCGTGACAACGCAGTAGATACCCTCGTCGTCCCGCATGTCCCTCCCCATATACCATCCCCACCCACGAGCTAATACAAGTGTACAGTATGAACTGGCTCGACCCCCCCGCCGAACCTCCCAACGAAGACCCTCCACAAAATCCTCTACAACCATCCATCTCAAACCTCAACTACTGGGCAGCGCGATTAACGCCATTGCACGACCCGGCGCCTGGCTATTCTCCTCCATCTCATTCTGAAGGCGGCGAAGGAAAGGAAGGGAAAGAGGTCGTTTTTGTTACTTGCAACAGAGTCGGCAAAGAAGCTGGTACGCCCATCTCCCTCTCTTTTTCCATCGAGCCCCCTTTTCAAGGGCTTATGTTGTCGAGGGGAGACAGGCAGCTGACGTGGCTACAGGGACAAAGTTTATCGGTACCAGTAGCGTGCTCTCCATGTCGAGTGATCCGTCCAGAATAGAGCTTATAGATTGTTGTAATATCTCGGAAGAGAGGGTTTTGCTGGCAGAAGTGTAGCATCGTTCAAAGCATGCATTGCATATGAAATTCATGTACTGGTGGTATATGCATAGCGCAAGGGACAAATGACTCAAGATAGTACGTGGGCAATGAATGTAAAAAAGAATAATAAACATAAGCCATAAGCCAAAAAGGGAAGCCCTCGGCGGGGCTCGAACCCGCAACCGCACGATAAACTGATGGCCCGTAACCGGTTCAAGCAGACTTTTAAAAGTCGTGAGCGCTACCGATTGCGCCACGGGGGCACCGCAACAGCGGTGCTCGTTTGACCCTATATACAGCAGCACACCAAATCCGTCATACAACACAACTCCCTCGCTTCTCCTGCAAAAGCGGCCAAGGCTTTCCGATGATGGTTGGGGACTACTTGGTGGTCTATCGGGTGCGATGTGAGACACTGCAATTTGTTGACTGGCGATACATACCCCGAATTCCGTCACAAATAGCATCTACTTCCTTCTCCTCGTTAACCGACCAAAAGCACAGCATCACACTGTACTGGAGTATCAATACCAAACAGACACCGCTCAATTGCAGAAAGTTAGAGACGAACGAGTGACTCACGATAAAGCCTCGACAAGATGAGCGACGATGAGAGCCAGCAATCCAATCACCGCCCATACGATTTAAGTGGTGGCCAAAGCAGTGACGGCGAAGCCTATTACAGCCAAGATATATTTGACCCCACTCACCCAACCTACGAGTACAGGCCCCAAGTAAGTGTCTTTGGAGAGAAATATTCATCAAATCATCATAATCTCTTCTACCACAATTGGGGCACGGAGGGTACTGCCGAGGCCAAAACCTAGTACAGTACGAGTAAAGGTCTGACGATATCTGTAGACCGCGTCACTTTCCCCGACAAAACCCGCGCCAAACCCGGGATGAGCAATACGGACTAATCCAGAACCAGCCGGTCCATCACCAACCAAGTCAAGGTCAGTAACAAACAAGTACAAGTACTGTACTCGTACTTGACATGGGTACATTGTCCTGTCATGACCAACATATCTCCGTTCAAGGCACCCACCCGCATACATGAACCCCCGTTGAGCCTGTCCGAGCAAAGTCATCCATAGGCGAGTCAGAGGACGCGCTTTACTCGTAATGTACGTGAGAAACGGTCTCACCCCAACTAAGGCTCAGTCAGCTACCGTGTCAATTCTTTCCATAGCTGCCAAAGATGCCGCTCGCACGTATATTGAAAGCGCATTGCATGTTTATATTAGAAGAAGCACCATCCTTTGGTCGAATCAACATTCTTCAACTATACTCCAAGAGCAGGGTGGCTTTGTTTGAAGACATGAGTGAACGCAGCAGTTAGAAGGGCAGCGCTCAAGATAGCCTCTACAGCAACCAGAGCTGAGGTGGTGAAGGCGTCTATAGCGATGGGGGAAATAATTATGGGACCTTAGAATGGGCGGAGGTAGGTAGCTATTAAGTGTTTATTCCCATATCAATGCGTACGTGTGATAAGGTAGAAGGACAAGCGGGTAAGATCAAGCCTATGCCAGCTAAATAATAGTGCAGCGCCGTTCCAGACTGATCGATGGGCAAAGTCGGCAGAATGTGCCGACACACACTATCTCTCTTCTCTCTGACTAGTCGCAGCAGCAGACATCCCACCAACAGCAGTCAAAGCAGTCTCAATAGGACCAACCTTCCCTGTACTTGCTGAATCAGCTTGCGACCGAGGACAAGCCCATTTTCTTTGGTCCAGGCTTCGAGGTAATGTTCCACCATCAACCTTCTACATAGTGGCGACGACTGACCGTAGCCTGAAGCCAGTACAAAGAGGTCAGTGCGCGTAATTCAACATTCATCCTTTCCAACTCCTTGACCGTAGATTTTATGCTATAAATCGACTTCATGCACCGAATACCCCTTCTCCTCATTGGCCAGGGGCCACTTCATCAGCCTCAAGCACACCCTGAGATCGACGTCTCACCCGACCTATGAGCGTCTTGCCCAAAACCCGAACGAAAAGATGTCATTCTACCCTGCGCCTCGTGGACTTTCAATCTCTGTCCCAAGATGATCGACATCATCGACAACTCCGACTCCTACATGTAGCACGAGTCTCTCGTTTCTGATTCGATGAGTGACATTCTATCCTGCATGCTGTACGCGCTGATATGGCTGGCAGCACACACCCGAGAGCGATCCGACCGCTGAGACAAGGGCCACCAGCACAGACCTTTCCTCTTCCACTCACCCAACATGCAAGAGACGCCGTATCATCTATGCAATCGATGAGGGTCTATGATCCGGTACAAATGCCAAACAGGCGCCATAGCAAAAGCAGACAAGCCCCAGCGGCTCGGTAATAACCGAAGAAAGGATCCACGCGCCACGCGGCCATATCATATACGTAGAAGCAGAAGGGGAAAAACATGTTTACGCGTCTGGATCGACATTGCTTCTTCTTCGAGGGCCCCCCCCCGAATACTCTTCCTGATCGTTTGAGCGAGCTCTATGTGGTATACATACTGACCTGCAGTTATCAATTTTTCCCCGTCCCACTCTCCTCGCATTCTCTCCACTGCGCTCTCCAACGCGCGAGGCGTCTGCAATCCACCTCGATGTGACGCACTATCGGCATACCCCGGCTTCAGTCTTCCCTGGCCCGGGTATTATAATTGAAATTGATCAATACTCGATCACTCGTTTCGTTTCGCCCGCGGACTCAGGTGGTTGTGCGTTCCAGAAGCATCCCACTCTCCCACCCTCCTTCCGTCGTCTCCCTCTCGGAGGACCGAGCGATCCAGGCTCATGCCTGTGCAGTGTGCATCAAGTAGAGCATGCCCCGAAAGGTCCTTTCCACCTCCCACTTGCTTCCTCCACGTGGCCCTTGCCGAGGTGGCACCGAGCTGGAATCGGGAATGGGCCGGTGCACGCGAGAGGTGCACGGGCCGGGATGATGGTCGATGGCGGTGATCCGATCACTAGCATCAGATGTTTACAAAAGGGGTCCAAGTGGGGAGAGGGGCTGTCGCTACGTTTCTGATTCAGGATAAATATAAAGCTGCGCTCATGGAGAAGAAACGCATTCCCTTCCCCAGCTACGTTCCATCCACGTCCAGCTGTCAACAACATCCCTCTCGGCTATCTTCTGCCACGTGCACTACACATCCCACCCCTCACGCCTGAGCAAGAGGCATGATAGCCCACGCCTACTCCCCCGTGAACCTCCTCTGGTATGCCCCCTCTTCCTCCCTTACATCAACGCTGACATCCCTCCCAGCGGCTACTCTGACAACTCATGCACCTGCTCCCCCTCCTGCCCCTGCAAATCCTTCTCCCCCTGCACCACCTCCTGCTGCTACCGCATCCCCCCAGGCCTCTCCGACTCTTACTACGAAATCATGACTGCCTCTTCTCAAACCGCTTCTGGAAGCTCGGGCGGCTCTGCGGCGTCGGGAGGGTCAGCAGGCTCAGGAGGAAGGTTGGTCAGCACGCCAGGGTATCAGTATACGGTTAGCTATAGGGTGGAACATGGGCCGGCGGATGGGGGGTGTTGTTTGATGATGTAGGATGCGTTGGCGGTGTGGGCGGGGTAGTTGGAGAAAGCGAGGTCGATAGAGGACGATGGGGGTCAAGAGTTTGCGAATGTGCTTGGTGGATTTTGGGTGCTTTTGGCTTTTCCTTTCCCATATACTTTAGATTATGACCTCACTTATGTAGCGGTAGTGCTTTGGTATACCTTACAAGATATGTTATTCTGCTGTGCAGCGTCAATGAAGCTTGTGCCGTCTGCTATTGTCTATCGTTTCGCAGCACAGACTTCCCGAGTCCTTTTTTCTCTCGCCTCAGCGGGGCATAGACCAGATCTTTTTCGAGACACAAATATTCGTCTTCTTTCTAGAAACTGAACTTCCCGACGGTGGGCGGCTAGAAGATTAGGCGGAGCTCTCGAGTGGAGAATGGGTTGGCTCGTTGTCAAAACCCAAGTGCCTGTCTCTGGACATCCGCGATATGTACGAGTACGAGTACAGTACTCGTACTGCACTCGTTGTGTGGCACAAAGCTTTACGTCTTCAGCAACTCCTTCTCTAGGCCTGATCTTTCTTGATCTTCACACCGTCCCTACCCCCTTTGCCTTCCTTCTTTCGTTATCTCTTTTCTCATGATGTTTTGCTCTCTGTTCAGATATGATGATAGACGTGTCGCGTCACCATCCCTTTCTTGACTGAACGCAGGCCCCCGCATGTGCTGCCTTTTTGCTGGCTTGAGTGACGGCGAGGTACTAATAGTCGTTTCAGCTTCATCTTGATGTCCGACTACTTTCAACTTCGAACGCTGGCTTTCGCCCATCATGGCGTAGGATCGCTCGAAGATGAGCGCGAGCATGCTCACTTGACAAGGTCGTACTGGAAGCCGGGGCGTCTGTGAGTCTCTCTTCGATACACATCTCGTCCTTCACGCCCACTCTTGCCCATCTATGATACTATAGCCAACACCTGACCTATCACATAGAGTCAAGCCCCCAATCCACACAACGCCCCCATTCTCCCATTCCGAGACCGCAGAGCAACGAAAGTACAGACTCGCGAACGAGGATGCTCAAAACTTGATTCAAACCACAAGGTCGTCTGTTATGCTGGGGATGCTGTTCAGCCCACAGATGAGAGAAACAGCTACTCGTATTAGAGGTGATGAGACTGGAAGGACTGGGCGATAGGGGATGGGGATGGGGAAGGGCTGGTATGTTGGTCATGCCGTGCACGTGAGGCTTTTGATAGTACAGTTGTTGTTTCGTCGATGTATGATTCGCTCTTTTGTCTCAAGAGGCTTCCCCGCTTGTTCCTTGCACATGTCTACGCTTTTCTATCTAAAGACGGTACCCATCTGCTCCTCTCAGACCGCTGTTGTGCGCCTCTCCAGACTCACAGCTCCAGCGGGCAGGGGCGTAGTCGGCGAATAACGCTTGCATACCGATTGCTCCCACTTTATTCTCTCTCACGTCCACCGATCGCCCCAGGAGCATGGTCGCTGCCGTCTCCGGCAGTATGTTACCATGTGTGGCAGCGCAGCTCGGAGATACGTGCTTCACGACTCCGCCTGACGAGAGCCCACCATGCTTCCTCCACGCCCGGACGACCATCAGCACAAACACCAACAACATCTCGCTCTCGCATACAACATCCCCTTTTCTGTCTTCTCTCTCTCCTTTCCAATTGCCCCTTCGCTCGACTCGCAATGTCGCCCCTCTTCAGCATTCAGCCCATCCCGGGCAAAGGCAGAGGTCTCATCGCCAACCAACACATCCCTCGGGGCACACTCCTCATTAGCGATGAACCCCTCCTCACCTTCAGACCCGCCACCAAAGACGGCCGCGCCCGCGCTATCGAGCTCTACCAGCAGCTCCCATACGACAAGAAGATAGCCGTCGAGGCATTCCGAGAAGGGCATGGGCGCATGAGTTTGCGACAAGTGTTGCTCGTTGTCGGTCTGCCGATTGAGCAGCAAGGGGGTCGAGCGGGGGTGTTTGAGAATGCTTCCTTGCTCAATCACTCCTGTATTCCAAACTGTTACCATTGCTGGGACGGGGTGAAAGGGCAAGAGAGTGAGCTCAGTTCTACCGCATGCTGGATAAAAGCTAACCATCGTTTCAGTCGTCCACGCCCTCATCGACATCCCCGCCGGCGCCGAGCTCACAATTGATTACACCAGCGACGACAGCCTCCTCTTCTACCAGCGCCAAGGGGAGCTTCAAAGACGTTTCCACTTCACTTGCTCATGTCCCCTCTGCTCCCTCCCTAGAAGGGAGAGAAAGAAAAGCGCTAACCGCCGTCATCGATACACCCAACTAGTCGACGATTTCCTCACCGCCCTCACCGATTCCAGCCCCAAAGTCGCCATGGGCCTGCCCAAAACACTGTTCAAACTCATCGAGAAAGAGTCTCTCTGGTCCCATCTAGGGGCGAGGTACGCAGACGGCTTCCAGCTCTGCGCCATGCACTCGGACGTCTTTCGAGCCCATGCATGGGCGCGCCGTGCTAAACAGGCATATACCATCGCGCGGGGGACAGATAGCAAAGATGCAAAGGGTATGGCGCTACTGGAGAAGGTTCCTGAAAGGTTTGGGCTCTTTGGGACGTTGTGTAAGATCAAGATGTACCCGCCAGGCGCGTTGTTTGTCCCCGTATGTTCTTCTTGGCTCGCATTCTCTTGGAGTGTTACTGACAGGCTTTGCAGTCTTCTGCGAAGCAAGCTTTTGCAAATGGAGTACCTTCTTCCTCTATCACATCTCCTATCGCCTCTCTTGCCCCTCCCGCCGTCAGCCATCAGACTATCCCCCCAGCCGCCAAGCTCTCCAAGGGTCAGAGGAAGCGTGCTCGCGCCAGGGCAGCTGTGAGTAGCTTTTCGTTCAACATCTTGTTACAAATCGCTCTCTTCTTTCCCTCCTTCATTTCTCTGGATCATTTGCGATACACAAGAGCTGATAGATATGCACAGAAAGAAGCCACCACCGCCACTATACTCACCACCTTCACATCCAACCCCTTCACTCCCCTTTTTCTCTCCTCTTCTCCCTCCACCACCGGTGAATCCTCCAACGAGTCCGATGATGAAGAAGAAGACGTCATCATAGAGCTCGATGCCGCCACTGCTGTCCATCATCAAGAAGACGACGGGCAGGAGGAGGAGGAGTCGAGGTTTACAGAGACGGAGATGGCTGAGATGGAGGATCTCTGCAGGATGATCATGGAGGTGTCAATCGCTGAGAGTGTGTGGGAGGTTAAGGATGAGATGATGGGGCTTGGTGGGCTGCTTGGTGAGTGGGACTGGTAACGAGAAGACAGCAGGGTATACTGGTGAAGCAAATTGGGGAAGGAAGAAGCCGACGTTGAATGATATCTTGGATGTTTATCCGGTGGTTCATCGATGGTCCCAGGGGGGATGACACGTCTATCTAATGTGCAAATATCTACTATGCATTGTTATATACTCTTCAGTGGCCATATCGCTTCGACGTCTATTGTGGTTGTTGCTGCCAAAAGATCTCATCGGCGACTTTGCGTCTCTGAAAGATACCTTTCTCGACAAGGTCAACACGAAACACTTACAACCAACAACCCAGTCGCCGCGTTCCTCTTTGTCATGTCGGTTGATCGTCGCGTCCTCTTCTTTCATATTCTTCTGCCAAAGACATAGCTTCCTTTCTGCCCCATGTGTTCCCTGCCTCCGGAGGTGAAGGAACATAGCGACGCCAATTGCGTCGACGATTTACCTTCCGCCACGATGAAGACCCGCGCTCAAGATGCCATGAGGATGCTCAAGGAGATATTCAATGTCATTTGATAAAGGGTTATCTGTGCAGTCGGCCTCGGAGCAAACTTTTGCCAATGGACCGACATATACCCCAGCCGCTCCAGAAGTGAGATGCGGTGTAGAGACATGTGATAAGATATATGGGAGAGAGATATATATAATCGATACTGTTACCAAATGCAATATACAATATAATGTGGCCCACTCGTTCATCAATGCTTATGATTACGTTTTCGAAGATCAGGACGGTCATGATGATGCCCATTATTACGGCAATAGTTATGACTATATGAATGCCGAATTGGAGAATGAGAGGAGAGAGCTGGAGGGGGGAAGAGCGAAGTTTAGAGAGGTGATGATGAAGATGATTGCGATGGGGGGAGTTGGAAAATAGAGGTGATTGAAGGAGATCTTGGGATGGATGACTAATGACATACGCCGAATCTAGAGCCAAGATGGTTTGCATTGACGTCGGGGTACTGCCTATATACTACTCGTAATCGGTCCAGGCTTGCCTCTCGAGAGTATTGTAACTCTTTGACATTGCCTTTCATTTTGTCCCCTCGAGACTCAATAGCACCAGCACCTCACTCATGGCCAAGAATATCGTCTCTAAGACCTATCTCTCCTCCCTTCCTGCACCGCCTTGATCATCTTTCCACCCAACTGTGTCGCCTCTTCAAACCTTGGCGCGAAAAATTCCGACGTCTCTTCAAACCTCCGCCTGTACCACTCGAAGTTGCCGACGTCGACGCACTCGGACCAGCCTCGAGCAGCGACGACGAACTCGATATCGTCGGGGCGGTGAATACGGTCGGAGAGGGCAGCGGAGAGGGCGGAGGAGAGGATGGTTGGGGAACGGAAGAGGTACTCGGCGACACCTAGCATTGTGTCAGCGCCTCCAATATAGGCAAAGTAGCGGTTGAAACTCACCTATCCAGAGCATGAACACCGGCGTACCAGCCACATCCAAATGCTCATACGGCCTGATTCCAAGTTTCGCCCAACAATCCACCATCGCCAACAAACTCAGATGACTATTCTGGCTCGCTCTCTCCCTTCCCTGCTCTGGCGCCTTGCCCAACGAGAACTGATCCAGCACATCCTCCCCCAGCAATATCGGTGCCCTCGTCTTATCCCCCTCTCCAGCTTCTTCCCCGCGCTTCCACCCAAACACATCTTCCCTCGCTTTCCACACCCTGTCCTCCAGCTCTTCTCCCCGTCCTTCGACCATGAGCTTGAAGAGCTCGGTGGCTGATTGAGCGTATCGGTGGATTTGGGTTTTAGCGGAAGGGTTGAGAAGGGCGAGGCCGGCGTAGACGTGCCATTTGGCAGAGTAGATTCGGAGGGTGATGTTGACTTTGATGACTTCGATGCCGGAGACGTAGCGGGTGGTCTCCCAAGGGTAGTCGGCAGACTTTTGCCAGGCAGTGCCCATACTGTCGAGAAGTCAACATTGCCCTGCAAGGGGGAAGAGGGAGGACTGACCTGAGGAAAGCGGCGTGGGTGACGGCTTGGGTGTTGGCTGTGACTTCGTCGTGCTCTTCGTAGCTCAGATAGACGTATCGACTTTTGAAGCTTCTAAACACGTCCTCTACCATCTTGACGTTCCCCTGGGGACCTCTGTGATGTATGATGATCTATTCCAGTCAGCTTCATTCGACCGTAAGGTCAAAGATTAGATATCAGACTTACTAAAGGTTGTCCCTCCGTCGTCACACTCGGCCCATGTAAACTATGCACACTGGTAATCCCCACATCTTCCGGCAGCCATTTCTCAAACGAATCCTTTTCTGGCGCCTTCACACTCGTCTGACCTGCCACCACAGCGCCCACCCTCGTCGACGGGCCGTACTCTCTCACGACAGCTGGCAGGGCAGCGGCTTCGACAGAGTAGATGATGAATGTGGAAAGTCGGGAGACGGCGTGGCCGTCTTTGAGGGGTGTGATGGTCGAGTTGGCGTAATCGGCTTGCAGAGAAGCGTAAGAGTCGGGTTTGTCGCAGACGTAGATGCTGTTCGTTGGTCAGTCAAGGGGTCCTAATGAAGCGCCAGGTAACGAACGTTTTGATACCGCCTTCTTCAAATCTCTTGGCATACATCCTTCCCATCTAAATCCCATGTCATTATGTGCTGTTCTTGGGCATATGAAGGACTTACATCTCCCATACCAATGATACCCACGATAGGCTGATCGGGTGTTCTTGAAGACATGACTGGTTCTGGTGGGTGCGCGGGTATTTTTGCGGGTGTATACGCTAATGACTCGCGTGTTTGGTCTACTCTTGGGTGTAAATACTTTGTAGAGATGCAAAAGACAGAATGGATGTGATTTTGAGGACGCCGACTCCCATTGAAATGTAACCGCGGGCGGAGCTTGCAAAAGCCGTTGCGGACATCGCCGCTGCCTTTTTGTTTGGATCCAGTACAAACCCAACGCTGATCTCCTGAGGCGTTTGCGTCTCGTTTGCGTAGTTGTTGTCTGAAAGGTCTTATATATCAGTCCGTCATCAGTTGCTTCAGAATTGTCTATACATAAGAAACGTCGTATATATGGCGCCAAACTAGTACGGCGTGATCAGTACAATGCGCAACGTGAGACGACTTTGCGACAGCTGCGTGTCTCGTACCGATAGAAACGGCCATTTTGGCACCAAGACCTGTACGCTAAGTCAGCATCTATCCTACCTGGCTCTTGTAACGCACACTTCGCTAGATAGCAATGTAGTCTCCTTGCTGAAGACCAGAATCCCAAGAAGAGAGAGTTGAATTCGGTAGCTGCTTGCGAAAGAAGTAGTAAAAACGTTACCACCATGGAGAACAGTACCCAAGAGTTGATAGCCTGGGCGTACTTACGATCGACTTTCCTGTCGATGGTTCCTTGGGCCATCTCTTCTTCTATGATGAGCTTTGTTTCCACCCCCTTCCTAGCATCAGAAGTAGATGCAGGATCAATCTCTTCCAATTTGCTAATACCCTTATTTGGCGGATGGGTTGCTTGCTTTTACATCATTTTTCTCTCTCGAGGGGAATTAGACGACGAAGGATCATAGGTGGAACCATATTGACTCATGAGCCTCTGAAAAGGCCCTGTGGCTTCGAGTAGTTCCTACGGGCATCGTCAATGTTCTCGTGCTGGAGTTGACATCAACGCGTCTCACCTCATAGCTTCCTTGCTGAATGATGCGCTCATCTTTGCCATATTTGCCCATCACCAGTATGACATCTGCAAGGGGTAAGATATCGAGATGATGAGTCACAGGAACATGAGTACGATTACTCAGTGGTCCGTTCAAGATACAATTTTGAAGAAGATGATTTCCAACGCGGGCATCCACCGCAGACAGCGGATCGTCCAGAAGGACAACGGAGGTTTCAGCCTAGGCAACTCGAGCAATGCAAATACGTTGGCTGTCCACCGGAGAGGGTGATGCCTCTCTCGCCTATTTGAGTCCTTCAGATTTGATGAGTTTTCCAGAGATATTGGAAGCAGCTAAGTCATCCTGGTGCGGAGTAATGTCGTATCAGTAGCGAGAAGCCCATTGAAGCCATGGTTCAATGGATGATGTGATGTATCTTTAGAGCTCGTCCAGTGCTAGGCTCTTTGATAAAGCAGAACCCCGACATTAACATCCCTAAACAGAGCGAATCTCGACCAGAAATATATATCGGCAGTCAAATACCGTTGAAAGGAACCTTCGTCCGTCACGGCTGCTAAATTCTCATAAGTTTCCCGTTCCAGACTGTGATTCCCAGTCCCATAGCAAGACTTTCGAAGGACATGCAGCAAGAAAAAGCCAGCGACGAGGGTGAGTGCCGTACGCATCTCCTGGGGCCACCCTCCCCTATTTCAGAAATCAGATGCTAAGCTATCCAAACCTCCATCACAGACGTCCAAGCAATCCTCCAACGGGGCAAAGATCAAGCCGAATTTAACGACTCTCTTGTCAGCAAGGACAAATATTTCCGCTTCAAAACCAGCATCGAGCCCGCCCTACCCATCTGCCCCGCCGACTCTACCTGTACTAATCTGGGGAAAGAGCTCGGGATCACGAAGAACAAGAGGTCTTTTGAAATATTCGTAGAAAGGGGTCTACACCGGACCATGATTGATGATCTGTACGGTCACGGTTACATGACTTGCCAAAGTCACTCGGACTGGACTCCTGCCGTCGGAGAAGAGTCACTGTCGTATGATGCTCCGCTGGCATTTACAACCTGCGACGCCGTATATCAGCTACCAGAAGGCTGTGAAGAGCCCCCCGGCTCGTCAGAAGCGTATGGTCATCAACGACGATGCCTAGTCCAAGTCCCTGACTACAGAGGATCCCGAATCGATTCATTCCCCTCGTGGCCGTTCCGCGCGCAAACGGCACGAATAGGTGCAGCGTGAATCATACTGCTATCGAGCTCAGAAGGGGATATCAGCTGAAGAAAAGAATTGCAAGGAAGGAATTGGCTAGCCAGAGACAAGATAGATCTGCAGCCTCAGCAAGTCAAAAGGAAAACGGAAGTGACATTCTTCCCCAGCTCGAGTGGGAAGCGTCTGAATACACCCAAATGGCAAAGCACAACGAAACTGCTCAAGAGCCTCCTCCGACGACATTTAGCGAACAAGATCAGGAACACGAACAAGGCCACACTGGCCACAGTACTATCAGCCGTCCCACCATGTGGCCCACCTTGATCCGACGACCTGCCGATGGGCGCGAGCCGTACTATGAGTGGCTCGAGGGAGATGGCATAACGCTGGTGCAAGTTGGTCAGAGCGTATTTGAGAACGTTAGTAGCACTTCTTCAGAAGAGTGACGTTGAGATATGGCTTTGGTGTGTGGCCTGCCGGGTGATCGTGTCTGATGCAGCGGGAGCTGGTAAAAGCGCATATAAGGCTGTACAGATAAGATAAGTTTTCGAGTGTTTCTGCGAGTTGGGAAAAAGCGCCTCCATATCGCATTTCCTGTTTATACAGCCTACCCACAGCCAGGTCTTCAAGCTTGTGTCGGGCACGATTCTCAGGTAGGTGTCCAAACAAGCATGCAAAAGTCGTGAGACATATTCTCGGACAGCAGACACACACGTCCTGGCTACATACATGTCATCTCATCACTTTATTCTCTTCAGCCGTAGCTTCTGCCATCCTGTCCAGCCGGGATCAGAGAACAAACCTCACAATGCGAACCATAAAAAAAAACAGAGATATGTTTATACGTCTTTTTTCCCACTTTCCTCAGAATCAAGATAGCTCACCAAGATGTCTCCACCAAGCCAGAGCACTAACCTAACAGTCGCCTTCGAGAACCTAATTCACAGTACGGACATCGCTCCGACTCCCGCACCCAAGGCAAGAATCCCAGAGAAAAGACCGGTACCGAGTTGGACAAGAGGGGCAGCAGAGGAGGAAGAGGACTCGTCGGTAGCAGCCGCCGCCGCCGAGCTAGTCGCCTATATCCACCATCAGCAATGTATCCTTACCCCACTCCAGCCAGAAAAAGTAACAAAATGTAAACATACAGCAGCAGAACCATCACTGGCAGCAGCGGTCGCGCCCGAAACGATCGCGGACCCCGCACCCGAAGATCCAGCAGCAGCCTTAGCGGTGTTGGCCCCGGCAGCAGAAGAGTTGTATACGCCCGAGTATGTACCGGGGCCAGAGATTTGGGTGCGGGTTGTACCTGACCCGGTATTGGTTGAGCCGCTGCAGACATATCAGCACAGTATCCTAGAAAGAGAAGATGGCGATGAAGGAAAGAGGAGAAAAAGGTGACTTACGCAATACCACCTGTGACCGGCTGTCCCGTTTGCCTACACGCCTCCTTCAACTGGTCCACCGCGTCCATCAACTGCAGCACATAAGTCCCTGTGACACCCCCTTCATCCACAGTACAATCCATACACGCCACAAAATCGTTGAAGGTCGACTGCTCGCATACTTTCAGACAGCCAGAGGTATCGACGGGGGAAGAGGAGCAAGAGGAGTAGATGGACATGGCGGATTGGCATTGGTCGGAGCAGGCCGAGGGGATGGTGGAGGAGTCGATCTGGCGGGGGAAGAGGGACATGTGCCGAGGGGTGATTTGCGCGGCTGTATGGTGTTGGTGGATGCACAAGTGAGGTCAGGACTTACAAGCAGCGAGAGCGCCGAGCAGTAGAGCGATAGTAAAACGCATGGTTGTTGTTTGGCTCGCAGGTGTGATTAGATATAGACTGCGCGAAACTGCGGATGGAAAAGACAACACTCGACGCTGGTGCTTCTTATACGCTGCGGATTCGAGAGGGTTCAGGGTTGATCCATGGCAGAATGAACGTGCCATCAGCTACCGGCCCTGTGAGCTACATATGTATGCACCGAGCTCTTCCTCTCGTCCCATGCCTGTTCCTGCGCTCCATCTTCTCTCTCGGGGTTCCTTACCAACCGAGCTTCCCTGCATCCCTCCGTATCTTCTTCTTTTCCCTCTTCTCTTTCCCTCATCATCTATTTTCCCGCTCCTCTACGCTACTGTACTCCTCGAAGCCATATGCCCATGCATAGCAGACTCCTCCGCTCGGCCTTCCGCGTCTTCGGACAAACGTCCATCCAGCAACGTAACGTCCCGTGCCTGTGGCTGATCATCCCTATCTTGGCACGGCCCGGCAATCGTGTTCCCTTATCCATATCCGACTCCGGCCCCGTGCTTCTTCCGCGCTTGCCTTACCCGGGCCAGGGAAGACTGAAGCCGCCCTTTCAGTATTATCTTGATGCATCAATCGGTCAACCAGGCATCAGTGCTAGTTTGGGGTGCATACATGGAGCATCTCTTGGAATTGGAGCATCTCTGTCTTTTTGTATATGATACTCACACTCTGAGCTTTGCATGCACTACATACATTAGACTGGGGCATGAGGCCAGCATTCGGACGAGCCTGCTGTCGTTTCGTCGTCTCTTCTATAGCCCATTCCGCATTGCCCTTCTCGAAGGTGGGCTTGAATCCGAGAGTCAAAGTCGACGAGAGAAACGTCAAGAGGATGTTTCTTCTGACAATCTTATTCCATTCTCGCTCACATATCATACAAGAAGGATATACGAATGATACAACACTGCACCGAGTGGAATGACGACCGGAAGTGCAGCGACGCGAGGGAACGAGGGGCCAACACTTCTCTCACGAAGCGGTCAGATTGCACTTATATCTTATATAGAAGACACCGCCGGCCGTGCAGTGGTGGTGTATGCGATTGTATGACTGATGTGCCCCTCTCGAGATACCTCAAAGGTATGCTTTGTTTATGCGAGAGCTATGGTTATGCGAGACGATTCACTCTGTTTGCAGCTATAAAAAGGTCTTTTGAGTTAGATTGCAGGGCAATGATTTACCAGGACGATGCAGTATCTTTCCCAAGCTGGCATCCAGGCCTTTGATGGGTCTTATACCTTTGATGGGTCTTATTAGAAGTCCGATAACGAACCAAGTGGAGAAATGGGAATTGGCATATAAAGCGGGACGCATATGCACATCATCCCATCATTCAAACCACCTGCTGCAATCCCTCACTGCCTAATAATGTACTCAGCCGGAAAAGCGACGTGGTATGGCGGAGACGACAAAACCCAAACGATCTGGGAGGAATCTACCCAAATCGTTGAAAGATTCATGGAGACGATTGACGCAAGCGTACAAGCATCTGGCCACGCGATACCTACTTTCCCTAAAAGTCACGATTCAGTAGTCACCACCCTTGCACATTGGGTCAAGAGCGCGACAGATCACGAAATCGAGCAAGGCGAACACAACAAGGAGGGCTGGACGGAAGACGACGCCCTCACGAATGTCGAATTGACCGCAGAAAAGATTGAAGTGTCAGAGGCCACAGGTGAGGTGCTTGTGCACAATGCAAAGGTGCATGGCGATGAATGGACAGTCATCGTCGAGGACGAGCTCATAGAGTTGCCGGTGGAATGATTACGGCGTGTCCTCAATTTCGTAAAACTGAAATGCACTAATTGGTGCCGGGAGCTCCGCGTTCCATGTAACTGTATACTCTTCTTAGGCCTCTCAGGAGTGCCTACCGAGTAGTACGATAACGGCCCCAAGCGCCATACTTGAGGGTTGAGGCAAGTCTAACTTCCTATCCAGTTCTTTCCAGAAGCTCGCTATCCTCAGACGCTCACCCGATTCTGCAACTGCTGCTTCGCTTTCCCTTCGGCCTACCCACTCACTTCAATCTACTCGAATCCGCCACGATGAAAAGTCTTGCATCGAAAGATTATCTTGAGGGAAAATTGTAGTGAAAGGTACCCTGCGGCTTCAGTCGTCCCTGGCCCGGGTAAGTTCCGCTGCTATTCACCACTTGCAATGCAGTATACAAACCGACAAAGCAGGACAACAGGGCTCAGTGGGAGATGTCAGAAAGGGCAGATGACGTTACCAAGCGGCGATGCACGGTTCAAGTGCCCGATTATCGAACCCAGTCCACCAATCAGATCCCGCCTTGGCCTTTCCATGCGGATGGGCAGAACAGGCGCAGTTTTCGACATGCTGGTGTAACGCTGAGAAACATTCGCCGAGGCAACAAAAGACCCGCCCAAAAAGTACCAATGGTGTTTGGCCAAGAAGACAGTTCATCGTTGATTGATGATGAAGGTGGCGCGGAAGATGAGGCCGGGGATGGTGAAGATGAGGCCACGAATGCTGAAGACGAAGCTGGAGATGGTTCGAGTTGGACTAATGAGTCTGAATATACCAGCCAAGCCGCAGAATAACATATCGCCATACACTAGGGAACAGTACAGCGAGCTCTCAGTTTTGCCGTCCTTGTTCAACTCGGAAGTACCAGGCGAGGAGCCATACTATGGGTGGGTGGATATAGCCGGTGTGCCTAGCAAAGTATCGAAAAGTGAATTCGAGAATGTCAAGGATCATCAGAATCCCAATCGGTCGTGATTACTGGATACAATGATATGATATATGTCTTAGGACTGATCCATGATGATGTTCTTCCTTGTTCTTCTTTACACACCGTCAACAATATAATGCTTGAACGTTTCATACATTGACGGGATATCGAGGTCGATCTGACAATGGCTATGCTACATTCATTATACCACCCTTGGCTCTGGCCAATTCATAAAAGCTATAAGCATATGCGCACCCTCCTTCTTCCCTCAACCTTGTTCAATTGCATCTACCCCTTCACGCTTCCGTACCCCGCTGTAAGCATACGATGCACCCGAAAGGTTACAGTCGCATATACTTCTCAGATCACAAAGAACGCCCCAGCACTAGCACCGATAGCGCCAAGAGCAGCTACGAGACCGATCGAGCCAAGGGAGAAGGCGGAGAGGACGGGCAAGGCGTTGCTGCTAGAAGAGGTCGCACTGGAGGAGGCGTCGCTGGTGGATCCAGAGGCAGAGGTAGATGCAGACTGTTGTCAAGTATCAGATACATATCTTGCCCGATCCGACAAGAGGGAGGGAGGGAAACGTACAGAGGAAGAGACGCTGGTGCTTCCGGTGGGGAAAGCGAAGGAAGAGCTCCTAGTAGAACTAATCTGTCGAGTAGCACTAAGAAGCCAAGCATCAGTACAGCCTCACCTTGCATACCATCCCGGCGTCCACCTAAAGACTTACGAAAAGTACCCCGTAATCGAAACACTCTGCGTCTCCTCACAAACCTCCTTCAACTGATCCATCGCCTGCTCCATATTCAAAATCTCATCATCCGTCACATTACTGCTTCTCGCCGTACACGTCATGCAAGATACCATATTGTCATAGTTGGTTTGAGCGCCGCCGTTGTCTGTGTCTTCTTGGCGGCAGGCTTGGAGGCAGCCTTCGGTGGCGGTACCGGATTGACAGGCGGTGAAGACGTCTTTGGCGGTGTAGCAGATGTCGGAGCAGGAGTCGGGGATTTCAGAGTAGTCGAATTGGCGAGGGAAGAGGTGGGAGGAGCGGGGGTGGATGGCGGTGGCTGCTACGGCTTCTTCGAGTTAGCTTGGACATACTCGAGAGGGAGGCAAAACCTACAAGAGACACCAGCGCCGAGAGCGAGCAAAGTAACAGAGAAACGCATTTTGGCTCTAGATTTCCGCGTTGAAAAGCTAATTGAAGGCTGCGATGGGATGCAAAGCGAGCAGACTGAGTCCCTTTCATATGTACATTTCCCCAAATCCGAAGCGGTGCTCTACATGCCACCCCCTTTGCAATTTGAAATGTGGCCTGTGGTCGAGCGTACTGCCTAGCGTGCGCCTGACGCCTGAATTTACGCGCGCGCTTACCTTGGGACCAAACACTGCACAGATGCATCGCATGGCCACTTTCCCTCCCCCCCTTCTCCGTCTTCCTCTCTTCCTTTGCCCCTCCACTTTCCCTCCTTGTGGATGACATACCTCTCAAACGTCATTCTGCCGCCGTGCTTCTCACAACATGTGTATGCAGCGTCATAAGAAAGATACAGTACGAGTACAGCCACTCGGCACACTCGGTGTTCCGGCGAAAGGGCGTGTGGTACAGGAGGAGCTAATTGGACCATCCGCCCCTGTCTTGTCCTGGGTGCCTTGCTTGGATTTGTCGATCTGTTAATCGGATTCTTATCTCGGCAGCTCGGCATGCTTTGGGCCCTTCGGGGGTCTGGGGCTGGGGTCCGCCTACAGTATATATATATAGTCCGTGTTATTCAGGTTAGAGGCAGCTGGGGCCGTTGTTAGAGCGTATATAGGCGCCGGTGGGCATGAGCCTGCGGGACCCTGGTCGGGGGTCGGGGGAGAGAGTAGTTAGACTGGTGGGTGCCCCAGGTATGGCAACCCATATATGTATGCGCTGCTAGCCTGCTTGATCGCCCCCGAGGATGGTCCCGAGATGAGAGGGTAAGATTGGACTGGTTCTGTACTAGTCGTCGCTCGTGACGTGGAGGGGTTCTGTTGAGCCTAGTTCTGTACGAGCTCTACTCGTACAGTACATCACCATCATAACAATCGAAAACGCCTCTGTTATGTCCTTGAGAGGATCAGAGCGCTTTTGTGGTCCATGACCCAAGATTGTTCTACCATACCGCCTCAATTCGTCAAATGATTCAGTGATCCGAAACTCAAAGGAAATCTCGATGATGTGCATGAACATGACAGCGAGGGCTTTGAGGACACAGGTTTAGGAAGGCAGATTGAGCTGATGAGTCTTGTCGTTGGGAAGTGCTTTCATGATTTCCCCTCACACTCGCCCCAGAAGCCTCATGAATATCCCACCAGCTCAATACCATTATACAACTCCTTTCAATCATACAGCTATGCCATCACCCTCATCAGCTACTAATAAAGTACAACAGAGATCGACGAAGAAGAAGAGGTGGCCAGTGCAGAGGTATATCGTTGTAAGCAAATCCATTTGTGCTGTGTACCAGGACCAGGACGGTCAAAAGACGTAGTAGGATGAGCGATTGACCAGCTGGTTATCGAAGTATTCAGGAGCAGAGCGATGGAGGATTGTTGATCCAACAGGAAAGAATTCCCCAGGGGGCGAAAGACGTCTTTGAGAAAAGCGAGGAGGTACTGGAGGCAGAGTGATGGAAAGTGGAACCGACTCGGTGTAAGACCCCAGACAATAGCTTGCGAGTAGTGTGCATATATCATTCGAGAGAGGATTGGCTATGTACATACCTACGGGGACGAGATGAAAGAATGGGCGCACCGCGCCAACACCGCGCAGCCTGGCTCGACACAAGCCCCTTCCCACGGAATCAAATATTGAATTCTGAAATCCTTAATGCTAATGGCGGAGTAGGACAAGCCCTTCCCTCCGCGCTTGTGTCGAGCCAGACCGCGCAGCACTCATGTTGATATTCCGCCGGGATCAAATGTGGATTGACGTAAGTCACCTCACGTAACTGCGCTCATCAAGGCATAGTTTCACGACCATGCATGAGCATACTGGGTGATGTTGTAGACCATAGCAGTGGCCAGAATGTGCTGGCACAGGACGTGGATGGATGAAGAAGCGGAAAACAGTAATACACCGCGGAACGACGTATCCACCGTTCTGTACGCCCCAAGACCTACACCCAACCCATGCATGCATACCCTCCCCCTCTACCCATGCCCCCACCAGCTATACACCCCCCTGCCCCAATACCAGCGAGCGCAGAAAGCAAGGCATTCCGATTCGCCCCAGTGACGGGATAAACCGGATCTGGGTTGCCTCTACCGGCGTTAGGAAAAAAACTCCGCTTGGCTGGCGGCCCTATCATCTTGAACGATAATCATCGTTACGCCCCCATCCACCACTCACAAAACCAGCCATGTCCATCCTCCGCCTCCGCTCCGCCTTCTCCCCCCTCAACAACGCCAGGCGCTACGCCACCGCCTCCGCCGTCCAGGTCACCTCCTCCACCTCCAACGCCTCCGCCAGCATCCTCGGCAACATCGAAGCCACCTGGAAGAACCTCCCCGCCGATGAGCAGTACGAGATCTACCAGCAGCTCGAGCAGATCCAGAAGAAGGACTGGAAGGAGTTGACAATAGATGAGAAGAAGGCTGGTGAGTTTTCTACTTGCATTTTGCGGTTTAGAGGCCGCTAGGAAAAAGTGCGAAGGCGACGCGGAGGGGGCGTTTTGGCGGGAACGTGATTGGGCGACGACGTGGAGGACGTGCTGGGGCTGCTTTCGTCGTGTCTCGGGGCGTATCCTGGGTGCTCGAGTCCCCCCCTGTGTCCCCGGGGGGTGATGCGGTGGAGAATCGTGCATACACTCGCGTCTCTTGAAATGCCTCAAACCTCGAATCGACCCACGCTAACGCCCCATCTCTTTTCTTCCCTCCCCCCTCGCACTCAACGCTATCACAATCAACAGCCTACTTTGTCTCCTTCGGCCCCCACGGTCCCCGAGCCCCCGTCAACGGCCCCAACCACAGCGTCAAGGTCGCGACCGGTCTTGCCCTCGCCCTCGGTTCTGCCGTCGCCCTCTTCGGCTTTGTCAGGTCTAACGGTGAGTTTTCTCGTCCATCTACTTGTCGCCCGGGAGAGCAATCGTATTGTTGGGGGTGGAATGTAGTGGAGTGGAGTGGGAGGCCCGAGCTTGCTCGATACCCTTGCTGCGCGGGTTTACCCGACCCCTTCCTCTCCTTGTCCCTCCTCCCTCCATCGCCCTTCTACCGCGTGAAGAAATGTCAAAACAGCAGCTGACCCTTACGCTCAGCCCCCCCTCCTCCCGCTACCATGAACTCCGAGTACCAACAACAGATGACCGAGTACATGAAGTCTCAGAACATGAACCCCATCGTGCGTCTCTTTTCCTTCTTCCTTTTCTTCCCTTCTGTCTTTTTCCTTCTTACTGGCTTGTGCTTTCTGCTCGCCTTGTGCTTGATTTGAGCCTGCTCCCAACTTGAATGGTCGAGTGTCAACTCGGGAGTGAACAAGAAACGAGATGCGCGGCATATGGTGCTACCCAGGAGAAACGGTATCACGTTCCACCCCTGTTACCCGCTCGCCATGTCTGCCTATCGCCTATCAGATATCGGAAGTTTGGGTGTCGCGACGCAAAGAGGAGGTGGGGGTGGTATTGTCGGTGTCGATGACGAGTCCTCAGCGGGCCCCGGTCTCGGTCTTCAATCGTCGCTCCCCCGTCTCCTTTTTGCTTGCTCTTCCTCCTCCTTCTCTTTACTTCCCCTTCTCCTTTATATATCTTGTCTCTCCCCTGTTACCTCTCTTCCCCTCGTCTTTACATTCCCCTCTTTTCTTTCCATCATCTTCCCATCCCCTCTCTTCGACCCCCTCCCCCGACCCCCTCCCCCTCCTCGAACAAAATCAGAAGCTAACCCACCTTCCTCCAACAGTCCGGTATCTCCTCCGAAAACTACAAGGGCAAGGGTATGGTCCAATCTCCCTAAACTCTTTCTCGACGAATGGACTTTTGAGGGATGGGGATTCAGGAGTGTTTGGGATGTATGGGATGTGTGAGATTGGTGTTGTCTGCGATGTCGGAAGGAGATGGGGAGAAGTGGGGAGAGGGGAGAGAAGGTTGGGGAGGGAGGGGGGAGGGAAGAAAAAGAGGGCAAGACAGGGTTTTACACCTGTTCTCCTTCTTTCATACGCATTCTTTCTATGGATTATGGAAACCAAAAACAGATACCATCAATTCTGCAACATCTACCATACCATCGAGTGGATTCGGTATCAGCGGTGCAGCTGCAGCGGGACAAATCAAAGGTCATGTGCTGGTGCTGGTGCTCGTACTCGTACTCGTTCTGGAGAAAGCGGGGGACAGGGTATTCATGCGTTTGGGCTATGAGGGTGCGATAAATGGACTCTACCCAAGCTCCAAGTCAATCAACTGGCATCTCCACATCGCCTCCTCCTCCATCCGTCATGATGTACCTCGCCCACCGTCTCTTCCCGCCTCCATTGATCGCGACAACCCTTTCTCTTATCATCCTTGCCTGGCTCATCTCTCATCCACAAACACCCTGGACACCCTGGAGCACCCTTGTTGGCGAGAATTAGCCTTATAGGGCAACGACGCGATGAGCAGCATCGGGGGTCCCTGAAGAAGTGAGCCAGTCTTGCCGAGCAGTTGTCCATGGCATTCAACAGCCCACGACCAAAAGACACCTGGGCCTGGCAGGCGAAAAAAAAAAAACGTACTTGTACTCTATGTCCCACGATCCACAAAAGGCGGCGGAAACAGCACCTCAGAGGATCGAATCGGACCAGTGCCACTCTACCACTTTAGGGATGTCGGGAAAGGTTTAGGATTTTAGAGAAAGTAGACATGATATAAAGCGGATGAGGAATAAGGAGAAGAGTTGCATCTGACCGATCAGCTTTCTATATCCCACCAACCTCCCAACTCTTGCATTCACAAATTCACAAGAAGGCGTTCATCTCGGAAAGCTTCGAACCCAAATTACACAATATCTTACTCCAAGAGCCGAGCGCGATAAGGCGACCCAACAACGCCCATTGCACCCAATGCACCCAATTGTGAAATGCATACAGGTAAAGTTTTAGACTAGCCCAGTAGGCTTCAAGCTCGCGACATGACTTGACAGATGATTGTACTCTGTCGTCGGAGAATGTAGTAGTAATAATGCGCGACGTAGCCCTCGCCCCCCTGCATCGTGCGGTTGTTATTCCTTGACGCGAACCGAGTCGAGTTCAGAACCAGAAAGTATGCATAGCTAGAGCTATACACACAATGCCCTTTAGTGCTATCTCTGTGCGTCGAGTCTCACAGCAGTATGCGCTGCAAAATCTCGCGTAGACAGCTAGCTGTACGTAGCCAGAGCCTCCAGGCTAGGGCATCTGTAGTTCTCAGTACCACATGTGTGTTTCCAACTGGGCAACGGTGATCCCATAGAAGTAGAAGCTGTCACGTGGGGACAAAGCAAGTACATGACGATAAGACAGTATAACACTCCGAATTCGAGTCTCGAGGCAGTGAATGCCGCTGGGACAGTATGGAAGAATGCAGTCGGTAATACGCTGAAGGCCCCGTGAAGCAATATCTTAGATCCACAACCAGGCCGTACAACGAGCGATCCACAGGGCGCAAGCAGACTCGCGAGGAACCAAACAGTTTCACGCGCGCGCATCGGTGTTAAGCCCCCGTGCCTCCACTTTTTTGCTTTTGTGCGCGAAATGCCCCGTAAGTAATTTGCTTCCGCGGGGATCATAACACCGTATCGCCGGGTGGACATGGATGGATGACTGTTGCAGGAATACGTCGAAGCCATCCCTCAAGCACCGTTCGACACACTCGCCTCCCCCCGGCAACGAACGCCCTCCCTCCAAAAGAAAAAAATAGTCATCATGGCCGCTCTCCCTACCGAAGTCCAGAAGGTCGCCAACGAAGGAACCGTCAAGTTGTTTGGCAAGTGGGATGCTGAGGGGTGAGTGATTCTTCTATGCATCGGAGGATTAGAGGGAATTGAGAGGGGCTTGGGGAGATGGGAAGGAATGGATGCGGCGGTCGAGCGAAACTTGCAAGGAGGACGGACGAAGCGCGATGGCGAAACTGGCGGACGGATGGACGAAGGAAGGAATACGCAGGAGGACTATTGCTGACGCCTATACCAGTGTTGAGGTTAAGGACATCTCCCTTACCGACTACATCAACGTCAACCACGCCGTCTACGTCCGTACGTCTTCTTCCTCCCTTTCACCCAAAATGACCTTGCGCTAACTTTTTATGGTAAAGCCCACACTGCTGGCCGATACGCCAAGAAGCAGTTCGCCAAGGGACGTATGCCCATTGTCGAGCGACTCGTCAACGCGTGCGTTTAATCTCAAGCAAAAGGATATGGGAAGAGAAGCTGATTGTGGGAATAGCCTTATGATGAACGGCCGAAACAACGGTAAGAAGATCATGGCCGTCCGAATCGTCCAGCACGCTTTCGAGATCATCAACCTCGTCACCGAGCAGAACCCCATCCAGGTCCTTGGTACGTCCCCCTCTCCCCTCCCCCTCCTTCTCTTCTTTTTCCTCTTGCAAAGACTGAAACTGACGATTGGATGTAGTCGACGCCATCGTCAACACTGGTCCCCGAGAAGACTCTACCCGAATCGGTTCCCAGGGTACCGTCCGACGACAGGCCGTCGACGTCTCTCCCCTCAGGAGGGTCAACCAGGCTGTCTCTCTCTTGACCACCGGTGTATGTCCTCCTTCCTCTTCCCTCCCTCCCCCTTCCTCCTTCTCTTTCCCATCCCCTTTCTATCCCTCTTCCCCTCTCCATGAAGAGCGACAACTGATAAAGCGTGTTTAGACCCGAGAATCCGCCTTCCACAACTCCAAGTCCGTCTCCGAGTGTCTCGCCGACGAGCTCGTCAACGCCGCCAAGGGCTCTTCCAACTCTTACGCCATCAAGAAGAAGGACGAGCTTGAGCGAGTTGCCAAGTCTAACCGTTAATCTGCCTACTCCCCCATTTTCTATTCGAAATGTGTGGACTGGTATTCTTTTGCGGTTGGGTTTTGGAGGGTGTAGCGGGAACAGGAAAGACGAGGGGGAGGCCTTGCGGATGGGAAAAGGCCGAAAAACTGGGGGGTATTGGGTCTTTTTCTAGGGATCTGATATTTCTACTTCTCTGCATTCGATTATACGAACACTGAACACTGAGCCTGGGTTTGAGTATTCGCAGGACATGAGGAATGAGCGCATCAAGGGACAAGGGACAAGGAAGGAGTTGGGGGATGGACAAGGACGACAGGGGCTTGGTTGGTGTCTGCTTGGGCGCTGGGGCTGGGTGGTGACTGGTGGCTCGGGTGCTCTACTGACTTTACATCCTTACTAATCGTATACTCAACGCTGACAACTGGTCTAGGGACTTTTGAAAGCAATATTTGATGGTGAAGGACACTGTACATGACATTGCTACCCAGCGCTAGGCTAACACATCCTACCTCCAGCAGTCACTTCCCAGACCACGCATGAACTGTTTCGCTCAACACGAGTCTCACCGCTCACGTCACAACGTCTAACTAATCTTCTTCCTCTGGCGGGTACGCATACTTTCCCAAAGGCTTGTCCTCAATATCGTGGTTCCACTCTTCATAATCAAAGTCGCCCAACGTCACCTGCCAAACCACATCAGCCTCAGCCTTTCACCCTGTCCCTCCTCCAACGCAAAACAGACAAAGTAACTCACCTCAAGGACTTCTTCCCCCGGTCCCCACCCCCTACTTGAACCCCTCTTCCCCCAAACCGGATGACTCTTGGGGTCCTCGAACCAAAACTCATTGTCTCTGGATTCCTCTCCCCCGTAACATTCTACCAAACACCCCGCATCTCTCGCCGCCCTCCCCCACTCTCTGGCACTCTCCTCGTCCGAAAAAGCTACACAACTTACGAAACCGTCCAAAAACCTCGCGTAGAGCATCTCCCAGAACCCCTCTTTGGCGAGGAGCACGAGTATCTTTTGGATCATAGACAGCAAAGTGGGCAAGGGGGCGGAGCGGAAGGAAGAGAGGAAGGTGCGGTTGAGGGTGCTGTATGTGTTGCGGTTGTTGTCGGAGAGTTTGGTCTGGCCGGGGGGGAGGAGGCAGAGGGGACAGGTGCAGGTGATACCGCGTTTTGCGAAAGAGGATTTACGGTAGGTAGAAGTGTTGTATCCTTCGGGATGACGGATGGTGAGAGGTTCGCCGAGGGCGATATCTCTTAGCGCAATCACATCTACCCATCCCCATCACCATCAGCATCTCACCTCTGAAAAAATCTGAAGAAAGGCAGTCAAAGCGGGAAGCGGGACTTACAAGTCCAATTCGTAGCCTCATCAAACATCCACTTCGCATTCGGCACACAACTCCTCCCCATCGCCGACACCTGCGCCACCACAACCTGCCCCCCCTTACTCCCCAACGGTAAACTATTCGTCAAAAACGCCCCATATATCCCCAGCTCGGGGTACATATTCGGCAGCGCATCGAGCACTTCTTTATTCTCTGGTTCGTCCTTCCTCTGCTGGTATATCGCTTCGGCTTTCTTGCGGTTGAAATTGGGTTCGGTGATGGCGACAGGGAATTCCCACATGAATACACGTCCGCGGGGGATGTGTCTTGCTGCGAATAGGGTCTCGTCGTCGGATGTGGCAGAGACGAAGTCGATCCGCCACCAATAGCCGGTCATGCCGTCTGCTATTTCGGATTGACGTTTCTTCTTCTTTTGGCGTTTCTTTTGGCCTTTTGAGAGTTTGGTTTGAGGGGAGGGGTTGTTGGGAGATGTTGTAGGGGGTTGAGATGGGGGTTGGTTGATTACCGGGTTGGCGGAAAGGTCTGGTAAGGTTGTGTTGGTTGACTCGGGAACGGGAGAGCGGGGATTGTTCGGCTTCTTATTGTCGGACAAGTCGAGTTTGGAAACCGCTCCAGCCATAGCCTCTACATTCTCCTGCAATCCCAACTGGTATGCAGCAGCTCTCGCCGCAGCCGAAGCCGAGCTTTCCGATTCCGGCGTCACAGGTCGCTGTCGTTGTTCTTGTCGGACAAGGGTGTGCGGGTCCCCCATCTTTTGAGGTTCCTCATGTCCTGGATCGGTAAATGGGGAGAATGGTTTAGATTGATGTTCGTATATAGGCGAGAGGTACGGGCGAGATGGTCGGAAATCGGGAGATGATTTGGGAGAGAAGGTGGATGGATGAGATGGCGTTTCCGGGAGAGTTGGTTGTTGACGCGGTGGAGTAGTAGGCTTGGCAGAGGGGTCTTGCTTTGGAGTCATTGTAGAGCTGATACTATCTTGAGGGATCTATACCATGTCAGATAACTGCTAGATGATTGACGGAATGCTTACCGCTTCGGGATGGGGATCTGATTCTTTCTCCTGGACACTGCTCTCCTCGTTCTGACTCTTCTCTTCAATCTTCTTCTCGCTGCCAAGTTGGTGTCGGTCCATGATGGTTGATGAATCTTGGAGAGATACTTGAGGACCCACAACTTCCGCCTTGTCCAAAACCACTTCTTTCCTCCCAAGCGAGTGCGGGACGGAAACAACATCAGCGGAATGAGAAACACTGGTCGTCGTAAGAGGAGGCGGCGCATCCAGCTCTGGTGCCGATACAGCTCGTGACATGCGTACTTCCATCTCTCCCTTCGGCTATAGTTCACGTCAGAGGATTCAACGATTTGATGAATCACTCACAATCCTCCTGGTCCGAGTCAAACCCCCGGCCGCAAGGCCACTCGCACCTCCTCCACCTCTCCGTTCCAAATCCGAAGGCGCAGACGACCGTCGAGCTGGCCCTGTGCTGTTGCTAGCACCGGTAACTACAGCGCAGGGTGGTATGATGGAGGTCCAAGACCGGACAAGGTCCCATTGAAAAATATCCTCCCCCTCGTCGCCGGCTTTAGGAGAGTCCCTGTGAGATGATGACCGGGCGGGGGGCTCGTCGAGATGGCGAAAGTAGATGCCCGAGACGTCGAAGAGGGAGTTATTGGCCATGCTCTTGCAGGAGAGAGGGGGGATGATGGAGATGCAAAGAAGGGAAGATGAAAAGTGAATGCGAGAATGGATGAGAGAGTCCTTTGGCGGCCCGAGCGTGGTGTCCATCTCCCTCTTGTTTGGTTCTCCGTCGGCTTATAATCACGCTTCTTCCTCAGCGTCGCAATTGTCTTTCCATCTGTCCTGGATTTTTCTCCTGGATTGCTAAGAGTATAATGAGAGCTCGATATGCCGGCTCAAGATACCATGGCTCGCGGTGCATGCACCAATCATTGATCATTCAACATGAACTACATTCCTTCTCGCGCCTCCAACTGTTGCCTTCCTCCATCGACTGATCTCACTCCACCTGATCAGGTGGATACGCATACTGACCAAGTGGCTTCCTTGTACGATCCCGCTCCCAAGTATCATAATCAAACCTCCCCAACGTCTTCTTTGAGCACAGTCAGCCCTTACTCTTCCTCTTTTCATCCACACCCAGAACCCACCTTAATAACATCCTGCCCCGGCCCCCACCCCACCTCCCCCTCCTTTCCCCTCTTCCCCCAATTCCCATGCCCCCTCGGATCATCCATCCACCCCTCCGCATCCACCCTCTCCTCCCCCCACGGTAAACAAACCAAACACGCCGCATCCCTCGCCCCTCTCGCCCATTCCCTCGCACTCACCTCATCGCCAAACATTACACAAGCCTTCACCCCCCAGCTGTACCACCTAAACAACAGGGACCACGTTTGTTCTTTCGCCAGGAGGAGGAGCATGGATTGAACGTCTTTGAGCAGGTCGGAGAGGGAGGTGGTGAGGAAGTGGGATGGGGCGTCGAAGGGAAGGGAAAGGTGGGAGAGGTGGAGTCGGTTCTGGTCGGATTGCTGGCATTCGTCTGGCGAGCGACGGCAGAGGGTACAGGTGCAGGTGATACCTTGCTCTGATAGATAGTTGTATCGCACGAAAGAGGTTGCGAAGCTCTTCATGTGACAACGAGCGAGTGGTGTATCTTTCGGGATATTCTTGAGAGCGATAACGTCTACAAACCATTGTCAGATCTTACTCCCCATAAGAGAGGTAGAAACGTACATCCCCAGCTTTTACTTTCATCCCGCAAAAAAAGCACATTCGCATCACACACCTTTCTGAGCTTTGAGATCTGCGCCAGCGCCGCCCATTCACCCTTCTCATTATTCAAATCCACCTTGCAAGTCAACAACTTGCCATAAAACCCCATCTCCGGATACTCATTCCTCACCCCCTCAAACAATCCTCTAACCACCCCGTCCTCCTCTCCCCAAGTGTTTATCTCTTCAATGTTGTCTCGACTCATTTCGAGGGGTATAGGCCCGACGGATTCTTCCCATATGATAATCTGTCCGCGAGGTATATCTCTCCTAGCGTAAAGCGTATCTCTATCCAAAGGGTTTGAAGAGTTTGAAAGGTTTGATGAAGAGTTCGATTTCCACCAGTAGCCCGTCTTGCCGGCTGCGATAGCTGCATTCTTCTTGGCTCTGCTGTTTTTTTCTTTTTGGCGTTTCTTTTGACGCTTGCTGAGGCTGGGGTCGGGGTCGGGGTTGTCCGAGGTGTTGGTGTCGTTGGGCGTGGTGTTGGAGGAGCTGGTGAGATGCGGGTCCGGAGGCGGTGTGGACGGAGATTTCAAGTCGGGGGTGGAGAAGGTCGAAGAGGATGTTGTAGCTGTAGATGGTGAACGGATCTGCCGAGCTGTACTCTTATCATTCTATGATACACAGTCCATGAGCATATTACCCAACCATCTAGGCTCAAGCGACTCACCAAGCTAACCACCCCCATCTCACAAACAAGCGCTTCCCGACTCTGCCCCATCAACGACGGCGAATGTGATCCAGAAGCACGCCTTGACAACTTCATCCCATGCTCATCTCCATCCATTACAGAATCCACGGGTGTTGGATGTACCATCGAATCTGCCAACTTGCTGCTCTTTGTAGATTCCAGACGATCGGTCGATGATCGAAGCTCCAATCCGGGTCAGCGTGTCTGACAGCTGACTTTGATGGCCAAGAGATCTGCGGTGGGTGGGGTGAAAGTGGGAGGGCGAGATGTTTCGAGAAGGGTGGAAAAGCAAAATGAAGATAAATATCGTCTGATGGTGAACGTGTCAGTGGTTAAGGGGTGCCGATGAGGGAGGAGGCTCGAGCGTCCTTCCACACCGCCACCGCGTTCAATCAGTCACCCCCATACTTCACTGCACCCCCAAGCATCAAGCACCAACTCCAAGCACCAAGCATCAGCAAGAAGACAAGAGGGGTAGACTGAAGACCTCTTCATAAACGAAAAAACAACTCTTCTCTATCTATTATGGTGTTTTTGCTTCTCACGTTGATCCATCTTTTTCCCTCTTCTTCTCCTTCTTTTGATTTTCTTCTTCAACCTTCACTCTCTGTGTTTGAGTCTCAAAGAATCGACTCAAGCAGCGTAAGCAAGCAAGTCAAAGAAGTATGGGGTATTGATGGCACACCGTCGTTTATATAGGTGTCTTTTGGTGTGATGATTTGGGTGATGTGATGGGTAAGAAAATGCGAAAGATGATGAATGGATGGATAGATGCTAGATTATCGGCTTCAAGATGCAACTACTCCCACCCCATCAGCGACCCCAATCCTCACCCTCACCCTCGACCACCCATCCGAAGAACGCAAAAAAACGCACCATCCATCCTCTAATTCCGACACGGATCACAACAGATAATCCCCACATCCTCACTCCACGCATACCCCCACTGCACCAATGCCTGCATCACACTGGTGCCCAAGCGCGTCTTGCTTGCGCCGCGGTTGGGATCTTGGGTGCCTACGTGTTTTTCGGAGCCTATCACGATGTACGCTATTCACCGTGTCAGCTTTTGCTCAGACAAATGATGAAGGAAGAGGAAGAGGAAGAAGAAGAAGAAGAAGAAGAGGGGGGACATACCAAGACCCCTGAACCGCTCTCTCTCAAGCTCCGCCAAAAACTGCCCACAAATCTCCACCCCCTCCTGCCCATGCAACGTATGCAAATCCAAAACACACTCCACCCTCTCCCCTTCTTCCAACCCCCCCTTCCCACCCCCACCCTTGCTACCCCTGGCGTTGCCAGCCAAACTAGCCACGGACGCCACACCCAACACCACCCCCAGTCCCCCGCCGCACGGTTTACCCCTCTCCCTCGCATCAGCCGGGTCGGTAGACCAAGAGAGGGGCCGGGCCATGATGGCTTCGCGGGCGAGGGCGGTACGGACTTTGATAAGTTCTTGCGCAGCTTCGGCTTGTTCGTTCAACATCCGCTGATTGAGCGCTTTACCCTCGCGCGAAAAGCGTTTCGCAGCACCCCCGTCGCCTCTTCGGAAAGCGTCCGCCGCGCGGGCGAGGCAAGCGTTACGAGCGTGGCCAAGCCGGATCGACCCAGCGCGAGAGGAGAGATACGTCTCATTCGCCACCGCCCCCGTCGGCAGCGTCGGTAACAATACCGGTTTCCTCAACGCCACCCTCGACGACGCCTTTGGCACGATCGCCACCCCCGCCGAGTCGTCCGAGTAGACAGACGACGGCGCGGGAGGAGCAGGAGCAGTAGCGTGGTCTCGGGGCATGACGGGCGCAGCGCGTTTGAGGGCGTTGGCAAACCTGTTTCTGGAGGGGTCGAACCTTGGTGCGCGGGTCATGCGCGAAGAGTTTAGGTCGGGGAATTCGTCGGGGGCTTGTTGGTGGTGCAGATGGCCTTGACCATACCCTGGCGAGTCGGGTCGGGCGTAGTCGTTCATCTCTACTCTCTGTAAAGACGTCTGGAGCGCCGACACATCGAGATTGTTTGGGAACTGATGCAAGAACCTACCCTTCATCAGCTTCACCCTCTCTTCCTAGTAGTATGAAGACTCACTCGCAATTAGGTCCCTTGGCACAATGCCCCCTCAACCAAAACCTACACATAGCCCTATCCAAATCATGACTAAACCTACAATCACTCCGCCTACACTCCCCCGCCAAAAAGTACCGGCACATCTTCCCCCCGCCCCCTCCTGCCGCTGGGCTCCGCGGGCCCATGGGGGACATGGAACGTAAAGTCCTCGAGGGGAGGTTGGGGTAGAACCCATCCCGGCCGCCTCGGCCCATTCCCATGGGGCGGGGGGAGGACACGCGTTGGGGGGTCGATTGGCCCGAGCGAGGGGCGGTGTATTGGGATACGAGCATGGACATGGCTGCTTCAAAATCGTACCCAGCTCTGTGCAAGGCATCTTCCAGCTCATTCCGGGGCACGCTCGTAAAGACACTGCAAAGCACATCCAGCGGCGTCATACCCGCCCCACTCACATCCTCCCCGTTCTCCTCGCCGAATTCGGCAGAGTTGAAGGAGGTATCCGAGTAGGCGCTTGAAGGATAGCCGGGGGTGTAGTCGGAGGAGAGGTAGGAACTGGGCGGGAAGTAGGGGTTGAAGGGTTTGGAGTCGGGTTTGAGAGCGTTCTCTTGATGATGCAGTTTTGGCAGGCCCGAGCCGAAGGGCGAAAACTCGTCGTCATCGTCGTCGTCGGGCACCACACCCCGACTCCTAAGGCTCAGCGCGGGCGAAGCAGTACCAAAGAGGTCTGGCATTTTCACCGGCGTGAGCTGCGGTGTACCCACAGGCGAGTGGAAGGGCGACCCCTTACCGCCAAACAGGGGCGCAGCGATAGCCAAATTCGACGCCGTCCTCGTCATGCCCGACCCGCCAATAGCGCCAAACGGCGAACCGACTCTGGGCGGCGTATCGGGTGCGTCCTTCCACGCATCACTCGGTATGAAGCCTTTCGCCTCGACATTCATAGCCCCCGGGCCAGAGACGGACCGGGCAGAGGGGTTGAACTGCGAAGCTTTGGCATTGAGCAACCTCGGGCTGGCCAAAGGACTGGGCGCAGGCGAAAGGCCTTTTAGACTGCCAGCGGGGAGGACTGGAGAGTGGGCGCGGGAGAGGGGCTTTCGACCATGGAATGAGGGGGCTCTGGAGGGAGTGAATGGGCGGGAGATGGTAGGGCCGCCACGGTTGCGGGTAGGGGTGAGGTGAGGTGCGTAGGGAAGATTCTCCATGTCGTCTTTGCGCTTGTGCATGCAGTCGAGACAGACTTGCTCCATCAGAATGTCGTCCTGGAACTCATGAGCAGAGCCCGCCACATTACAATAGAACTCACCTTGCCAAGCTCGCCCATGTACGGCTTCAAGACCACCTTCAATTCGTCCTCTTGCTCATTGTCAAGCAGATCCACAATCCGCTTCACCAGCTCCTCCTTCTCCGCGCTCGTCGCCTTCTTCGACCCGCCCTCCTCACTGCTTTTGGTCGCCGTACTGGTCTGTGACGCGGCTTCCGACTCGGACTGCGATACGTCCCCGTCCTCATTGTCTATGTCTGCTGATGCGTTGGCCCCGTCGTCGCTACCATCATCCGAGCCACCCGACGAATGGCTAAGCGGGTGCTTTTCCCTTTCCTTCTCCGGCTTCCCATCGCCCACAGCCGAGCGCTGCGGGGGAAAGTACGCCTTGTTGAGGATCGAGAATATATAGTGCCCCAAATGCGGGTGGGCCGAGAGGACGTTGGTGGTCGCCGTCGGCGTCGGGGTGGGGGCGGTAGGGGGGTCAAAGTCTGCCTGGGTTATGCTGTAGATGGATCCCTTGCGCGGGGAGGGTGCGCGGATGGTGGGGTTGTCGCCCATGGCTGCTGGGTGGGGATATCAGAAATGTCAGAGGAGATAGGCGCACCCTTAGCCTCCTTCGTTACGGATCTGATGACGACACGCCGTGTCCGCGTACAGCATCGGAGTACTTCGGGAATGTCCGCTTCTTGCCCGGACACAAGGGACTGCCGCCAGTGTGTCCGGACCCTCTCACTCAACTGTCAAGTATATGTCCAGTGCAATTGCCGTCTGTAGGTTGGAGCAAAGCAACGGCCCAAGGGAAATTGTCCATAACATGCCACAGCGTCGTTCGTTACGTCTCATATCGATACTCGCCAACATAAAGATAGAGAAGAGTGAAAATGATAGGGGTATAAAGTGGTGAATGATGAGAGACAATTTGATGTTTGCTCCTTCTCATTCCACCGGAAAAGTGAGGGTATAACGATAAAACGTCTCCAGCGCCAAACTATGCAAAAGAAAGAAAATCAGCACTCGCTACAGCTTCACATCCTGAAACTCCTCCTCCAACCCCTTCCCCATCCCCGCCGTAGCCGTCGTCGGGCTCTCCACCACACCCACATCCAACACCGCCTTCCCGCCCCCACCGGCATAAGGCGAAGGGCTCACACTCCTCTCCCTCCCCCCACCATCTAGCAGCTCATCATTCGAATTCGTCGATATCACGCTATTCTTTCTCTCCATCCTAATACTCCCACCCGGCGCGAAGGATGTGCCGTTCATACTCTTATTCGGGCTCGCGAGCGATCCAGAGCCAGAGCCAGAGCCATAGCCGGTGGCTCGGCCGCGAGAGTAAGACTCGGCAGCGCGGATGACAGGCCGGTCTTTTTCTTCTTCTGTCCCAAAGGACGTACCGGAGAATGACCGCGGGGACAACAAAGGGTTGGCAGCCATCGGAGGCGGGCGAATGAGGGAAGACCCCATAGCCGACGTCGGTGTCTGACCCTCAAACGACGGGGATAGCGGCACAAGCGGCGAGAGGGGCGAATTCGGTATTGACCCCGACCCAGGCTGCGGAGAAAGTGATTGCGTGTAAGGCATTTGGGTAGGAGGATAACTCGGCGAGAGGGGTGCCCTGGGAGAGGCTTTAGGCGTACGCTCGCTATGTTGGGGTCCGCCGAATTCATTCGCCAACGGCGACGTCGCTCTCGACATGCTCACAGCCCCCGGCAACCCCACAGGCGACATCCGCCTATGCTCCAACCCCGCATGCGCCAACCTCTCTTCCTCCGCCTGTTTCTCAGCTTCTTCCGGCGTCATCTTGGGACTCCCAAAGCGCTCGGCTTTACCGCCTTCCAGGTCGATGTCCACCATCTCGGCAGTATCCAAGCTCGGCCGGCCGCTGGATGAGTGGGAAGAGTGGGAAGAGCGGATGGGGTAAGGCAAGGGGAGGTTGCTGAGGGTGGAACGGCGTTGAGCGTTGCCGGCGGATGTATCGAGGTTCATCACCCATCCGCCTCTTAGCCTGGCAGTCTCGGCCTGGGCGATCGCAGACATTGCTTGGATATCGGCTCTCGTGGGAAGATCAAGCGCGGCAGGAGCAGGCGCAGGAGGAGGCTGGTTCCGTCGTCTACTCCTCGGCGGAGAATTGGTCGGCGGCGACAGGTAACCCGAGCCAGACCCGCCGGCCTTGAGAGGGTGCTCGATGGTCGACGTTAGGGGTGTGATGACCCTCACGGGGGAGGGTGTTGGATGTCGGATCTTGGGGATCTGCTGTTCGGGTGAGGAAGATGGGAGGAGAACGTCCGAATCGCGGGGGACTGGTGTAGTGGGTTGGGCGGCAAGTCGGGGTGATGTGACTGCTCTTCGTCAGCTCATCCCTCGGTTTGAAGTTTCGTACTCACCGTCAACAGGGCTGTTGGCCGCGCTCGTACTGACATTCAGCCCATCGGCTCTCCTCTTCCCCTTACCCTTCTCAACATACCCCGTCAACCGTCTCGCCTCCGCCAATCCCCTCTCCACCGCCTCAATATCCAACCCCATCCCCAGCGCCTCCCACTTGCGCACACTCTTATCCCACCACGCTTCCAACACGTTCCACCCGCGATACTCCCCAGCGAGCTTCAGCCCACTGCCCACATCGCCATAGCTGCCTCCACCGTTATAGCTAGTGTACCCCGCTTCCTCTTCTTCATCAGACGAGCTGACCTGCTCCGCCTCCCACCCTTCTCCCGTCTCAATCTCCTTTACGAAGATGCTCAACCACTTTCCCCACCCTCCTTCCCCATCGCCTCCCCACAATACACACTTTCTATCGAAATCTCGTCCAAACAGGATGACCTGCCCCCAGGAGCCATTCGTCCCCGGGTCGAGGTCGACGCCGACATAGTTGCCCGCTCGGTCGGAGAGGAGGGGTATCCAGCCTTTGCAGGCGTATCGCGTCTTGATCGATAAAGGCGGGACACTCGCCATCGTCGCCAAGACAGCCTTGTTCTCGCTCACATTCGGGTCGTGTTCTGCAGCTCTCCAAAACGCCCACTCCCGCATGACCTCTTCCAAAGGCAACCAATGCAGCCCATAGAACAGACCGCCATTGCCAGACACATGGCTCGTAGCGCTAAAGTCCTGCCCGTCTATTATCGTCAGGCTGTCTCTGACTGCCCGGGGTAAAGGACAGCCGAGCTCGGATTCGAATGTCGACAAGAGCATGGGCTCGACGGGGCCGTTGAAGGTTTCGAGCAGCTCGGGGAAAGAGAGGGCGAGCGTTTTCCGGAGACGGTGGAGAGTGTGGGAGAGGGGGGGGTAGTAGTTTGGTGAGGCCGAGTTGCTGGGAGAGAGAGAGGGGAGCACGGACGTTAGCTTGGTTTTTTTTTTCTCCTGAGCGTGGCGCGAGGTGGTGAGGATCGGGGTAGGCTCGGTGGCTTGGGAAGGGGAGCTAGAGAGCAACACCCCCAGAGCACGAGCCTGACATGCCACCCAGACGTGTGCTTTCCCTTTCTAGACGGTGGGACAAGAGCCCCACCTCCATCTCCACCTGATCACCCCAAAGTACTCACAAAGTGTCGTTGGCCCCATAAGCTCCATACGCATTACTCCCCCTTCGGCTCGGCCCAGGTGAGGAGCTCGCACTATCTAAATGAGGCTGCGATAAAACGCGTCAGCTTCCTTCCTTCCCGTCTCCCGAGCTCCAACCACTCTCTCAAAAAGCCACTCACACCTTCCCCATACCCATTCGCATACCCTCCTACAGGACTCCCCGTGCTGAGATGGGTGGGCAAGCTGAAAGCATCGAGCGTCGAGTCAATGACGGACCGCCGGGAATTGTTTGTTGATGACGGCTGAGGGGCTTGGGAGAAGAAGCTGGTGAGGGATTGGAGGAAGGGCATGATGCGTTCGACCCGCGAGAGGGGTACGTGTGGTGTCGCGTCGTGGCTGGTGGCGGGGGGGTCGAGGGCAGCGGGGGAGAAAAGAAAAGGAGAAAGAGGACAGAGAGAGCACCGGAGGATGGAGAAATAGGCGAAAGGGCGCGATATCCATAACGCAGTAAGGGTAACTCTTTACGTAACTCTCCTCCGTGGTTTACCCGTTGGCAACGAGTCGGTCATGCTTTTCAGGCCCACTATGCATGCATGTCGGTGTGTGTACCAGGGCTACTAGGGATAACCTGGAAATAGATACGTAGTACCCATGTCGTCTGAAGTTGCATGTTACTGTTGTGTACAAGGGGAATGGTGCGACGCGTCACTCTTGCCAAACGCTCGCGCAGCACTCGCGTAGTGCGCGTTACCGAAGCCAAGTACAAGAGGTTGAAATGTTGCATCGTCAAAACGTTCAGACAACCTGTTTCCGAGTATATAGCATAGATCATAGCAACTTGACAACAGGAACATATGTACAAAGTCTATAATTACAAACACCCCAAAAAGACAAAAGGCCGGCGGCTTTCAAGATGGCACCGCGCCGCACACCGGCACGCATTGAAGTCTTTGAAGAAGAAGCATCAGAAGCTGATCAGCAGGGTCAGAAGAGCTTTTCCAGAATCCTATCTTTCAACGTGGCAGGTGGCCCCTCATCCTTCTGCTGCTGATAATAATCAGTCAGGGCGTCGAAAAGGTCCAAGTCGGTCTCGAGATCAACATTGAGCGGTTTCTGAAAAGGCGTTCGCGCAAAGATCTTCATCCCCCCGGCTAGCGCGATCTGAGCTCAAACCATCAGCTTGACTGTTCTTCCTCCCTTCTGTCGCTGACAGTAATGACGTACGACACCATAGTTGAAGATGAATGTGGCCACGTCCCACTGCAGTTTCCTTTCAAAAACACCGAGTAGCCCTGAATCCACTGAATCCACAGAAACAAGAATGCCCGGAAGAATACCCAGTAACCGGCGTAGGGTTGGAGCTTGGAAGGTGCTGGGAGGAGGGCGAGGCAGTCGACACCTTGGGCTTTCATGGCCTTGTCGAACCGGATCCATGTGAATGCCATGACACACCAGTTACTGCAAAGTTGATGAGCTTGTGGAATCGCTGTACGAGTTGGTAGCACTTACAACATGGCAGCGGTCGTACAAAAGCTGGATACCGCATGATCAGCAAGACTACCTACCATCCGACTATACCTCAAGACTCACTTCAAAATCCAATTCAAAACCACCTTCGAATTCGACCCAAGCGCCAGGTACGACCGTACGACAAACAAGTCAAAACCCCCAACCGTGCACACTGCCACCACCCACGGTACTCCATTCTTATTCAACCTCCTCGACACCTTGGGCGCTTTACCATCCAGAGCGAGGGCATGGAGGGAGCGAGAGGCGTTGAAGGTGAATGCGTTTCCGGCGGAGATGATGACGATGATGAGGGCGCCGGTGACGATGGAGGGGAGGATGGGGATGTTGAGGTTTTGCATGGAGATGACGCTTTGACGCTTATCCCAGGGTTAGAAAGGAAGGGGGAAGGAACGAGGGGACTGGGGGTGTTGCGATGAGACTTACTATGGCGACTTGCCGGCGTAGTTTTCACCATCGCTGGTTCTACAAGTCATGTCAGTTTGCTGTCCTATGAATTCGGTGGGTTACTCACTCAGTGTTGTTTGAAGGAAGCAAGATCCCAACGCAAATCCCACCCCCAACAAAAAATATCATCAACCGCCACATCAGCGTCTTGAACGCCCTCGGAACAACCTTCCTCGGATCCTTCGCTTCCCCTAATCTCCCCATCAGCTTTCGTACTCAAGAGAACGAAGGGAAGAGAGGAGAGAGAGATGTACCAGCAATCATAGAAAGATACTCGGGAACACCCATACTGAACCCCACGACATTCACGGCATTGACGAATGCTTGAAGACGGGTTGTTGGGGTGTTGCCAGCCAAGGGCCCAGGGTCTTTCCAGTATCGAAAGCCAAACGCACTATCGCGAAGCGTCAGTCTGCAGTAGATGATAAAGAGCAGGGTGACGTACTCGTGGAGAGGATTACCGCCGCACATGACGACCAAAGTGTAGATGAGGAGACCCATAGCGAAAATGATCTTGCCGAGGACGAACCAGACAGCAACCATTCATCAGCTTTTGTCCGACAGTGGAGCAAGGGCGTACTTGCATTGGAATTCTCCAAAGACATCTGCACGGTAGACGTTGATAGAAAAGTAGAGCAGGATGGAGATGGTGATCATGATAGCCGGACTCTGGTCATAACCTCAGACACTGAGAAAGGTGTTGATGACGGTGCACTCGAATATGACATAAGACGTAACTGTCACTTCTCAATCAGATTTTCTACTTGTAAGACGGCGCGGCGGTCAGCCGATGCTGCTGATGCTATCCTACTGTATCGATCGCGTAATCTTGGGCCTCTTTCTCTTTTGGAATGCATGTTGAAAGCGTCGGCTATCTTTCACAGCTCGCTTAGCATGGCTCTGTGCCACGGGGGCAGGATGGTCAGAGCCCGGAGGGTGAAGACGTGATCGACGAACACCTGTCCGATGATGATAGAAAGAAATCCCGGGCTGTCCATAGGTCACGCCGACCACGATGAAGATATGAGATGCTTGGCGTCGTTCTTTTGATCTATGGATCCTTCCCTTCTATCAATCATCCTCGATGGATTCTTGCCCTTTGATACACCCAAAGGATCGCGGCAAGAGGAGCTTCTTAATCATCAACACGTCGACATCATTGGAGGTGGTCGTCTCCGCTCATATTTGTGCAAGGAGGAAACGTATTTGCTGCATACGAGGCGAACCTTGAAAACACCCCTGGAAGGGGCGATGCCTACGGTACCGTAAACTCGGGACTTTGGGGATGCAGATATGCTGCCCGGTGCTTTTCATTACTTTTCATAGGCTCATTTCATCCTCCAACTGGGGACAATGGACCTCTGTTTCATCCACTGCAAATAAAGCGCACTCTCGCATATTCTACCCACAATAGCCATCCTCAACATCCATTATGTCTGAAGACTCCGTGTTCGCCAACGAAAATCCGCACAAAGCTCAATGGTAGCGACGCAGGCTCCCCAAGGATTATAAGAAAAAGTTCACTAATTTTGATGATTCCAGAATGAATCGGTTTCTAGCAGAGTCCTTCATTTGTCCATTCGAATGACAGGCAATACTTTTCTGCCCATGGGAATTTGAGCAATGTCGAAGTCCGCTTCAGGCCAGAACAGGCCAGCAGTAATAGGGGCTTCGTTGCCGAGTGTTTCTCGGTTCGAAGGGTATCCTACGGAGAGGGCGACTGCTCTAGTGGGAGCGATAAGGGAGAAGACTACGGGACTGGTCAGCTCGGCGACTGTGGATGGATATCCTATCTAACGCGCACAATGTTCTCACACCATTCGAGACTTAGCAGGCACGCGTGGCGGAACCAAAGGGTCGGATCATGATAATCACTCAACATGGCACACTACACTGTGTTTCTTCGCGTTTAGCTTACTTTGCGCCACTTATTGATTACTCTTTGCCCTCTCTTTGTTGTGACATTGGATGTCTATGCTCGCTGGTCTGACTTCTACTTCGCCATGAGCAAGCCTCTCATTCTTTTCCTTACATGGTTTGTTTCTAGATCCCAAAGTAGTGTTCCTGGCTGAATTTCGATGGAATAGCCCAGAGCATGGTCAGTCTAACGTACACCTTGCCGTAATCTCTTCCATCCTCCAACATCATCCATCTTCAGCTTCCATCCGTCTCGCATCGCACCTTGGGTTGAAACCTCGTTGCCCCAGTGGCGTCACATTTCATAAGGTAGAGAGCAAAGACGCCTTGGATACAGAAGATCATAATGGTACTAAAAGCCCTAGTAAGAAATAACCACAAGTCGTGATGCTGGGCTGATGTGTTCACAAAGAAAAAGGCCTTTACAGCGTCACCTACAAGCCGGGCCTCTTCCCCGCTCTTCGCGCCATGTGCGAGTCCTTCTCCCTCTTCCACCCCGAGCCTGCCTCCTCCTACATATCTACAGCAGACTCCATATCTGCCTTACTCAACACTCTCAACCCGACGTTGGTGGTAGTAGATCACATGTTTGACGCGGCGAGGGATGCGGTACTGAAGGGAAGATGGAGGAGCGTGAGGCTGAGCCCGAATACGGTCAAGGATGTGGCGATAGACTGTCAGGGCTGGGGCATATTCAAATGGCCTTGGTACGTGTTATCTATCCGCTCCATTTACCCGGATGGCATACTGACGAAGCGCAGCTTCGCATCAGGATACCCCTTCCCTCTCCCCTGGTATCTTTTCCTCCCAAACACCATCGGCCTCATCCTCCCCATCATCTGCCTCAACTTTTCCCGTACCTTTGCCTCATTCAACATTGCGCGCAACAAGGCCGGCTACCCCGGCGTCATCCCGCTCTACTCTTCTGGCGGACCGTTCCCCACAAAAGTACTGTGCATGTCCACGCCAGAAGCCGACTTGCCCGCAATCATCCCAGAGAAGATCATCTGCTGCGGTCCCATCCTCCAAGCCGTCTCTCCCTTGCCTGACCAAGACCCCGAGCTGGACCTCTGGCTCGCCCAAAGACCAACCATCCTGATCTCCCTCGGCTCCCACCTCAAACTCTCCCATTCTTACGCCACCAACCTCCTCCGCGCCATCTCTCATCTCCTCTCCGCTCGTTCGGACGTGCAGGTACTCTGGAAATTGGTCCCGGACGGCTCTTACGATTATGAAGCGTTCTCAGAAGAAGAGGGCGAGCTGGGGAGGGAGAAGGAGAAGTGGGGCGAGAGGCTTAAAGTCTTGAGATGGCTCAAAGCAGAACCGTTTGCGATAATGAATACTGGAAGGGTGATCTGCTTTGTCAACCACGGTGGTAGCAACTCTTACCACGAAGCTCTTGCGTGAGTCAACGTCTTCTCAGAATGACTTCTCAACACTGACGAGTGTCTAAGCACTGGCGTCCCTCAGATCCTCCTCCCAGCATGGCTAGACTGCTACGACTTTGCCTCCAGAGTAGGATATCTTCGGAACGGCGTATGGGGCAACAAAAATTCTGCGTAAGCTCCTTCATTTCCCATCCCATCTCCGCACGTCAACTCACCTCAAACAGCCCCTCATGCTCTACTCCAGAGCTCATCCGCGCGTTCGACGAGATAATCGGTCTCTCACCTCCAACCTCCTCCTCTTCCCCACCCCTCTTATACCGACAACGCGCGCTCGAGCTTCAGGCAATCGTCACTCGCAACGGCACGAGGCGAGGTCGAGATGTGGCTGCCGAGGTGGTATGGGAGGAGATGGAGGAGGGGATGATGTGGGGTAACAAGTACGAGGAGGATGAAGGGGGTATGGATGAGGGGGGTGATAGCGTGATGGTCGATGGAGAGGATGAAAAGATCATGGTGTGATAAGCTATAGTCCTAATCGTGATCTTGAACGGGTGTGTAATGAGTACCGTTGTATATTAGTATCCCGAGTGGCCTGATGACTGGGACAAGGAACATGAAAATACATTCAACTAGTACAGACCAACACGTTACTGCCGACAATCAACTGGAACAATCAACCCTTTTGCTCATTCTCATTTTCGATCCCTCCCTCTACTCTGCCTTCTCATCTTCGAGATCAGGAGGATACGCATACTCTCCCAGATGCTTCTCTTTCATCTCCTTTTTCCATTCGTGGAAATCAAACTCGCCAATCGTTTTCTAAAACAAGCCAACATCAGTCCTACGCACAGTCGAGACATGATCTAAAACGTACAAGAATCACTTCCCTTCTCGGCCCCCACCCCTTCTCCTCCACCCCCCTCTGCCCCCACTGCTCATGCCTCTTCGGATCCTCCACCATCCTCTCCGCCTCCCCCCACCCCCCAGCAACCTGGCTCTGTCCCAAACACGCCGTATCCCTCACCCCTTTGGCCCACTCTTTCGCACTCTCTTCATCCCCACACGCGGCACACACTGCCAAGCCGTATTGGAAGGCGTCGTGGTACATTTCGACGAAACCTTCGGTGGACATGAGGAGGAGGGTTTGTTCGATGTTGTCCAGAAGGGCTGGAAGGGAGGAGTCGGGGGAGGAGTCGGGGGAGCTTAGGGCGGTTTGCATTGCGTGGTTGAGGAGGGCCATGTTGTATCGGTTTTGGTCAGAGTGCTTGTGCTGTTCGGGGGTGCGCTGGCAAAAGGCGCAATGACAGGTCATTCTCATCTCGGTATACCTCTTTTGACGGTGGTGAGAAGTCTTGAACCCTTCTTGGGCGCGGACCATGAGAGGGGTGTTGTCGGGTATATCTTTCAAGGAGACCAGCTCTAGTGCAAGAATTAGCGAAATGTAGTCTCATGTTGAAAGCGGGGAAAAGAGGACGTACGACCTCGTCTGCGTTGGGCATCCCACACATAATTCGTGTTAGGATCACAAGACACTTTCAGGAAAGGTATATGTTCCAGCACCACCCTCCACCCAGCAGGATACTGCAGTGCGAAACTATTATCCATCAGCTTCCCATACACCGAATCACCCTCCCTTTCCCTTCCTTCCGACCTGCGCAAACCATCCACCCGCGCTTTTTGCTCAGGCTTGTCCGCGATCGAGTCGTACATTGCATTCGCAGCATTAACGTTAAAGTCTGGTCCGAGAAAAGTGATGGGGTGATCCCATAGGAAGACGTGTCCCCTTGAGATGGCACGCCGAGAGAGAAGGGTGGTCTCGGAGCTGCCGGATGAAGAGCCGTATCGCCACCAGAAACCAGTCTCGTTGCGCTCCATACCGGCCTTTTTGCGTGCTTCGGCAGTCTTCTTCTTTTGCCGTTTCTTTTGGTTTAGTGATAGCTTGGGTTGGGCTGGGGTGAGATCGGAGGATTTGCCGTCTGGCTTTTCGGTCACAGTTGTAGCAGCCATAGGATCAACGTCGGCGGAGGACGTGATGATTGTTTCTGGTCGAGTATCGTGGCCTCCAGCGAGGTTGATAGTCCTAGTGTTTGAGGCTTTCGATCGAGCAGCAATGGCAGGCCGAGAGCTGCTTTCTGGCGGATATTCGTCCTCCGTAGTGTCGCAACCCGGCTCCTTTACGACCCCCAGCTCCCCTTTCTCAAGACCCATAATGCTTTCAGCCTCCTCCTCTCCAGCTCCTCGTGCTTGTGTCTGACCTGTCTCGGCGATCGAAAGCGGCTCCAAAGACGGGTGATCAGGCAAAGTATCCCCGTCGTTGGCGGCGGCGGAAGGCGAGGGGAGTGGTTGGACAGTCGTCTGTTTCCGAGTTGATAGTATGTGTGATGGCAAGTTGACCGAAACCGGCTGACTATCCAAGCTGGTTGATGCACCGTGATTATCCTAGGCGGATCCATGTCAGCTTCAAGCTGGACCATCCCGTCCACCGTACTCACCTGGTGCGTTTTCTTCAAAGAACCACTTTTCGAACTCTCTCCCCTAGCATCCGTGTACATTTTTTCGGGTTGTTCCGCAACGTCCGGAATGAAAGAGAAAGGGATGGAAGGCAGTTGAGAGATTGGTGAGGCATCTGCGGGAAGTGAGTACGATATATCTGCGGATTGAGCTGTGGTGGCAGGATGCGTACTTCTTCGGGTCTACGACAACAATCAGCCCACGTTGAGTGACCCGCTCGCCGAAGCCGCTTACCGTAGTATCATTCACCCCATCAGGAGGGAACAGGTCCACACGTCTCCTCAAGAACGACTTTGGCGAGGAAGACCTCCTCTTCGATGTCCCATTCCCCTCCGTACCAGTTGATGCCCCAGCGCCATCGGCAGGCCCAAGTGTCGGCCAGGATGAGATAAGGTCTTGATTGATGTCGGGGGATGGGGCTGGGAGTGTTGATGTGTCTTCGTGAGGGTTGTAGAACAGAGAGAGGTCGTATGAGCCGATGAAAGGTAGCCGGGGCATGGGGAACGGGAGACGGCGGGAAGGGGAGGTGGAGAAGAGGAAGAGAAAACATGTCGTATGCAGTGGGTGAGAAACTGTTTGAGACAGTGTGAGATGCAAAACCAAAGGCATCCAGCGCGACGCGTCGAGTCTCACCCAGTCTTGCTGTCCTCGCCTTGGACGTGTCATCATATTCATTCGAAATATACAGATTGTGTTGAAAAAGGAAAGCTTTATGGTAGAAAGAGGGCAGACATAGCACATGGTGATACGAACTCAGTGACTCGTCATGATCTCTAAATGGATACGTTGAAGAAGGGAATAGAAACGAAAGACTTTGTTTGGGGTATATCGTGAAGGCTGAACTAATGCAAGTAGGGTGCGTTATCGTAATTGGAATTGAATAAAGAAAAGTGTAAAAGAAAGAATAAAACCGTAAAGAGACTTTGAGGAAGATAATAAGGGGAACGACACGAATCAGTCGACAGCAGTGTTCATTAACAGCGTGGGCACCGTCCGTCGTCAAAGGGCCGCCCTCATCATCTTCTCTTCGTTTTTGTTTGGTATGGTACAGGGCGTGGCGAGATTGCAGGTCGAGTAGAGGTGTGTGGGGAGAAGGAGGCAGGGAAGCGGGGCGAGGCTATAACCTCATCTCCCTCAAGATAGTCTTGGCAAGCATCTGGTACTGCCACCCATCACCCCCAACCCTCCTGAATTGTATACCATGGAGCGGCAGTACTGGCACCTATCCCATCCATCAGTACACATCCAATGACGAGTCAAGCGCTGCAAAGAAAGGAACTGACCTTGACAACAAAGATCTCAAACCTCACTATCAAACTGCTCCCCGCCCCACCACCTTGCGCCAGAGCCCAGGCATCCACCTCATCTTCATCCCCTCCTCCGCTGTTTACTGTATGCCTCCTCCCACCACCGGTTGGTGCCGACAGGTGCGTCCCTTCCCCGCCTGAAAGCGTGGCCGAGACGGTGCCAGATGAATTGCCTGTTACGACTCTATGCGGCGCAGGGGAGTTGCCCCGGCTATTGGCAGTCGAGCTCGCCCCACCATTAAGCTGCCCCTTACTCGCCTTCTTCCTCAAACTCGGCTTCCGTCTCGCCCCTCCCCCTCCCCCGCCCCCGCCCCCGGCCTCAGACGGCACATTCGACAAACTCGTACTCGCCTCATCCCCATTCACCACACTCGCCAAATCAATACTCGGCACATGCACACACTCAAACCCGCCCTTGATCGGCCTGTGCTTGATCCCAAGCCTGTCTACCACGGCTTTGATATCACGCATGAGCACGGGCGCGGATTTGGTGGATGTTGTGGAGACGGAGAAGATGCCTTTGAGGTAGGAGGGGCGCGCGACGTCGTGTGGTTCGTCGTTGGTGTATGTTTCTGAGGGGGCGCGGTGGTCGGATGGGGGGTGCGGTGGGGCGGGGGAAGGGGAAGGGAACAATTGCGTTGGTCTGAATTCGTCCGCCTCTGCCGGCGTCGGCGCATCCAACCACGCCGGTCCAGCTCCAGCAGGGGTAGCAGGCGGCGCCGTCCCCTCTCTCTGACTCGGCCTCCTCACAATCGACCCCCCAGCCCTCCCAGCATTATTCGAAAAGCTCCCCGCCGACACCCGCCTCTCATGCTTCTTCTCATGCACTGTCGTAGCCCGGCGATGCTCTGTAATCGGCATAGACGGCGACGGCGACATGCCTTCCCTCTTGCCCGAAATCGACCGTCCAGGCAGGATGGAGCCTGCACTGGGCGGCCGCGAGCCTTTGCCGAGCATGCTAAACTTCTTCGTCAAACCCATCTCTTCCCTCTGCATTCCCCCGCCCCCACCCCCGCCTTCAACCACATTCCCGCTCGGTAACGGCGGCTGACTTAAGGAAGGCTGACGGCGATGCGCCCCAGAAGGAATATCCTCAATCTGCGACTGAGGCCCGTCCGCCGAGGGATGCGCCATAAGCGGCGTCGGACTCGTAGGGATATAATCCGACCTCGGTCTCGGGAGCGCTTCGTGCCCGCCCATGACATGGGTCGAAGCCGGCGCTTGGAGATGCGGCACCTGCGCGCCATACCCCTGCGAAGGATTAAACGCCTCCAGCGAAAGCTGTGACGACGCGAAATGGCCAGGGCCATACACTTTTTCCCTCTCCATCTTTTCTCGCGCCAAAAAGTAGATTGAAATCAGGGGGTCGTAGCCTCGCGTCGGGTCGACGGCGCGCTCCTTAAAGACCACCTCGTCCACCTTCTTGTCCTCTTTGAAGAGACGCTTCTTAAAGTCGAACCCGCTGAAGCGTTTCTTCTTGGGCGAGTCCATCGGTTCTGGCGAGTTGAAACTCGAATTAGACCCGCCCGCTCCTCGGCGCTTCTCCCGACTCGCTTCAAACGTCGACACACAATTCAAATACTCTTCCGACGTGAGCACCTGGTACAAATCCGCATAAATCGTCTGCGCAGTCCCAAACGTAAACCCCTCCATCGCATTGATCACATTCGGATCGAGCTCATCCGCCCTCAGCGGTTCGCGCCGGATCAAGAATGAATCCGGCGGCCCGTCGAACCCTTTCGTCATGAACGGGTGGTTGAGAACTTCGGTCAATGTCGCTCGTTCGAGGGGGTTGGTGACGAGCATTCGGCTGAGGAGAGATTTGACCTCGGCGCTGAGCCAGGAGGGGTACTCGACATAGCCGCGCTTGATCTTGGCGTGTAGGGCAGGCATGGATTGGTCGTCAAAGGGGACTTTGCCGCATACGAGCACGTAAATGACGATACCGAAGGACCAAACATCGACCTCCGGTCCCGTATATGCCTTGGCATTGAGCAGCTCTGGCGCAGCAAAGTACAAAGACCCGCAGAATGTCGAGAGATGACGATTCGGAGCGTAGAGGTTGGACAGCCCAAAGTCGATGAGCTTGATATTGCCATTCTTGGAGATCAAGATGTTTTCAATCTTGAGATCCCGATGCACGATCGAGTTTTGATGGCAATAATCCAATGCCGAGCCAATTTGCCTCGCAAACTTGCGCGCCGCCCTCTCCCTCAGCCGTCCATGTGAGATGATATAGTCCAGCATCTGCCCGCCGTCGATAAACTCGAATACCATATAATGGTGGTTGGTGTGCATGATGAATTCGCGCATGCCGCAGATATAGGGGTGGTGCAAGAGGAGCGAGATGTGGGCTTCACGGATGGTGCGGATCTCTTTCGACTCGTCTTTCAGACGTTGTTTCTCGGCTTCTTCCGGTGTTTTGGGCTCTTCGCGACGGGTGGCTTCGGTATATCTTGGGATGATCTTGACCGCACACTAAAGCAGAGATCAGCAACGCTCCCATGATAGAAAGGGGACTGACCTTTTCACGCGTGAGCACGTTGGTTGCCAGCTTGACTTTGCCCATACTCCCCGCTCCGAGCGTCTTTTGCAACTGCCAGTCCCCCACCATTCTTGTCCTGCTTCTCGTTTTCGTCGCCGCCGGCGACGCCGTTCCATTCCCATTACTACTCGTCCCATTCGTCTGCTGGGCACGCATACTCCGGTCCACAACAGCCGCCGCCTCTTCATTTATCGTAGGCTCTTGCGGAGCGGACGAAGCCATAGCGACGGGCGTTGCTTGCGGCGGCACAAGGGGTGAGCTGTGGGGTAATGATGCCTGCCTCACTGGCGGTTCTGTCGCGGACCGATGAGGAGATGCAGACGCCTCTCTGCTATTCCTGGGGCATTAGCACAAGTTTGACACACCCTCAAAAGCGTCCAAGCTTCCAACTCACCTCCGACTATCCCCCCTGCCTCCCACATAATCCCACTGCGCGCCAGTTTCTACCATGCCCATATAAGTCGGTGTGGGCACGCCGCCTGAAAAGTGTCGGTCCTGGGCGGCTTGGAGTTGTTGCGGGGCAGGATTGAATGAGGTCATGGAATGATCGTGATGGGATTCACCGCGGGAGGTGTGGGTGAGGGGGACGGCGCTGGGGCCGTGGGCGGTGGGTGTTGCTCGCCGGGCGGGGTGAGGCAAGCGGGTTGGGGGGGAGGGTGGATGGGACCAAAACAGCAGAGGAATGGATCGATCTACTAGGAGATATGACGCGGGAGACGCGGTTTTGCAGGCTAGCGGAGGTGGCCGAGGCGGTGCTCCAGCCTGTTCGGGGGGTGCTCGGGGTGGGGTGGATACAGGGATGCTGGACTTGGAGAGGGATGTCGAGAATGGGGAGACCAACAGGGAGTGCAAGAGGTCAGAGTGCCAGCGCAGTCAAGTCGGCGATTCCCATCTGAACCCGCCGAGTGTGGCATTCGCATTCTCCATCTCCCCATTCTATCTCTATGCATGGTTTCGACGCCGGCAGTGGGAGCCTGGGACGCGTCTCGCTATACGACGCTCCCCAGGTATGGACAGGTATGCAAGGATGGACACGATGAGTGGTACGAGGCGGAGATTTAGCTGGCGCTTGTCTTGAATCCTCCCCTTCTCGTCAAGGGACGTGTCTTTACGGAAGGACATGAGGTGGAGAGCAAGACAGGGCAAAGGGTCTTATGTGTCTGCGTCAAAAGTAGCGCTGCGGGTCTAACCAGGGCGAGCTGAACAATAGGAAGGCTGCTGATGGCTGATGGACAGTGTGTGGACGGAACGGGTGGACATCAGCTCATCCAATGTCCATTGCTTCTTATAGCGCAATGTATGCCCGGATCCAAGCCAATGGCATAGAAGAAGACCCGAATCAACCTTACATCTGTCCTCAAAATCAACCTAAAAGGGACGAAGAACCACCACGAACAGTCTTGCCTACCTCAACGTGTTACCCTTTGTAGCCCCTCTGGCTCTAAAACACGCTCTCACCGGCCGAAAACATCTTGAGAAAGCTTACGAGTACAGTACATAAGGTGACGGTGCAAGCTATGGCCATGCCCACATTCCGTGGCGTCAAAAGGCAAAAGAGATGCCACCAAGGTATCCTCACAGCAACCCCCCGCCACCCCCATACTCCCTCCTCCCAACCTCTCAATCTCCATCCCCGCCCTATTCTCCCTCTTCACTTATCCCCCTAACCCCCCTCCCCTCCCAAACCTCCCCAACGCACCAACGTATCCTCCACCGCGCCTTCCAAGACTTCCACCGCTCAGCCAACCCTTCCCACTGGGGTCTCTACCGCCACGGCCTCCGCATCCACATCATCGAGAAAGAAGAAGGGTGGGGGATGTGGGTCTTGAGGGTTTTTGGGGAGGCTATGGCGCCGGGTTTCGATGGGCCTGTAGGTACTGGAGTGGGGTATGGTAGAGCTGGAGTGGGCGGTGGGATGGGGGTGCCGTTCGGTATGTACAGTTAAACAGGTGGGTGGGTGGGCAGTCCTGACTGGGCGTAGGTAGGTTGCGACCGGGCACATATGTATAGTTGAGATGCTGCCTACTTCCAGAGATACTAGTGCATGTATTCATAGATGGTCATGACATGACGGAAGAGACATGTCGATGCAAGAGGTTGCCAGGATTATACTACAGTAGGATCGACCACAAGATTACAGATCTCCCATCCTTCCACGCCTAACCGTCCTTCTCCCTTCTTCCTCTCTTCCCTGTTCCCACGATCTTCTCCATCTCCATGTCCCTCGTCGTGAGGACTCTCAAAAGGCTTCTGTTTCCGCTTATGCCTCCGAGGTGGCGCAGGCGAAGTATCCCCATTCCCATTCTGCAGATCCTCCATGCTCATTATCTCTACCCCAACCCTCACACCCCCTGCCCCTCCTCCTCCTCCTCCTTCTTTCAAACCCGCGACATCCCTAAAAGCCCGCCCCACAACCCACTCAACATAAACAACCCCCACCCCCTCCCCTACCTCCTCCACATCAAACCCTTCTGCCGAGGGGCGGATCAGCCCCGGGTCGCTTTGGGGGTTGTGGTAGATCCCTTCGTATTCTTCTTTCCATTCTACCCCTTGCTCAGGGTTGGTGGGGTCTATTGGAGGGAGGGGAAGGCCGGTGATGATAAGGCCTTGCGCACCGTGGGCTTTGGCGTATTTCGCTTTTTCGGCGAAAGGGCAGGATCCTCGGGAGATGGCCATTACGAAGCCGTCTTCCGGGAGGTCTCGTATCTTCCCGGCGGGGGACAGGTCGCAGCCCGAAACACCATCAGGCAAGACGACCAGTGTCAAAGGCGCAGCCCCAAAAGCCCACCCTTTCCCTACCTCCCCTTCCTGCCCAGACTCTTGCAGCGAAAAGTCTTTCCCAAATATCGCCGTCGCCGCCAGAGCGTGCAAAAACACTTCCCCACCCCCATGGTTTGATGAGTCAGGTTTGTATTTCCGGAACCGCAGGATCACATCCGTAATCCCGTGTGACACTTGACCAGCATCGGCGGGGAGGGGATCGGGTTCGATATCAGCGAGGAGCTGGGGGATCATACTGGGGTCGGTTATTGTTATTTGCTGGCCTGGGCGGACTCTGTGATGGTCGACTGCGAAGCCACATCAGCCCCGATCCTAGAAGATGAGAGGTAAAGTTGACATACTGTTGGAGACGTCATACCCCTTGCCATCGAATCTCCATCGGACACCCAGTTTCAGACCTTGGACGTCTCGGATCACATAATCACCAGTTGTGGTATTCTGCACGACCTTGCTGCTGCTTGGTGAGGCACTTTTTGTGGCCTTCTTTCCCTTAGTCTTCTTCGGCTTGGCTGCCGAGGTAGACTCTGGAGCGTCGGTATTATTGGTCAAAGACAAGTCGAATGCCTGTCCGGTTCATCAGCTTCCAAACTCCACCCACAAAGAAGGAGACGAACAAATCTCGGCACTTCCTCAACCCTACAAACACCCCCCTCATACCACCCCTCCCCTCTCCACCTCCCCGCCCCCTTCTCATTCCCCTTCCCCTGCTTCTTCCCAAAAACCGTCCTCCCCTCCTTCACCTCCCAATTCAACCCCTCCTCTCCCCATCCAAACACCAATCCCCGGGCATATTCATACTCTGACGAGTCTTCGATACCCACCCTCAGGCCGAGCTGTTTGGGGTCGGTACCGACTGATGGGGTTGGTTTGTCTTCTCCTCCACCGCTAGAGCCGGGAGGAGAGGAGGGAGAGTGGCTGTTGGTGAATGCGATAGGGGGGTGATATACCGGGCAGAAGAGTTGTTCGCCCCGGTGTGAGGCTTTGCGGGATTGGCTCCGCGGTTGGAGCAGGTCGGGCGGCATGTATAACGGATGTCCTTCGGTCGTGTATACCCGGTTCTTGTTTTCGAACGGTGTATCCGAAAAGAGCAAGTACAGATACTGCCACACACATCAGTCACAGTCGTAAGGTTGGGGGGGGGACGCACTTTGAGAGTTTCTGAAAGCATAAAGCTCTCCATGCGATCTTCCATCTCCCCTGTAAGGATATTCTTGATCGTCGCAAATCCACATGTAGTCTTTGTCTTTCTCGTCAGATCTTGCAGTACCCTCTGTCCTACTTTGAGGTACATCGGGTCTCTCGTCGCCTTCCCCAGCTTCAGCTCAAGTATCAGGAACACGAAGAGAAAACCAACCTGATACAAATAATAAGTACTCTCCACAAACTCTGGCCTCCCCGGCCACCCAGCCCACTCCACCCGCCTCCCTACCCAATCCCAGCTCTCCGGCAAAGCCCCATGCTTCCGCCAGATCATCCACCACACCAAATGGGCGCGGATGGCGGACGAGAGGTCGCCTGCTAGAACTTGGACAGCGGGGAGGAAGGCGGAGAGAGAGTCGATCGTGGAGACTGTTGGTGGTTGGAGGAGGGTTAGGTGGAGCGGTCGGTACTGATCAGAGATTAGTCAGGGCAAGATCGAGAAAGGGGAGAGGGGCGTACGATGAAGCCGTCAGAGGTGCGGACGTGTGTCTGGATAGCAGCATAAGAGTCGTAAAAGATGTCGCTATAAGCATCATCATCTGTCTCCCCATCAGCACGGCTTCCGAGCAAGTGAATAAGGCGCACCGAGCATGATACCAGCCTTGACACCATATTCGTAATAACTATCCATCCCCGCCCCGACCCCACTGAGGCCTGGCTGGAGCCATTGCCCGAGAGTGGCGGTGATACCGTTCCCGAGCAGGTTGTGGTCGGACCGGCGATTCCAGAGAGAAGTGTATGCTCTGTATGCGTTTTTCTACAGGTACAGCGTGAGCGTATGAAAGAGAAGATTGAGAGAACGTACTTCATATCGATCATCACCCGTCAACCTCGACAACAATGCAAACTCCAATATCAAACTCCCCGCACCTGCCGTACCTTCCCCCAAATCAGCGACCATCCCTCCCGTAAAGGGGATACTTACAAGTCTCTGCCCCCTCCCTCGACTCTACCCCATGCCTCAAATTCACCCTCGCATAAGGCAGCCCCGCCCCCGTCTTGAACGCCGGCAACATCCTCTTCCCCAAATCCTCCGCCAACTCCAACATCCTCCCCTTATACCGCTTCACATCCACCTCATCTACCGCTTCTTCCTCCACCACACCCCACCACCCCGCTTTCGACCTCGGTTTGTCGAGCCCGAGGATCCGCGCTTGTTCTTCCATACTGTCCGGCAGGTTATCGAGGTACTGATACATCGACAACAAACCCCCAAGGGCGCGGATGGTCATTTCGAATACTTGCACCTTGACGTCTTGGTCAAAGTTGACTTGGGTTGCGACCTTTTCCAGGGCGTCGGGTAGGGCTGTGGGATGGAGGAGAGGGATGGTGGAGAGGACGTCGAGGAGGGTGAGGGAGATGTTGGCGTGGAGGTCGTTGATGCCGTAGTCTGCTGCGTTTGGTGATCGGCGAAGAGGTGCACATGATAGAGGTCGTAGTTCATCCTATCTGGGTTTAGGTTTCGGACAACAACACGGGAGAAGGAGATCGTACAGCGGGATAGGCGTATTTCATATATCCCTCATAACCATGTTTGAAAAGCTAGTCTCTGCGTCAGCCTCCATTCGCAGCAAGCTGGGATATGGATAGAGACTTACAGAAGCAGTCTCATCCCTCAGCTTCAGTCTTTGAGCATCCGACATGGCTGATGCGCTCGGTAACAAAAGATACCAGATGGCGATCAGCCAGAGCCATGTAGGGGCGAGGGGCCGCATCGCTGTGCTCCAGAAAGGGTCGCGGAGGGGGAAGAAGGGGACTGGAAGAGAAGAAGGAAGTTTATTGAATTCGAGGCGTCAAGAAGAGGTGTTGATGATGACTTGAAGGATGAAATTCGTTGGCGGGCGGCTTGCCGAGGGTCGCGTGGAAGCTGCCGCCGATGAGCGCATAAACGGTAAACAAGGACAGCAGGACAGAACGTGGATATGCATGTGTACTCTAAATTATGAATCAAGCTATTTGGGTTTTCAAGGTATGGATGCCTACACTGCTACGACGAGAAAAGCAAAATAACAGGAAAATGCGGGTGTTGGAGCCAGAAAAGAGTTTGTGGACTCGATATGGATTATAGGAATGAGTACAGGGTGTATGAGCCGGAGAAGTATATGGACGGCCCTCTGGGCAAGACGAGGGTGTTGTAGATGTTCTAAGCATTCTAGACAAGAAGCAATCCTCCCAACAATCCCACCACCCCCAAACCAAGACCCAAGATACCTTCCTCAGGGAACAACCTCCTCGCCCCCGAACTGCTCCCCGAACTCGCCGCACTCGTAGCCGCACTACTCGTCGCTGCCGGCCCTCCAGACGTCGTTGAAACCGCCGAACTCGAGCTCGACCCGCTGGATGAAGAAGAAGTGGAGGACGAATTGGCAGTGGCGGAGGAGCCGTTGGAAGTCGTGAGAGGTGCGAGGGTGGAGGTGTTTACGGAGGCGGGGTAGGTGATGGTAGCGCTAGGCAGCGTCACGGGGGATGTAGACGCGAGCGCGCATTGGGAGACGAAGGTATCGAGAATCTCTTGGTATGTCGCCCGGGTCGTCTCGGCGGGCGACAGTCCCAGAGCACATTCCAAGCAATCCCTGTACGCCGCCTCAACCGAGTCTGTACAGAGACAGGTAGTGTTCAGAGAAGTCCCCACGCCGCATGTCTACACGACCGATGAATTAGCACCCCGGCGCCAAGAGCGAGGCAAAGGACGGAGAAGAAACGTACAGAGAGGCTGGTGGAGATATTGTTGCACTGACTCCCACAGCTATCCGGGAATCCGGCCACTGCGCTCGCGCTAGAGGCTGCACTAGAGCCGCTGCCGGTCGAAGAAGCAGAAGAGGAAGTGTTGTTAATGAGAGCGCTGGTCATAGAGGCGAGGGCCGTGGAGTCTGCGCCGCCGGACGTATTGGAGTCGGAGGCAGATTCAGAGGCCGGGGACGTTTGGATAGTGTAGTCCGAGGCTGTAGAGGACTGAGAGAAGGCTAGGAAGATGCGTCAGAAGATGGATGGTTGAGAGGGAGGCGAAAGACATACCCGAACCGGCGAGGGAGAGAGCTGCAAAGAGCGCAGAGACAGAGACCATCCTGACTGCTTCCTGTCAAGACGTGGTAGAAGGAGCGAGGCTGAGAGTGTTGGTAAAGTCGTGGAAGAGACGGGATGCAAAAAGCTGTGGATGTGGTTGACCCTTTGGATCTCGTGCTGTGACCTGATGTCGCAGCAGGGTCCGCTGACTCGTGCACCGCTGTGCTGCTATTAGATTCAGGGATAAATCGTCGTCGAGCCGGGGGCTGGGGCTGTGGGAGGCGGTGGCGGGGGGCAGGAAAGTATAGGCGCGTAGAGGATGCAGGAATGAAAGAGAAGATGATTTTTCCAGGAATGCAGGCACTTGAAAGATGACCGCGCTCGGCCCAATCCGGCACAACAGCGAGCGCACATCTTCTCTTGCATTCATTCCTTTACCGCCCCAGTACAGTCACAACACCACGCTTCAAGCCTTGCACGTAGCGTGATGGCAGTGGTGTGGTCTCTGAGAAAGCAAGGAATTCACATACTGTGCATGCACGGAAGAATCGCCCCCCGGCAACTCCCGGCATCAGATATCTTCCTCTTCCTTTCCCACACAAGACCATGTTGGCCCATGTGCCTCCAGCCTCTTTGCGAGCACATTTCACCCTTGGATGTCCAGAGACGCATTAGTATAATTGGAGAAGACCCACCACTAAGACTTGCATGAGCTTCGCTGCCCTAAAAAGTTGTGAAGCTTACTGTGAATCAATCCTATTCGCCAGCATCAAGTGCGAGTACCCGGGCCAGGGAAGACTGACGCCGCCCATTCCTGTATCTGTTGACAAATTTGGCGTAATTGATCAAGTCGAGTCCCCCTCCGTCCGACGTTGATGAGCATGATTGAAATCCGCAACGCGTCCTTCAACCTGGGAACGAATGCACTTGACTCTTGAAGCCAAAGTCTTTCGCATCATTTCTTCAATCGTCTCAGGCCAAGCACATGCAGGTTCACCAACTTGTGCATGAGAAATATTCCAGAGGCATTCTGCGGGCCCTCAGCCCCCTCCTCCCGCAACCCCAGGTCTCAGGTCGTGGAGCTGGCGTCCTCGAACTCCCCATCATGCATACAGCATAGTATTCGTATTTCGTCCTTCCCACAGCGCGGACCTCAGGCCCAGACCCTCCCCCTCAATCCTCATCCATCTCTTCGCTCGTCGCCCCTCACCACCCTCGCATCTTTACGTATCCCTCCCTCCCTCAACGCCGCTTTACGCGTGCCTCGTCTAAGGGCGCCCATCTCCGTTCCGAGTGGTGCCGACTCCGGGTGGCTGCCCGTCTACAGGACTCCGCCACTTCTTCGTTTTCCTGTTTTCCTGCATCTTTTCTTCTTGACGTTTCTGATGCTGCGCAGCGGAGTCTATCTTTGTACGCTGCAGTGCTGGCGCTGCACGCGTAACCATATCAGGGGAAGATTACGACTTTTCTTACGAAGGCTGCGACTGCGACGACAGTTGAAAATGTTGATATGATTTCAATTTCTGTTATTGAGCGATAACGATTTAAACGAAAGCAGAGCTGTCAGTTACGTGCCTAGACCTCCTTCATGTCCATGAATCCATGATCACTTCATTCAAGCAATCTCCATGCAATGACTCCACAGATGTCTCATACATTCCTCATTATGGTCGGATATTGGTGCGCCCTACTTGCCCAGCGCGCACAGCTTGCTGCAGCTGCAAGACCCCCTCCATGTTGGGCGGGCGCTCAAGTGCGGGGTACGTATACGCGGGTTTGCGGGAGCGGGTTGTACACCACAGGCCAGTCACCAGAGTCACCTCCCCATGCAAAGAGTACATACCCATGTCTCATCTTTCGTCCCCGGTGCCCCCTGCCCTGGCTTGCGGGCCTTGCCACCGTACCCCACCACACCTCCTCACCCTCGCCCTCGCCCTTCTATATTCTACCATCTAGTCCCCTTTTCCACTTCCCAGTTCCCAATTACCAACAAGCAAGCAACAACTAAAACGGAAGAAAACGGAAGAAAAAAATCATGAGACAGAGATCCAAGTGCAAAGAAGGAAAGAAGGGAGAAAAAGGAGAAGAGAGGGTTGAGTGGGAAACGAGCCTAAAAGTGATCGAGGTTCAGGACCTGCCTGTCTTGCATCTTGCATCATCCTCGTCAGTTCCTCACCCTCGGCCCTCGCCCCAGCCCCGGGGGAGACTTCGGATGACCGCAGTTGTCTGGCCTGACTGGCACTAGCTTCGTCCTGCGTCCAGCTTGTTTTTGAGAGCGCTCGCATCATTGTCGTATGTCCTGCTCCTCTCACTCCTCCAGTTCCTACACTGGCAGCTGCACGATGTTCTTCGGCCCTGAACAGATTGTCCACTTGATTGACAAAGTCATCCAACAAATACATAGCAATATAGGCATGTCATAGATCATCAGTGAACACCGATGACCGACGACTAGGCTGCACTGTAAACCCAACGCGTCACGAGACAAGTCACATGTTGACACCTTTCCAAAGTTTCTTTTAGATAAGACAGTCCAATTGCGAGTGGACCCGACGAGTAAGTACTGTATAACACATTTCAATTGCAGTCCAGTATCTTGCCGACACTGGAAGGCGCCGTCGTCATTCAACCTCGATCAACTCGATCACCCTCCACAAACCTCTCCTTCCAGTAGCACCGTTCATGCACTCCCGGGAGTCTAGTGTCAGCTATACCGAGTGGACACCCGAAAAGGTCCAAGACAAAAGAGAAGGCCCGCCGAGGCGTTCGGGCGTCCGGCAGTGAACGGTGGTGGTGTGTCTATGGCGAAGACGGTGCAGAGGTTGACAACGTGCTTGAATGCATGAGTGACGACTTTGTTGTCGAGATGAGCAGAATGACACGTTGGTCTAGATGTGTTTTTGTATTGCATACGCAGAATTTCCTATTGCAATATGGAAAGATAGAGATGAATGACCCCAACGACGATATGATCAAAGAAAAAGAGGGGGAAGTGATATGGCTAGGCTACACAGGATTCTTCAAACGATATAGAAAAGGAGAGAGAAGATACTTGAGAGAAAGGTGAATACGGACGAGAGACACTTTCCAGAGCTATCACGAGGAAAAGAACAGAAAAGGGCGATGGAACAATGCCCGAGCTGCTGATATATACCACATTTTGTTCTTGAAAACCCAAAAGATAAAAAAAGCTAAAAGAAAGAATCGATAAAGTGTTATGCACAGAGGGGTAGAAAGACAGCAGAGAAATAGACGGCCACACAGTTGATACAACAAGAACAAACACCAAAAAAACCCTCGCTCGACACGTGCAGCCCTACACCTACGCCATGGTCCCGGCGCCCTGCCTCCACTCCTCATGCTGCTGATGTATCGGCACCCCATACTCTGGACTAGGCGTCCCAGCCCCAACACCCATCCCTTCCCACCCAGGCGCATGCGGCACATTCCCCTGACTCTGATGAGACCACTCCCTCTGCAACTCTTGCCCTCCCCCGCTGCTGCCGTGCGGATGATAATGAGGCGGCGCATGGTGCGGGTGGTGGTGCAGAGGCGGGAGGGCGGGGGGCGCATCGGACGAGCCCGAATCGCCTGAACCGGATGAAGAAGGTGGGTTGAGGTGACGCCCGTGTCCGGGAGGAGGTGGCCCCAGAGGCGGGGGCGCAGCGTACTCTTGCCTTGTCGGAATCAGCCTCGACGTCTGTCCCTGCCCTCCTTGCTGGCTAGGGTGGATCTGCCAAGGCGCATAACCCGGATACGTGGGCGACGCCATCTGCTCCATATGATGTCCCTCTGGTGGGGGGTAGAAGGACGAAAAGGTGCTCGGCGCAGTGTCGGGCGTGTGATAGTATGGGCTAGGGGTGGGCTTGATATCGTATGAAGCGTCAGGAGAGTACGGCGAGTTTTGGCTGCCGTCAGACGTGCGGCGCGCATGCACTTGGTACCCCACCGAAGACCCATTGGAATTCCTGTTCCCAGGCCCATACGGCGTATACCGTCGACTTGCCCCGCTCCCAGGCCTGATCGCACTCCCCGTACTCGTCACGCTGCTCCCACTGTTCTGCCTGACAAGAGGCGGGGCGTAGCCCATCCCGTTGACCGGACTCTCACTGTAGAACGTGCCCGAACCGGCAGAAGAGGGGCCCATATAGGACGAGCCTTGCATCGAGTGCGCGGGGGAGGGGAGGGGTACGAGCATGGGTACGTTGACAGGGCGGGAGCGGGGAGAGGACATGCGGTGGAGCTGTTGATGTTGGTGGAGATAGGCGTTGACGGGGTCGTAGTAGTCCGCACCGGCGGGAGGAGGTTGTTGTTGGTACGCCTGGAAAGAGTAGTTGGTGGCTGGGGTATGGGGCGAAGTAGGTTCCTCGGGTTCGCCTCTGTGATACTGTCAGCTTTGATCTCAAGAAAAGGGGGGTTACGCACCTGTAGCGAGGGATACCGTCCTGCCCGACTTCGACCTGCGGCGGGAACCTAAAGTTTTGCTTCTGCAAGTACTCGGCACTGATCTCGAGCGACGCCAGCTCTGGAATAGACGACGGTGATCTGAGCTTGCCGTTGATGACATCGTCGATCGCATAGTAGGACACCACATGCTGGGCGAACCCATTGACAGATACCGACATGGTCTACTTTTCCATCAGCTGTAGTCCCGAGAAAAAGTGTGTGACAGTGAGACTGACCTTCTTGACCAGACCACCCTTTTTGAACTTATAGCTATTCGTCAAGCTCCCGACTAGCTGCCTCTCCTTCTGCCTATCCATATTCCCACTACCTTCACTCGAGCTTTTCGGGCGGGCGAGGGCACCTTGGCCGAGGGGCGATGGTTCCCCGTTGGCTTCGGCGATGGAAGTGTTGATGTGCGGGAGGACAGCCTGGGCTTCAAATTTGTGCGGGGTGGCAGATGACGATGTAGGCCGGGCGAGGGTGTTGGAGTTGGACGGAGGCGAAGTCTGGGTGGGCGAGTTGGATGCTTTGGAGGACGATCTTTTGTCCGTTTCTCTATACACCTATAGCCCATGTCAGCCTCTGCTCTATCCAGGGGAGCTCTCGACAACGCAAAAGTCTCCGATGTGACCCGATGCCGGCCTTGACGTTGCGGAGAGAGACTGAGAATGAAAGACATACCAAAAAGTTTCCCATGATCCTACTCGGGCTCCAGACAAGCCCATCCGTCCACCGCTTGATCCCACTCTCATGCTCGTCAAATACAAAGACCGCTCCACTCTGCACCATCCCCCGCTCGCGCTCTATCAGGCGCCTGGTCACGCGGGGGATCATCCCGCGGCGGGCTGCTTCGAATACGAGCAGGGCGTCCAAGGTGGATTCGATGTAGCCTCTGAAGGGCGGGTCGAGGTTGTATGGCGGGCTCGGGGGGGAGGACATTGGGGGCGAAGGCATGTTGGGTGGAAAGGCGAGAGGTGGTGGAGGGTGGAGGTTTGTAAACACAAAAAGGCAAAAGGGGGCTAGATGCCGGGACTATTCGCGGGCTTGTCAGTTGGGCGGATTCGGGGGAGAAGAGGAGGCTATAGGGCGCGGGGGGGCAAGGCGTGTATGTACAGGGGGCAAGACATGAAAGTCAGAAAGGCAGGAGGGTGATATAAGAAGGGGATGACAAGCAAGAAGGAACGCGCAGACTGCCCTCGGTGGGAAATAAAGTTGCGATAAAATCCGCCCCTTGCCCTTCTTTGCCCTACGCAAATATCCAGCCCCTTAACAAGCGAAGGTGCCGATGCAATGCCATTGCCGAGTGCCGGACTCAGGGTCACAACCAAGAAAAAGCCTCATAAGCTTCAGGCTTTTTCGTCCCTTTTCAGCTTTTTGCAAAGCCAGCCAGGCATGATTCCAGTGAATGCCCTGGCAGGCCGTCGCCCCACCCCTTTGCGGTTATAGGCTACACGCCCGGCACAGGGCCAAGAACACCTCATCACCACTTCCGTCGCGCGGCCCTCAGGGGCTAGAGCAGACGCTGGTTCAGCCACCCCAGCATCATCTCGATTACGCACCCCGGTAGGCGGCAGTCACCCCCAGCCATAGACAGAAAAGGGAAACAAGAGAATAAGGAGCACGATTCTAGATCTTGTAGAAGCGCTATCTACAGAAGACATTTTCGAAGGAACGAAACGAAATATGGTGGCGCAAGACTAGGAGACCGAGATGGTACAAGTGCCGAACTCACGTTTTCCTATGAGGCCTATGAACACTTATAGCGGTGTTCCTTGACGGCTGAGAAAGTGATCGAGCGTCGGTGACAGGAGGGTCTAATAGGAGGGGGGGATATGGCTGGAAGATGGATGGATGTGTCTGCGCGGTTGATGTCAGCTTTCTGCACGAGACCGTTCAGCGTGTATGACCCACCTCTTGTTCGCCTTTATTCTATGACGGCTTCGCTGCGTTCTTATCCCTGGAACCGGTTCCGTAGCGCAAATGGATATAGACTGCAATACAAGTGGTCAGCTCTTCGTTTCTGGAGACAACCATGCCGTAAAGATTAGATCTCTTGTGACAGACGCCGAACAACCGGCTGAAAAAGAACAACCCTGATCAACCCAGGAAATGATTCCAGCAAAGCCCTCAACGAAAAACGAAAGCCGCTCCAACAGCCGGGCAAACCTCTTTACTCATCATTCTTTCGTACACCACGCCAAGAGCCCCATAGGATCACGTACTGCAGAAAGTCACTTGAAAAGTTGGTCTGGTGACGTTTACCGAACGCCGAGGGGCGCCACAGGAGAACAGGGAATGCAGGAAACGGCGACAGGAAAGAATAGAACGAATCCGACAGAAATCACAGATGGCAGAAAAGACAAGAGCAGAGCAGAGCGAGATGGCAGCGTTTTGACTGTTACACCCGGGTGGAGGAGAGTGATGGGAGTGCACGCGTAACCTGGGACCCTCGAATGTATTTGCCCGCGCACAGGAAAAGATAACGACCCAATTCTCCGCCCACGACGCCAAATCCCATCTCCTGTGCATATCCTCTGGGCCGTGCACATCCCCGTCGCCCAGCTCGGCACGGCACACGACAGCAATCAATGTTCCGGCGAGAGAGCGAGGGCGCGAAAGTGGAGGCAGGAAGAAGCACAGCGACGGGGCGACACTGGCTGGGCGCGTGGCTCGAACTGTGGCCTAGACCCTAGATCGCAAGGGAGGGGTACGATGGCATGATCCGAGAGCGTAAATCCACCTCCATTCCCCCGGGCAAACGCTGAATCGAGACACAGGCAGCAGAGGCACCGCGGGTAACAATGCCCCCACTCGCTCGCAGCATCGGAAAAAGGACAGGTCCTCGTCGTAGCTCGTCGCTCGTAGCGTAACGCAACATCATACCACAGAGATCAAGTAACCAAAGACCCAGGAACGAGGTCCGGGTGACCTCGCCAGCCAGGCCCGTGCCACTGGGCACTGCTGAAAAAGGAGAGAGGCAAGGGAGATAGGAAAGCGCAGAATGGGCACGTTCACACACTCGGGACCTTGCCCATACCCCACTCGGAACCATACCAGGACAGGCCCCCCAAAGGGCAAGTCCCAGGTCCAAGAGCACGAGCTTCACAACAGCGTCACAAAAAGGGAAAGACAATCGAAACAATCGAGCCCACAACACAAAATCCAGCAACGGCAAGAGCCAGAAGGAAGGAAGGGATCATCGGGGATTAACGACAAACTCACGAGTGACCAAAGCGGACGTAGATCTGCGGAAGGCGAGGTACAGTCGAGATGGAGAGAATGAAGAGACGGCCTGGATGAGGTGAGGCAGGGGGTAGGTGGGCGCTGGGGGTGGCTGGTGACGATGGGATGAGGGCGCAGATTACTGGAGAGGGGAGAAGCGTGCAGTGATATCGATTGGAGCTACGTAGTAGATTGTGTATCGATGGAAAGACAACGTTGCATCAGTCAAGATCAATCGACTCGGAACATAACTGGGTTCTTTCGTACTCACGTTTGTTTTAAGTTCTCTCGGTTGACCGATAATTGATGCTCGCACCGAGTCTAGACTAGAGCGGCGGGATTTACACAAACAAGGAGTGGGTGGTGTATAGATGTCGTGGCGTTCAGACGATTGGGGCCTGTGATTGAACAGTGTCAGTTGAAGTCAATATAGACCTGAAAGTCGGCGTTGGAACAAGTTGAACAAGTTGAAAGACAAGATAACAAGTAAAGGAGAGCAAAGGACCATCGTAAAACACGATCCCATCCTCGCGCTTAAGTATGCTTTCCCAAAGCCAGGATGATCACCGATGGAACCAAAAGAAAACAACCTTCGCACAGTTCTTCCTTTCCACCCCCTCACCCCTCCACCTTTGACCGGCAATAAACTGGCTTTAAGCCCCCCCTGCCCCCTTTGAAGCGGATGGACGGAGGAAATTTCGGATGGCTGACGCTCCTTTGCGTTGGGGAGCAAGAGGCAGACTAGCATACTGAGTCCTTCCGAACATATACCGAGCCACGAACAAAAGAAGGAGAGGAGAGGGACGAGTTTGGGTGAGGGTAGAACGCCAGGGAATGACGTTGGGGGAGAAGGCATATGGGTAAGGTGGGGATCGGCAAATCCGGCAGATCGCCAAGGAGGATAAAGGTGGATATATTGGCGGCAGGATGGCAAGTGCTCGGCATCGTCAAGCGAGTCGAGAGATGGGCACGAGTGGGTGAATGGAGGCCCGCCGTCGGAAAGGGACAGCACGGAAATACAACTCTTCATCACACGAGTTCCACAATACTCGAAAGATCTGACGAAAGCAAAGCATACGAAACATACGCAAGATGAACAACCCCATGCAGAAGAAGTATCCTTCCCGCACACTGACATAAACCGTCAAACTGTGATAAGGAAGAAAGTTATGCCAGCATTCGATAAGAGAAAACCTCTCGTGAAGGAGGAGAAGAAGTTGATGGCTGATGGGAAGGACGAATGACAAACTCAATCGCATGCCGTCCGCGGGGAAAGCGTAATATGCAAAAGCAGGAACCACATAAGCCGCCCATTTTCCCAGCAGCGTTCTGACGCGTCTGGTACAATGCAGGAGCTTGGGAGCAGGTCGATAAATAAGGAGGTGAAAAGGGAGGGACAGTGGGGCAGAGAAGGGGGAAGCCGAAGAGAGAGGAAGAGAACGAAGGTCACATCTGGAGGCATTACGTGAAGGAGAACGTACCTGGAAAGACTAAACCTCCTAGTCTTCTTATCTAAGCTCTGCCTCTCGCTTGGGGACGTTGTCGTCTTGGTCGAGAAGAGGTGTGGTTGGGGATCTCGAGGATGTGCTCGAAATAGAGAAGAGATGGAAGATGAAGGCGTGAATCGGACCGGGGATAAGTAGGGTGAAAGACGAGGTGGAGGCAGATTCCCTTCGGTTGATGACGACGATAAAGGTGACTCTCCTTGGTGACTGCTGGGCGGCTTGTTTGCAGGGGTGTGTCGCGGGGGTAGACGTAACGTCTGGGAGTCGTATACAGAGGAGTAACAAGAAGGTGAGTTGTCAAGAAGAGATGGAATATATCGAGAGGGGGAAACGCGTTTGCGATGGTTGGATCACATCACGTGAAGTACAGAACGGGCGATCATCAGCACCCCCAGAGGCCAAGGATGCTCTCGCCGCCGGCCGCTCGTCGGAGGCTCGCAGCAGCTCCGAATACCAAGACATCGAACGACCCAAATGCTGAGCCCAGTGAAACGTGAAGGCAGCCACCAGGTGATCGGCACGATCCCAGAACATCGGAACGCGAATACATTTGATGAAAATGCAAAGAAAATGAGGAGATGAGGCTCCTGGCGTCAAAGCCTAGATATGAGGACTAGATCCAAAATGGCTCAATCTGTGTTTATCACGCATTTCTCATATGTGCGAGACCTGCGAGTAGCCGATATTCACCGGCTTGACTGAATAACAGGTGCGCCAGCGCTACAAAAAGAACGATCGGATCAGAAATTTCTTCCTATTTTCCTTTCAGGATGCGCAAAACTCACGATCGTTTGAATTTGAGGAACAAGCTGAAGAAGCCAGGGACCGGGGATTCCCCGTGGGGAAAACCCGCATTGTTTGCCAAGCTTTCAATGCATGAACTGGCATCGAAGAAGAGGAGAAGGTGAGGCCGTCATTGGAAATTTACGGGACTCGGAGGGGACCTGACCTCGGGGTACTCGCTCCACCACCTCATTCCCATGACCACGATACATGATGCTACCCAAAGTGAGACCTCGCGCACAGGGCAACACTCATCATGGTGAGTACATGTGCGAGAAGAAGAGGGTTGAGCGACGCATTCCAAGTGTAAACAAACCACCGAAGCCGAGGGCCGAGGGCCGGGTGGGCTCCACAAGGGCCACAAGCCACCTTTTCGCCACTCCGCGTTGGCCTTGTTTGGTTTCTCGCAATCTTTTTACCCCGCCATATGGCCATCCATAATTCCATATTGTTGGCAGCAGCGCCATCGGGGTACGACTTCGTTGCCGCATCGTCGACCCTTGACCCTTGGGTTGTCATGCTTTTTTCTGTGGCGATTCATGGCTCATGTGCCTGAAGTCCCTACTTTTTTTGTTCTTTGTCAAAGTGTTTCTTCTGGATCTTCAAAATCAATCTGCGTTCAGAACTGCAGAAAGGAGGTGTCTACTCAGTGAGGAGATCTCGGATCTTGCATCAGGTATGATGGCCGGTCATCGGCCACTGGCTGTCAGGCGATTTGTTGATTCATCTGAGAGATAAGTAGTATTACGTGAGGTTCCAATGCGGAGATGAATACACCTTTGTCTATAAATTATTCGACAGACCGATCGCTTTCTTGCCGCACATCATACCCTACCCCTCCTGCTTTCAACGAGGAGCAACATCCAATTCATGTGGAGTCAGCAGGGAACAGGTCAAAGACAAGGAGCGTAGTAGCAAAAGCAGGTCGACGACACTTTCCGACGGGTGGGTTCGATTCCTCTGGATACCGGATACAAAGCATTCTATGAATTCTATGGCCTATGGTCGCTTATTAGAGACGGCCTGCTGAATCAAGGTGTATCGTCATCATGCATTGGGATGCCGCACGGGAAGCGTCCAAAGCGTGTCACTCTACTGGAATCATCTGGAGGCCTCAAAGGCAATCAATAAGACAAGCGTTCCGTAGATCGGGAAACTGAAGGTTTGATCACGGCTCCTCGTCCCCAATCCCCAAGCACGTTAGACACGCCGCAGCACATGTGATACTTCCTTCCGATTTGCTATGAGATGAGAGTTTGTTGGAATCTGACGGAATGCTCGAGATCACTGAAAGGTACGAGGTGGCAAGACATGTTCGAGGCAACGATGTCTAAAACCGATATACACTTTTGAATGGTTGTCTCGTCATCTCATCGATACTTCCCACACGGCCCACAGAGTTCACTGCGCACGGCACACCGCGGGCAAGAAGTAGGTGTCACACGGGTCCATGACCTCTAGCGATGCCCTTGTAGTAGTCGAGGTGAGTCGAAATGACTTGAGGACCATGAGAGGTAGCCAAGCCAATGCCGGAGGACATGGACACTTGTGTTTGAGAGACGACAATATTTGATCGACAGGGTATCTAAAAGCTATGAAAGAGTGTGGTATTTATATCCAGCCTCAAGCCTACGTATCCCTTTTCCATGACCTTCCAGTGTTTTCTACAGTGGCCAACAGAGTGGCAAAGATGATTCTAGACGTTTCGAGGTATTTCTGGGTCGAGTGGCAACAGCCACGTGACTGTAGGCTGCTGCCGCCTACATACCAGGGTCGAGGTTCGGGCCTTCTTTCGACGATCAATCTGTCATCAATCTGTATGTGCACCTTCGGCATAGATCGGGTGGTAATGGCCTTGGCCGCCCATGAGACAAACGCAGGTTGACTGGAAGCTCATTTGTTGCTTAGGAGATGTCAACAACAATCACAGCCGGCATTGTGGAACGGCGAAGCACACGGCTGACGAAGCATCACTGCTGCCCGGTACCCGTCGTAGTGAGCATGCTGGTTGACGTATCCGACCCGGACTGTGCTATCGCCATCACCAGCTGCAATTGTTTAATACAGCTGGCAGATGAAGCATATACCCGTGTCCCAACGGCGCGTTGCTGGACGGTGCTCACTGAATTACTCTCACTCATCTTTTGCACACCCATTGTGCCTCTTGATCAGAGCAATGGCGGCGGGGTGATTTGCGTCGAAAAGCAAAACACACAGTACTACTTCTCTGTCACAATAAAACCTACTAAGGAGGTCTAGCAGTCACCCATTCACTTCGCCAGCTGCACTTCTGATCTCTTCTCACTACCGGATTGTCTGGACATCATTCACGAGCTGTTTACAAAGGCGACTCGAATCTTTCAATGTACATCTAGCCCGTCCGACTTTTACATCCTGCAGTGACCTCCTCCTTGACACTCGCTCGTCTTGTAGCATCGTCTCTTCTCGCGTCATTTACAACCCCATATCTTCTTGAACTTGTCTCAAGTCTCTTCTCGGACATACTAGTGTGACCTCCTCTTTAATGTTCATAAATGAACTGGGCGGGTGTTATACCCGTGTGAAACCCGACCTTTGGCACATGAGGTGTCAGATAGATACGTCGTCGCGTTAACATGTCTCAGATTACGGTTCATTGATTCGAGCGCATCAACTCATATAGCAGCGTCCGTTCTTTTAAAGGAAGGATTCATGTACGCAGTTACCCGATGGTAATACGATGATCAAATGTCACTTGCTCATACAACGATAGAGTCGACAATGGCTCGTTGATCGAGGCAAATCTATTACCAGACACTACTTGAGATCAGTTGTCCCTCCATCAAACATGCCGGGCTCATCGAGACTATATCTACTCTGGTTTCATGATGTATGAGCGTCATGGACTGATAGCTACCAGAAATTCATTACTCGATAACAAGTATGATGAGCCAATAAAATTGGGACCCTTCACGGTCCGGAAGCCCGTGGTATCTGATTGTGACAACAGTTCTATCAGTCAGCGCGCCATCTGCCTTATGCAGCTACAGGCATCCAAGACTCTTGTACATGCGTTAAATCAGCTGAGTTGTACAGTCGCCATCTTCTGCGCGATGATGAAGGTTGGCTGAAACTTGGCCTGGCGATTTGCCTGATTAATGGTAAATTCCATGACCACCGGCCTTTGGCCGCAACTCCGCGTATCCCTTGAGAAATGAGAAGAGAGCGCGCAGGGCGCAGGCAAAATCGCGGACCTCAGAAGAAGAGACGCATTAGCAGAAGTGGACAGATACTCGAACGATTCTTCGGCCCCAGTTAGCCCTGCTGTGCCTCGGAGATAAATTGCGTAATATATTATCGGCTGTCGTGGTATGTCACCAACGACGCGATTGACTGCATTTACATACTTGTCACCCTTCCCTTTCTTTCCAAGATCCAAGATCCAAGATCCAATCCACGCACCATTTTCATGCCGAAGGGTGGCTCAAGCCACGGAGGCAACGGAGATTAGAAAATGCGCTCCACCTTTTTACGCCACATTGCAGTCAAAGTCATCTAGAGCAGGGGCCAAAGAGAGCTACATATGAATGAATGAATTGTCATGATGGGACTTGATTGTGCATGTATAATTGGGCGGCGCATAGCCCAGTCCTCTTTGGGCACCGCGTATGGTCTGCCAGCATCGGCCGCTTAATCTGTCTTCTACCTTTTATGGATGCATGCCGCCGAGGCCGCCGAAGAGCTTTGGTTGCACTATGTACAGGCAGCATGCCTAGCCTTTAATACTGCGTATACCAGAGCCTCAGAGATCAGAGAAGCCGACCAAGTCCACCAAGTCTGTTGTTGATTTGCAGATTTCGGCAAGGATCTTTTAGTCTTACGACAAGGCCATGTACCTCTTTCACCTGCAATAGATGCGACCTGCACCTGCCCGGCTTATGTCTTGCTCTCTTCTTGTCCTCATATATTTAACCCTTATGGTGCTCAGCAGGGGCTTTCTTGAAGGTCGACAGGACGGGCCCGTCCTTCTCGTCACTCGTGTCCTCACTCTCACTCTATACAACAAGTATCCCAATGCCCAGATCATTCGCATCCACATACAATACTCGTACTCTACTATACATGCATACACCTCTCTCCCCTCCGAGATTCTGTCCATCAAACAGAAAAAGTATATATATATATATATATGATCATACCACCAGAGCTCTGCTCTACTCTTACTCTTACTCTACAGTTCTTTCAGATAATTACAACAAATAAATCGTCCAGACGGCCTCCCCCTTGACTCTTCGCAGACCACTGACCAGCATTCGGTATCCAGCATCAAGCACCACGCAACCAACCCCAACACCCGACACCCAGAACCTCAAGACCCAAGACACCAAGACTCGATCAAGAAGAAGACGAAGGCACCTCCACAATCCCCGACGTTAGTAGACTATGTCTTACCCCGCTCCTCCTCCTCTTTCCCCTCCCCTCTTTCCCCTCCCTCCCTCCCTTCTCCTTCTCCTTCTCCTTCTCCTTCTCCTTCTCCTTCTCCTTCTCGAGATCCACCCGGTCCTTGTCCCGGACTTTATCCCCACCTCTCCGCCCGAGGGAAAGGCTCGCCCGCCGGATGGACGCTGATGCTGACCTTGCTAGGGATGATGCGCGGGGTGGTGAGGATTTGGGGGGGGATGGGGAGAGGGAGGCGCGTCTTTGACTCTTTGTCTGTGACGACGACGACGACGACGATGCCGGTTCGGTAGAGGACGATGGAGGTGAAGAGGAGGAAGTGAAAGTCAGAGACGATGTAGGGAAGGGAGAAGAAGAAGAAGCAGCAGCTTGCGATGCTCTCGCCGACGTCGGGGGAGGAACGAAATCGCTCGATACCCCACACCCCATCTTCTCTATAGGTGTCCCACCAGAGATGGAGGGGTAGTTTGTGATCCAGATCTCCAACAACCCCACTACTGTGCCATCACCTTCTTCACCTTCTTCACCTCCTCCTCCTTCTCTACCTTCTCCATCCCCTTCCCCTTTCCTTCCCCGCCCTTCCACGCAGTCACGCATACCCAAAGGCAGCTTTTTGCCCCGCTCAAGACACATCCCCATATCAACCATCTTATCCGGGCCCCCAATGAGGGTCGGGGCGAGCACGATGGCGAGGTTGAGCGCCGACATTTTCGTTGTTGGTTCGTGTTTCGCGAGGGCGTGGAGGAGGGATACGACGGCTGTGAGGAGGAGGGTATGCGACGGCGGTAACTTGTTGAGAAATGGTGGGATGCTTGGGGCTGTTCAGCTCTTCGCAAAGGGGTCAGGAGAAGGGGGAGGAGAGGGGACATACTCTGAAGGCAAAGCGACTCGCCTCACATCACCATAAACCTCCCACCCAATCACGGGTCCCGCCAGTTCGCCCAAAAATTTGCACAACACTTTAGGCAACAGCAGTTTGTCTTTTTGCGCGAGGGCGGACCAGGGGAGGTTTGGTTGGGCTTCGAGAGGGAGGGCTAGGAGGGATTGGAGTGGGGCCATGTACGAGGACTGTTTTTTCTCAAATCAGCATTGGTTTTCAAGCAAAGAAAGAAGGACAAGGAAACGACTTACGTTGGACGACCGCCGAAAGATACCTTCAGTCGCCGTACACTCTTCTAAAATCGCCCTACTAACCCTCACCACCATAGGCGGCACCTTCCCCCCGCACTCATCCACCAACCCCCTCAAATCCCGCTTCCAATACCCATCCACCACCGCTTCTCCCACCCTACTACCTGCTGAATGCTTCGGGGAGGGGAGGCGGGAGAGGCCGATGTAGGATGCCGCGGAGGAGAAGGTGGATGAGATGGAGGAGAAGTATGAGTCGCTCCCTTCTTTGGGGTATTTGGATTTGGAACTGTCATGGCTAGAGACGCGTTGGACGTCTGCAAGCTCGGGCCCGCATTCGAGAAGCTCGGGGTGGTCCCGCAGAGCGCGGCCTTCGGATTCCAAGACGGCGAGGGAGAGGTCGATGCCGGTGAGCGGGACGTCGTGGGTGTAGTATAATGCTAGGAGGGAGGGGAGGGGGTGGAGTTTGGAATACGACTTGGGGGAGAGGAGGGGGAGGATGAATGGGAGCAGGGCTGGGGTGCGTCAGCTGTGAGTGACGAGGAGGGAGACGGTCAGACGAAGGACGTACAGCGGGTGAACAATGACGGGTGGACGATGTACTATGGATGATGATGCGTTAGGCCTGGATTTTCGATAGTACGACGCTTGTTGATGACTACTTACGAAACGCTTCAAGTTTTTCCGATACCTAGAGTTGTACCAAGAACCAAAAAAAGTACGGCATCGTCAGCAAAAGAATGCTTCTACAGTTTTGGAGAAGAATACGAGCATAGTGCACGAGACTAAGAGAGGGCTTCCCGATGACTCACTTTCTCGGAATACGCTTCCATTTCCAGACCCACCAGGCCACGCCCGGCAGCTTGCGCGACTCGTCCCCGGCATGTGACGGCTCTGCGGCCGCAGACGCAGACGCAGACGAAGCAGAAGCAGTGGCGGCAGCGCCCTCCGCAGACATGATGACCAGTACATAGCCCCCCTCGCCTTCTTCCCCGACCCACGGTTCGAGGCGCCGCAGTATCACCTGAAACAGCTCGTCATTGCTGAGGGAAGGCGGCGCCGAGGCAATGTGGGCGAGGGATACGACGAGAATGTTGTATGGCGCTGGTTCGGGGTGGGTGGTGAGGGTGGGGTAGAGGATGTTGGAGGTGTCGAGGGGCTGGGTGCGGAGTTTCTTGGGAGGGGAGGCTGTGTTTGTAGTGGGGGAGGGCGGCCAGAAGGAGCCGATGGACCTTCGCCAGGCCTCTTTACCGCCTCTAGCGACGAGGCTCATGATACGGTTGTCTTGGAGGGGGCCGTCGGGGGGCAGGGCGGGGGCGGTGTAGGAGTGGGCGAGCTTGTGGAGGGTGGGGCGGAGGTTGTCTGTGGCGGGGGACGAGATGTGCGGCTCCATCTCCTGCTTGTAGTTCAATCACAGAAGACGATGATGATCAGACATCCTTTCCATCAACCCGATCATCCAGCGGATCCAGCACAGACTCCACAGAGCGTATTTTAGCGTAAACACGTAAACAAGGCCGGCGGGGCCTGGACCAGCCTCGCGGGCGGCGCACCCCGATCAGGATCCGCACGTGGGTGCCACGCGAGGGGCGATGGCGTGCTCCGGCTTGTTCCCAAAAAAGTGGACTGTACAGCCGAATGCGAATGGCAGATGCATGTCCTGTCTTTTCTCCATCCGCCATGTCCTTCATTCCCAAGTCCGTCAACCACCTCCACCGCCTCGCCTCCACCGCCGCCACCGGCAGCCACAAGGTCGTCGTCATCGGCGCCGGTACGTCCCTCAACCCTCATCTCTCGCCTTCCTAACGCCCCCTTAGGTGCCGCCGGTCTCTCCGCCGCCAACCAGATCTACAACGCCTTCAAAGCCCAGGGCCGTACCCTCGCTGACGGCGACGTCGCCATCGTCGATGCCAACAAGACCCACGACTACCAGCCCGGGTGGACCATCGTCGGATCCGGTCTCGCCAACAAGCAAGACTACCGCAAGCCTGTCGACTCGTTGATCCCCAAGCACCTCGCGCATATCCCGCAGAACGCTGCGGGCTTTGAGCCCGGGTCGAACCAGGTGGTGCTCGCGGATGGGAGCAAGGTCACGTATGACTTTCTTGTCGTCGCTGCCGGGCTCCAGATCAGTACGTTTATAAAAACCCGATTTCGGCCGGTGCGTCATCAACTAACCCATTTTCCATTGCAGACTGGGACAACATCAAAGGTCTCTCGTCAGCCCTCACCGACCCCCTGAAGAACAAGGTCTCTTCCATCTACTCTTACGAAACCGTCGACAAGACCTGGGACCTCATCCGCGCACACAAGGGTAAAGAGGACGGCGAGTCCATCTTCACCCAGCCATTCGGCGTCATCAAGTGCGCCGGTGCGCCCCAAAAGATCGCCTACATGTCCGACTCTTACTGGAAATCCAACGGCATCTCGCCCAGGTCTACGTTCATCTCTGGTATGCCCACCATGTTTGCCCAGCCTGAATACTCTGTCGCTCTCAATGCTATCCGGGAGAAGAAGGGTATCGACGCGATCTTCAACACCAACCTCGTTGAAGTCCGCCCAGAGACGAAGAGCGCGGTATTCGAAGTCGTCGCAGGCGAGGACAAGGGTAAGAAAGTAGAGAAAGAGTACGGTATCTTGCACGCCGTGCCCCCTATGGGTCCCCTGAACTTTATCAAGACCTCCCCCCTAGCCGACGCCGCAGGCTGGGTCGACGTCTCCAAAGACACCCTCCAACACAACAAATTCCCCAACGTCTTCTCCCTCGGCGACTCGTCCTCCCTCCCCACTTCCAAAACTGCCGCCGCCATCACCGGCCAGACGCCCGTGCTCACGCATAATTTGGTGACGTTGATGGAGACGGGCAAGGTGGGGGATGCGGTGTATGATGGGTATACGAGTTGCCCGTTGTTTACTGGGAGGGGAGAGCTGTTGTTGGCAGAGTTCAAGTATGGGGCGCAGAGGAAGGAGACTTTTGGGCAGTTTGTGGATCAGCGGATTCCTAACCGGTATGTTCCTTCCCTCTTCCTCTTCCTCTTCCTCTTCTCCCCTTCCCCTTTTCTTTCATGTGATTATGAGTACCGGCTAAAACTTAAGCAGAGCATTCTACCACCTCACCAAAGACGTCATGCCTCGCGCGTACTTTAGCAAGATGCTCAAGGGCGAGTGGTACGGTCCCCGCATGTTCTTCCCTCCCACTTATCTTCCTCAATCTTCATAAACACGTCTTCAACTCTTGCCTTGTGAGAGCCAGGGCTGTATGAATGATGGTTGTGTTTTCGGGAGTTTTGGGGATATATAAAAAGTCTTTCCGAAGGCAGTAGGATATGAAAAAAAAAAGTTGTAGATATAGAGAGGGAAGGGAAAGGAAGGGAAAGGGAGCATGAGGCATCTAGATGGAGATGTATTGATCTTGCATGGTTTTGGATATATCTTTCAACGGCTGATAGATGGATTGCACGAACGCTTCACCTTGTTACATGACGGTCGGGTCGGCGATGACCGACCTTGCACGCGCTCCTCTCAACTTGCTCTCAACTCTTCTTCGTTGTCCATCCTTCATCCCCCATCCACTTCTTTCTCCCTATATAGTACTCTCAAGAATGTCCGCCCCTCCCCCATCCCTACCCCAGTCCACCCAAAACTCAGTAGCCCCCCCGAGCGTCCCCAGCCACACACCCACACCGCCTACAGCCCTTAACGGCCTGCCTCGCCCCGTTCCCCCCGCCGCCGCAGGACCCGTAGGAGCTGGAGCTAACGCTTCGATTCCTGGCGCTGCTCAAGGTATGCAGGCTGTGAGACCTTTGAGCGCTGGTACCGTAACTGGTGCTGGAGTAGGAGCAGGAGCAGGAGCAGGAGCAGGCGGTGTACGTCCTGTACAAGCCCCACAACCCGGCCAAACTCCAGCCCAAGGCCAAGCCCGTGCTCCCCTCCCTGCGGGTCAGTTCCCAAGAACCTTCCCTCCCTCTACGCCTTCTACCCAAGGCGTTCCTTCCGCTTCAGGTTCTGCAACCGGCGCCAGACCTCCCGTACCTTCCTCCGCACCATCCCAACCTCAAGCCCAGGGCCAAGCACAAGGCCAAGCACAAGTTGGAGGATCAGGAAATGCCAACCCAGGCCCAAGTACATCATCAGCAGAAGACAATTTCTGGGCCGCCAGGCGGGAGGAAGAAGTTAGGAGGAGGGATAGGAGTTTGGGAGAGTTGTTGGTCATGTTGGATGGGTATACGCCTTTGGTAAGTCTTTCCCTTCTTCCTCCTCTTGATGCCTTAGCGTTATGTGTCATGGTGGAGATAGGGGTGGATGCTGATGGTGTGTATAGGTGCCAGAAGAAGTGACGGAATACTTTTTACAGAAATCTGGGTTTGACTGCTCTGATCCTAGGCTGTATGTCCCCCCCCCCCCCCTCTCTCTTTCCCCTGCCCTTTGCCACGAGCCCGAAGCTGATGGGGTGGGTTTAGGAAACGGCTCTTATCACTCGTCTCCCAGAAATTCATCTCAGACTTGTCCAAAGACGCATTCTACTACTCCAAACTGCGCGTTAATGGGGCGCCTGGGGCTAGGGGCAGGCCTACTACTGGTACTGTACGTCCCCCCCCCCCTCCTCCCCTTCCACTTTCTCCATGACTATGAGGTTGAGAGGGATTCGGGCTGATGGCCGTGTTTTGGGTAGGACAAGAATAGGGTGGTATTGACGATGGACGATTTGAGTCTCGCTTTGGGTGAACATGGGGTGAATGTGAAGGCCCCGGATTACTGTACGTTGCTCTCTGTTCCTATACTTTTGCGTAGGAGATGAAGCTGATGGTGGGTGTAGATATTTGATTTGTATGATGAACGAGAGGATGACGATACATGCGTATGTAATATTATCGGACGTGCTCTTTCGGTTTCTCTCATAGCGCAATTTCCCCCATCTCGGACGACCTGTCGCGGATTCCCCGAACATGCCAGCTTGAACAAAGGTCTCTATGCCTTCTCGATGGCGTCGCAAGGCAAAACGAGCGGCATCACTGCACCACGTTCTTCCCGCCACCTCTCGCCTTCCAACCCCAATCCCAACGAGATCGCTCCTACCTTGCGCCTACCTGACGGACAAACGTGCAGAGGCGACCTGCTTGGCCCGCGAGATCTCAATACGAACTCCAAAAGCGGCAAGCGGCGCGCGCAAAAGGAAAGATCAACCCCACCCTCCAGCCCAAAGGATCAGCGGCGCCGACGTTTTTCTCATCATTCAAAGCAAAGGTGATATGGGCGCGAAGAAGCCTGGGCCGGGATGTCTTCTTTCTCCGCTGATGTGGGGATTTGGGACAAAAGCACGTGTAGATGGTCGAAGGATCGCCTTGGGGCTTGAGAATTGGATGGGGGTATATAAGCTAACTTGTAAACGTATGGGATGAAGGGATAACCATCACTTTTGCCCGATACGCTATCTTCTCTCAACGACTCTTATCAGGTTATAGGCTGGATACTGATATCCTCGATGCTTCTCTACCTTGTTCGCCACGGCCAGACGGCTCTGTAAGCCCGTCTCTCCTTGAACCGAGTTCAGAACTGATATCCGCCAAGGAACCAAACCAACACCATCCAAGGCCAATCCCTCGACCCCCACCTCTCTTCCAAGGGCCTCGCCCAAGCCCACACCCTCGCATCCCACCTCACCCTCGTCCCCTTCACCTCCGCCTACACATCCCCCCTGCACCGCGCCCTCGAAACCGCCGAAGTCATCCTCGACGCCCAAGGCAAAGGCCGCGACGACAAGCGCATCAAAGTCAAAATCGACGACCGGCTCATCACTCGCGGTATGGGCATTGCCGAAGGCAGGGAGTGGGAAGAGGTGGAGCATGAGTTGGGGAGTGGAGAGTTTGGGGTGGAGGGGGATGAGGCGGTCAGGAGGAGGCTGAGTGGGTGGTTGGGTTCGTTGTTGAAGTTGCATACGCCGGTGGCGAGTTCGGCTGCTACGCCGGCGGGGGCGAGGACGCCGGGGACGCCGAGCTTTGGGTTTACGAGGGCTAAGAATGGCGAGGCGGTCAACCCATTTGAGCTGATGAAGGCTCTTCCCAGACCGGGGGTCAGCAGGACACCGACAACGGCCGCTGGTGGTGGCTTGGGCTCGGGTGTAGTACTCTGCGTCACCCATCAAGAATGTCTCACAGCACTCATCACCCTCCTCATGCCATCCTCCTCGCCTCCCGCTTCCCCTCATTCGAGCACGGGCAAGGTGAACATCAAGCGACCTTTGATCGACGTGCAGATCCCCGAGAGCGTCAAGTTGAGGGAGAACGTGGGGAACACGGGGGTGGCGATTTTGAGGGTGTGGTGGGAGGAGGGAGAGGATGCGGAGCTGCAGCCGAGAGGGCGGTTGGAGGCGTGGGGGATGGATGAGCATTTGGAGATTGAGGATTAGATTGCTTCTCAATGTGACTTGTCGGATCTTTAGAGTGCCTTTTTGCTCTGTCCTTGATACAAAAAGTCCAGTCATGTACCGTTCCATTCTATACATCATCACACTTGACCACTACATCAATCAATGGCGCGATTTCCGTCGTTCAAGTGTCTCTGTGCGTATATTTGATCAGCAAGAAGCCCATTGACACATCTGGATGACCGGACTGACTGTTTCTGTCACATTCACACGCCGCATCCCCTACCTCTGGCCACAAAGCTCGCATACATGGTACTCGACAAACTTGACAAGGGTGCTGGAATCAGCTGCCGGCCGCCGGATGTTGAATGTGGCACTCGACAAAGTACAGTACGAGTCCATGCATGTGTCAACTGCTCCCAGAAGTCGACATTCGTACTCAATCTATTAGTATCGACTTCCTAGCCACCTAAGCCTGCTAGTAAGCATTTCCGCGAGATCTGACAGGTGAAGAGTCCCTGCAGAAGCCGCGCTAACAGATAGTTAGAATCCATGTCGTGCATGTCATGAAGCTCGTACCCGAAACCATCTATCCAAAGCAACAAGAGCATCGAATCCGGCCATATTATATATCAGAAACAACAATCCCAACATCCCATGATGACACCCCGAGCACACCCTCTTCGACACCTCTCCTTACTTCTTGGGCGCAAACTTTTGCCCGACCAGCTTGCCCACCGCAGACCTCTCCTTCGCCCTCTGGACCTCCATCCGCATCACCTCCTCATTCCAGCCCCCCTCGCCTTGCTCCTGGTCCAAGCCCACGGCAGGTTTCGTGCCCTGCGTACTCGCCGAACCGAAACGGCTGGTGTGCGGCCGGCCTTGTTCCGGCTCTGGGGTGGCGACGTAAAGGCTGGGGTTTGATTTCGGCTGTAGTTCAGAGATCTCTTGAGGTTCGGCGTTGAGCACGTCGTTGAGAGTGAGGGAGAAGGAGGATCCTTCTTCGGCATTGTCATAGTCCGAGTCGTCTTCTGAATCCGATCCGTCAAAATCGGTGGCGCGGAATGTGTTGGCCGAGTCGGGCGAGGTGGGGGAGGTGGGTGAAGAAGGAGAAGAGGATCGCTTTTGGCGGCGGGCGATTTTACGCATGTTGATACTATATCCCAATCAGCTGTTGCCCCTCATTCGAATGTACGAGATAAGGACTCACCGCTCAAGCTCCAAAGCCTGCTCCTCCTTCCATCGCTCCATCTCCATCCTCAGCCTCTCCAACTCATCCCTCTGACTCTTGCCGAGCTCAATGTCGGCGAGCTCCTTGACAGTGGGGTGGGCGACACCGGCGATACGGAGTACTTCGGGAGCCTCCATATGGTCTATTCACGAGGGGTCAGTCGACCTTCGGGAACCGCAGAGGAGACAAGAACGTACTGGAGGCGTTGGTCATACGGTGCGCCATGTCGTTGGTATTTAGATACGAAAAGATAAACTCGCCTCCGAGCTGCGAGAGTGATCCTGGCTGCAGCGCGGCTTCCTTGGGCATCTTTGTAACGGCATTCTATGTCTCTAGTCAGCAAAATCCCTCCCAACAAGACGAGGAAACGCACAGATAGACCAAGCAGGACCTGAGTGGGCACAGAACGCTGGTGGTATTCGGACCGGTTCTTCCAGAAATGACCCCAGGGGTTGAGATAGTTGAAACCTTTCGTCAACCTGTTCCAAGTCAGCTCTTTGCCCCTGCGGAGAAGAGAGATACTCACCCCATGAGACGGTACAATCTCCTCGGCCCATCCACATAGATATCAAACGGACAATTGAACAGGTTTTTGTAAGCCTTCAAGACCTTCCAGTTACCATGTCCGATGATCACTACCCTCACGCCCGCCTTCTCAAGCGCTTCCTTGGAGAGGATGGAAATAGACGCGAGAGTGTAATCTTGACATTGCCCACACCAGAACGAACGGATAAAGAAGATGACAGTCTTTTGGCCCGGTGCCGAGGGAAGGAGGGAAGATACGGGGACGGCGTTGCCTTCTTCGTCTCTCACAAAGCACTTGGCAGCTTCTTCCACTCTTGCGCGGGTGACGAGCCTGTCCACCGAAAAGGTAACGTCTGCCTCAGTCTCACCTTCCATCAATAGCGGGTTTCGCCTCTTGTCCTTGTTGTACTTTTTCGCCAGGCGCTCCTTCTCCTTGCGCTCCTTCTTCTCCTTCTTGGCGAGCGAGCTGTCAGAGGACGACTTGGCAGCTTGGTACATGGCGCGGCGGGCGTACTCGGATGAGCCGTAAGACGCGTGGGAGAGGGTAGTGATGGGGGTGACAATGTGCTCCGAGGAAGCGCCAGAGGCAGAGGTTGAAGAGACGGATCGACGGTGGCCATCGCTGGCGGGGGGCGGCACTGCAGGGAGAGGACGTTCAGGCTTGACCGCCCGGATCATGGCAGCGTGGTCGACAGGGTACGGCGCATTGTTTATCCTCAGCTCATTCAGCCTATCATCCAACCCCTCCAGTCCCGCCTTGTCCTCGCCCCAAAAACTTTTCACGCTCGCCCGGTGTTCAAGTCCGGGCGACTGGGCGGTGGAAGAAGGGAGGGAAGGAGGAACAGAAGGACCGTAAGAGTCTGGAGCGGCGTAGGTAAAGCTCTCGGGGGTGGAGGGGAACTCGACGGGGCTGGTGGCGGAGCTGGTAGCGTCCAGCTTGGGGGTGACGCTGGGCGCGGGCCCGCTGCTACGGGAGGAGACCCGATGAGGCGGTACGGGGGCGAATCTACCGTGAGACCCGCTCTTCATGCTCGGAGTGTGGTTGGAGAGACACTCGATATCGTTCCCAGAACCCTCGGAAGGGTTGTAAGACACGCTCCTAGACATGATGGGGGATGGGTTGGCAAACGGGTGGTTGGACGGCAAACCAAGACCAAGCTGTGGGTTGCCACTGCCAAAGTCAGAGTCTGGGATCACAAAGCCGCTCGCGTTGACGGGCTGTGCGAGCGGGGTGGGGACGGGCTTGCGCCTGACTTGCTGGGTGGCGGACATGGTGGATGTAGATGAGCTCGAGCGAGCGAGGTTGTCCTTTGGATGAGGTGAGCCTGGAGACGGCTGCACGGGCGGGTGGTAGAAGAGATTGCGCGACTGGACCGAGGGGGAGGGGGAGATGGAGCGGGTGGACTGGGGGCGATGGCGGGCGGTAGGAAGCTGGAGGAATGACGGGGGCGAGGGGGGCGAGGAGGGCATATTTAGTATTTGTAGGCTCGTTTTTTTGTAGATGGTAGCGGCTGTCCCGGGCATTGGCGTCCTGTTGGCCCGATCAAAACGAGTCCAGAGTGACTACCCTTGCTACCAGTCCCTTTACTCCGGGGTTTCCTGAGCCACCTTTCGGATCTACTATGTGCTGCTGGGTCCGTGCGCTCTTCTGCAAAGGGGAACGGCAGTCGAACGAGGGGGTTTAGAGAGGATGAGAGCGAAGAGAGCCTGGCGTTTTCCCAGCCGCGTCGCCCAGTTGCATCCGACACAGCCAGGGCAGAGACTCAAGAACAAGGTTTCAAGTCTCCAAAGTCCTCCCAATTTCCACCAGCTTATTCAATTGAGATCGTGCAGCTCTTCACTCTTCTTACAGCCAGCCGTGATATGCAGCAGCCACGGCTACATAGTGCTTTGGTCCACTCTTCCTCCATATGCTTTAGCCTTCTACACTAGAGTCGTATTACGACGCGTGTTTACGACAGAAGCGTGTTCTTGCAAGACATTCTTCCATAAAAAAAAAAAACTCTATTGCCTCTCGTTATCGCTATAATATTTCTTCTTAACGTGCCCGTACCTCCTAATCGCCCTTCCGATGTGTATTTTCCCATCGCCCATCACTCTCCACTCCATGCACCATCGCATATCTCCTCTAGGCTCCCCGCTCGTCGCAGCCGTCCTTCCCTGCACGCCCTGCACTCCATGGGCCATGGGCCGGATGGGAGTCCATGCAGATTGCAGTCATGCACTGACCACCTTGTCGAATCTTCTTCTTTCAACGGGTACGCTTTGAGCGCACAGAGCGCTCTGAGAGCGGCCTCACGGTTACGAGTTACGATCGAAGAACAGGGAGCGGGGAGAAGAAGAAGTCCCGCCTCCTCGGCCCAGGTACGGAAAATTACGCCCCTTCCCTTCTTTCTACGATTCAGATCTCTATAGTGGTCTTTTTTGGTAGTCGTGGTCAGGTTTTCTTCGGCTTTCGTGTGAAATCCAGGCGAAATGCAGACCATCATTCCCCTTGTTGCTTGTTTCTCCTATCAATCCATCAGTCCATCGCCCATCGCAAAGGAATGTGACAAGCCATGTGTGCTCGCATACCAATCCCCGTCGAGTGGCCGCGACCATGTATCACCTGGCTATTCGCCCCCGCTTGGATGTATAATAGAGCTGCGCCTGACGCCGCTCTAAAGCCCCGCCTCGCCTTTCCCTTGTAAGGGCCAAGGGGGATGGAAGGGGCAAAAGGGTCGTGGAGTCGTGGGCCGTCAGTCAACTCTATACGTAGCTCTATCGTCAATTAGAGCACTGCAGTCTGGCAGCGCAGCAGCAGAATGACTCGGCAAAACCGCGGCATCTTCGTTCCAGCTGTACGAGTACTGAGTGAAGGTCCGAAATATATCCTGTAGCCGTTCTCGGGACAGAAGTTGCTGGGAGTATGTACGGTGTTGAAGAAGCCGAGATATAGCTCCCAGCTTATCCACCCACCGCATTGTGAAGAGATCAAAGATACAGTCAACCTCTTCCGTCGTCATCGTAGGCGACGGCGTAGATGAGGAGAGTGACATCTTTACAATAAGCGTGCACCCTTTCCTGTCCTCATCACCTCTGTCGCAGTCGATGTCTCTCCGCTCTTCAAGATCTACAAAAAAAAGTGCAGATCTCTATCTCTCATGATCGTCATCTCCATCGCCGCCGCCTGGAAAGACCAAAGAAGAGGATGAGCATCCATCCGTCGGCCCACGAAGCGCGACTCCCCGTGTCTTTTGGCAGACTGCCTGGGTTCTCGGGCTTACCACTTTGAGCATGCATCGCCTGTTCGTCTATATTCATCCATGAATTTGGTTCGTCTACGATGTGATTGAAATGCACCATTTTGCATCTCATTTTCGCGTTCAGCGTAAAGCATCGATGGGCAGAATGGTCGTCAAGAGACTCCTCATTCGCCATCAAAGACATCGAGCTTCTAATCAGCAACTAATGTTGAACGATTGTACTGCTGTGCACCGGTCCATTCGGAGGTCCGAGATCCGACGCGATGTTGTCTCTCAAGTTTCAAGTTTCAAGGTGATACGTGCCGTGTCGCCGTTGCCGTCTCCGTACTCCGTTAAACGAGAGATTGAGGAGAGACATCAAACTCACCAGGACCATCATCAGACACGAAATGGAAAGGAACGAAACAGTTGTTGACGGTTTCCGGTTACTCCGCGACAGGTAGGCAACCCGAGCCCAACCCCGGGGTTCATTCAGGCTGCAGGTCTGCTCATCAATTATGTACGAGTAACTCTTCTGTTTCGGTTTGTTGTATCACCACCTCTCTCCTTCTCTGACCTCTGAGACCGACCATCCGAACGATTTACCCCAAGAGCGCAAACGCTATGTACTCGTACAACAGTACATGATAATTCATCACTACATCCTCGTCGTTCTACGATCCACGTTCAGGCCAATCCATCACCACTCCATCACCTATCAACTAGACTCCTCGTCGCTTCAATCGTCTCCCATAGTTCCGTACCTTGTGCCCCTCAGATGACAGAAGACAGGTCCTCCGCAGTGGTTTGATTGTTTGATCGCATCGTCATCACCCTTCACTCATCGCTCATCGCTCATCAAGCAAGACTTGGCGACGTCTGCCTTCGATCCTTGGGACCTTGGGCCTTGGGCCTTGGGCTCCTCGCGCTGCGGCAACTTGCCGTACGTCCTCAAACCTCAAGCCTCATTCCAGAGCCATCCTTCCCTTTCCCACGTACTGTAGAGTCTAGACCCACTCACCACTCCTCTTCCAACTCCAGACGCCTTCCTCTGGACCTGGACCTGGGAATCCCAAAAGTGACAAGAATCAAACTGCTTCGTAGTTCGTACTAGGCCACCAGTGATTAGAGATTAGATAAAGATTTCCATATCTCAACTACGTAGCTCAACACGTCTTGCCAAAAAAAAAAAAGGAAATCGCACAACTAAAGTATATAATGTCAAACGATACGCAGAAACCCACCTCGTCTCCTCACACCCATTCACGATAAAGCAAGCGGAAGAGAAAACCACTTCCCTGCCGATAGTCCAGCTGGGCCCCAAGTATAGATAGAAGAGATATAGATATAATCATGTAGAGAGGGGACAGAGGAGGAAGAGGTATATTCAAGAGATAAGAGGCGATTGGATGATTGAGAAAGTCGGCTATGTTGTTTTTGGTTCTGTTTTTGAGCTTTTATTGCGGGAAAGTATACGAAAAGAGACAGGTGAGAAAGAGGCAAAAAGAATTGTCCATACACAGCGCGAAGGTATAAAGATCCACAAAAGTGGATCATGAGAGAAATATACACAGCTCAAGCCAACGAGAACAGGAAAAAAAAGAAAAACACTGAAAAAAGCAAGAGGATCTCTCCCACTCCACACCACCTCCTCCATCATGGAACGCCTCAACTACTCGCCCCCTCGAGGTCCAGGCTTCGGCAGCGCATTGACAGCATCCGCACTGACCTCCCCCCGGTTCAGATGCACATAACTCTTCATCTCCACCGGCGCGCCCCTCTCCCCCTCCATCACATTGCCCATATCCTGGCTCGAGGACGGCGAGTTGGGCGCATGCTTCTTGGAGAAGAATGGAATCTTGATAGAGGACGGTTGTTTGGCCATGGTGGGTCTGGTAGATGGGGAAGAAGGGGACGATGGGAGGGGAGGGGAGAGGGCGCCGGCGCGTTGGGCGGCGTAGAGAGCGAGCATGTCGTCTGGGTCTGCTCCCGCATGCTGGGGAGAAGGCGAAGGCATAGCGGGTACAGCACCCTCACCCTTGGCGGGGGAAAGACCGGGGGAAGAGGTCGTTTGGCTCAGGACGGATTTACGGTGCAGGACCATGTTTTCCATATCCCTCAATTCATCCACTGACCCGCGGGTGGAAGCGGCAGACTTAAAGTCGTCCCCGGACAGGGCGGATGCGAAGGATTGACGTTTGTCGTTGGAACCGCCGATGGAGAGGAATGAGCGTCGGCCGGTACGTTGGCCAGAGGCGGCGCGGCGCATGTCGTTATCGCCAAAGCCGAGGGGACCTTCCTTCTGCGAAGGCGACACCGAGATGTGCTCCTCCTCATCGTCGAGGGCAGAACCAGTAGCGTAAGCGAGCTTGGTGTTCATACCAGCCAAGTCATTCGCGCTCTTGGACGCGCCCGGCAGTCTAAACATGGACGAAGGCCTGATATCGCCGCCCAGGGAAGCACGGGAACGACGGTCAGGACGCGCGTGTTCGGCGAACGAGATACGGGACTGCCTGACTTGACCGTCGGGCATGACGACGGACGAACGAGAGGTGGAGAGGTTGTCGGCAGAAGCAGAGCGGAGGCCAGCCATTTCAGGGCGGAAGAAGGCGCCGCCGGAGGCGCCGGCACCAGCCATGTTGTTTTCGAGGCCGTAGAGAGAGTCGGCGGGACGGTTACCGTACGAAGACATGCTCGGTCGGGTACCCATGGACGTGCGTCCGCCCATCGAAGGACGACCACCCATCGAAGGCCGGCCGCCCATGGGAGGTCGGCCCTTCTCGCCGGGCAGGGCACCCTTCTCCCATTCGAGATTCGAATGCGTCGACAAGGCCTGCGACCACCTCTTTCGCTTCTCCGCCTCGCGCAAACGCCAGAACTTGACAGCGACACCGATGATGATGGCGATCACGACGAGGGGGACGACGACGGCAGCGGCGATGGCGCCCTTGGAGATACTGCTCTTGTCGCCAGAGTTGGTGTTGGAGACGTCTTGAAAGACGGTGTCTCTGGATTGGGTTGCAGCGGCGGCGAGGGTGGAGGTGACGGCCTGGCCATTGGAGGTGGTGGTAGAGTACATGGCCGAGGCGGCGTAGTTGACGGTAAAGTAGGGACCAGCGGGGGACGAAGTATCCCAGCTTTCAGCATCGTGGTCGATAATGCTCATCTGCAACTCGGCAGTGGACGTGTCGTTCCACCACTTGGGCTGCAGCGTCACTTGGTACTCGCCATCACTGAACGGCCTGCCCGTCCATCCTTTGATGAGACCCCCCGCATAATAGAGGTAAAGGTCGATAGTGTCGGTTGCGACGGTACAGCCAGTGTTCCACTTGAAGGTGAGGGGCTGGGTGGCGTCGATGGAGGAGGAAGAGTTGGGGTAGAGGTAGAGGTCGCCGTTGGAAAGGTCGCAGGCTGTTGTGAGGGGTAAAGGGTCAGCGGGGGTTGTGCGCGGAGGAGACAGGGGCATACCTCGCTTTTCCATTTGACGCTGGATGATATCAGAGTGGGAGGGCCCACCGGCAAGGCCAATACGGCCGAGAAAGCTGGCGGGCATGAGAGTTTCTGGGGGTGGTCAGTGGATGGGTAGGGGAAGGATGGAAGGCGACGGACAGAGGAAAGGGGTGGGAGGGGTGTGCTGGGGAGGGGTGTACAAAAGAGTGTGGGTGCGGTCTACGCAGACTGTATAAAGTGGATGTTGGACGATGGAACTGGAGAGAGAAAGAAAGACGGAGAAGAGACATTCACATCGACCACAGTTCAGGGTCCGTCTCCGCTTGTTTGCCTTTGTTTGTCCAGATACGCGTCGCGTCCCTCAACTTGCCTCTTCTGGCCACATCCCAGCCCATGCATCGTGACATCTGGCATGCATCTGCTTCGAGGGTGTATTATTTGCATGCATAGACTCCTGCCTCCCCCCATCGCCCTCAGGCCTCAGCCCCTGACAAGGGACAAGCACAAACCTGCCGGGAATCTGCGGTGTTTTTCCTTGTGGCACTCTGTACCTATATTCCAAGTGGCCAGTCATTTGATTCATCGTATGCAAGCGCAAAGCAAGATACAGAAGAGGTCATGATATCAATGGCAAGGGTGCACAAGCAACGAGATCTTGATGACAAGATGTCGATGGAGCGTTTTCATATCCCCAGCAGCGAGTCGCGCTAGCGAGGTAGCGTAATCGATGTTTGGCAGAGAGGCTATCCCGCCTATGACCTATCTGCATGGCGGCGTCCCGTCCCAGCTGCTGTTGCCACCCCTGCTGCCATGGCGCTCCGTCTCTGAGACACGGACAGGGGATGAGACGGATGCATGGGAGGGTGGCCGGTGGATGGGCGAGTTCGGCAAGAGGGTCCCTCGGCTGTCATGATCCAACGCAGCGGAGAAACAAGTGCCACGTTCGGCGGTTCGGACCGCGACGTCATGAGGTGGGGACGTGGCTCGCCTCTTATTCCATCGCCATCTCCCGTCTTCTTTTCACCACCACCAAACAAAAATCACAATGCCCTCCCAACTCGAAGCCCTCAAAGCGTGAGCACCCCAGCCTGCCCCCGTGACCCGTACTGACCAAGCTGCCTCCCGCCCCTCGACCTCTTTTCGGCCACTTCGCTTCTGTAATCTCTTTTCATTTCAGCTCCGGCACCACCGTCGTCTCCGACACTGGTGACTTCAAGTCCATTGACGAGTTCAAGCCCCAGGATGCCACCACCAACCCCTCCCTCATGTGCGTCCTCTCCCTCTGCTCTCGCTCTGTATCCGGAGCTTTTTCGGCCGGGCGTTTTTAGCGAGAGTGATTTCTGAAAAAGACTGGGGTGCTGACTATTGCATGTAGCTTGGCCGCCACCAAGGACCCCAAGTACGCCGCTCTCATCGAGCCCGCTGTGGAGTTTGCCAAGTCCAAGGGCGGGTAAGTCTTATCTCTCTACGACCGTCTGGTCCTCCTGTCCACGTGTCCCATAACCCACGTTACATATGCTGATAATGATGGCAGTTCCATCGAGGTCCAGACCGAGAACGCCATGGACCGACTCCTTGTCGAGTTCGGTACCGAGATCTTGAAGATCGTTCCCGGCCGTGTCTCCACCGAGGTCGACGCCTCTTTCTCTTTCAACACCCGTGCGTCCTTCTCCCCTTGCACGTTTTTCAAGCACTGACGCTTGGAGCAGAGGACACCATCAACAAGGCCCACCAGATCATTGACCTCTACAAGGAGCAAGGTATTGACAAGGAGCGAGTCCTCATCAAAATTGCCTCCACCTACGAGGGTATCCTCGCTGCCAAGCAGCTCGAGTCTGAGGGTATCCACTGTAACTTGACCCTCTTGTTCGGTTTCGGTCAGGCTGTTGCCTGTGCCGAGGCTGGTGTCACCCTCATCTCCCCCTTCGTTGGCCGAGTAAGTCACCATGTGTGCGTTTGAGTGAACAGCCGCTGATATGACTGTTAGATCCTCGACTGGCACAAGAAGAACTCTCCTGACGCCGACTTCTCTGGCGCCAAGGACCCCGGAGTTGTTTCCGTCACCAAGATCTTCAAGTACGCCCCTTTCTCCTTCTCGCCTTGCCCCCCACTAACAATCTTCTTAGCTACTACAAGCAGCACGGCTACAAGACCATCGTCATGGGCGCCTCTTTCCGAAACACTGGCGAGATCGCCGCCCTCGCCGGCTGCGACTTCCTCACCATCGCCCCCAAGCTCCTCTCCGAGCTCGCCGCCTCCCAAGACGCCCTCCCCAAGGTCCTCGACGCCAGCAAGGTCACCGAGAAGATTGAGAAGGTGTCTTACTTGGACGACGAGGCCAAGTTTAGGTGGGAGCTGTTTGCTGATGTGATGGCGTTCGACAAGTTGCACGAGGGTATCAGGGGTTTCGCCAAGGATGGCCAGACTTTGAAGGACATCCTCAAGGCCAAGCTCCAGTAAGCGTTTGAGCGTTTGCTCGGGGTCCGGTCTGGGGGGTTCGGATTTTGTCGAACTGTGTAGCGTATGAAGAACAGCAGACTAGATGGATTTCATGTATCCTTGTGGATCTTATTGGAATCAGCCGGGTCCTCCCATATTTGAGACTCTTCTCGGCGCCACCCAGCCGTCTGTCTGGCCGGTTGGAGGGGAATCGAGGTTAACATGAGACTTGTCACCTGGCTTACCTCGAGGAGCTCATATACTAGTCTTGAATTGCTGCCTCGCAGAGAGAACAGCGTTACCGGTCTTTTCGATCGGCGCGAGTTGACTTGACAGTGATTGTACTCGTACTCGTACTGTACGTACGCGCCAGTAAACTCGTATTCGTGCGGTACTCTCTTTCTTTTCCTCTTCAAAAGAGCCAGGCTAGGGGCACGTAAGGGGCTCCCGTCAGATATCATTACTTGTACGTGTCCTTGTACGACCGTGTGGTTTTTGAAGTTCTTTGGTTCTCTCCTTGCAGGGAAGAATGGAAGGTTTTGGACTGACATGTGGACGATGAGTTGACTGGTTCCCAGTGAACACCCTTCGCCGTCTGCATATTATGAATGCAAGAATACAGAAGGTTTTCGATACATCTGCATCCCTCATCCGAGTTCGCCATAGAGATTATGACCATGTAATCAACGTCGGTCGTTCGTTGCGTCAACGAAGAGGTCACATTTCTCGTACTTGACTTCTCCCGAGTGTGGCGATGAGATCAGAAGAGAGAGAACATGCATATCATGCTTGGTGGGCTCTGAAAGCGACTGATGAACTGATGAACTGGCTCTTCTCGCCGTCACCCCCGACTGTCCAGCGACGAACGACCCGATGTTGTTCATGCTCAAGATTGATCTTGCTTGGCACTCTTGAAGTCTTCAGAGAGTCCGGAGCTTCGAGGAAGAACCCAGGCTGACGATAGTATGTATCTATTATGGTGCACTCTTGTATACAAGGTAATGGGGACGGACAAGATGGTATGGACGAGAGTCAAGAAGAGAGAGATGCAGAGGAGGCGCGCCGAAGCGCAGACATCAGACGTGTGGATATTATTGTCCCTCTCATGGACACTGTAGACGTCAGAGACAGAAGGCTGGTCTACGGATACGTCAAGCTGATGCTTATCACTCAGAAGACGTCGAACAATTGTCGGATATCATTCAACATCTCTAACGTGCCGGCGTGGCTGCATTTGCTGTACGAGTACGTCTTCCCATTGATATACTCGTGCTGATGGTCCAGTCATGACTGCACCACCACTGTAATCTCCTGGTCTTTGCGCGTGGCTACATATCCCTACTTGTTGAGCCAGGTGCTGCACAAAGCGCACGGCCTAGATGTTGATACAGACAGACGACAGACTGGTTGCGAACCGAGAGAAGAAACACTCATCGCTCGATCTGAAGCCCCCGATTGCGGGATGTGGAAATCGCTCTGCACGTTCCTGGTACCGAACCCTGGCATCGCAGAGCCCGCCGACGGTGTTCCGCAAGTCTTAATGACGACATTTGTAGATGGAAACAGAAACATTACAGCCTGGAAGATTGGATTCGGGGGCTTTGAGGGTAGCATAGGCCATGACCGCCGGCCGGTCTGTGGCTTCTGCGACCACCAAATTCCTCCTGACATCCTCTGCGTCTCTTTATAGGCATCGCCCCATCACAGTAAGTCGCTCCCTTTCATGTCCAGCCGCTGCCGCTGCCGCTGATCCCCAATGCAGCATGCCAACTTCTTCGCAACCCCCGCCCAGTGTTAACCACCGAAATCAACAGCCCCCACAACTATCCCATGGCTCCGGCACCCAGTCCCCTCCTTCCCCCACTTCGACTCGACCATTTGCCCCAGATCATGCCCCGCCCATCTCCTCCACAGACCCCTCTCTGAGTCCGACCCTACGCTCTTCAGAGTTTGTCTTTCCCAGTCGCCCGGTCTATCAAGGGAGGATGTCTGACTTTCAAGGATCCTCCAATTCTGGATACTCGCACAAAACATCCGATGTCGAAGAGAGCGATATCGGGCTCGATACCATCACCCAGATGCTTCAAAAAGACAAAGAAGCCGACCAGCTCAAACCCCGACCTCGTCCCGGCGCCGCGACCTACCATGGCAAACACGATAGAGAGCAGCGTATGTCTACTTCTAGTGCAGAGAACGCACCGGCGCCACATCCGCAACATGGGGCTTCGACGATGGTGGGGAAATTGAGCACGCCATACTCGACGGACGAGGGCGATGAGCGGCAACCCAGTCTGGGGTTCGACCAGGCATTCCAAGGGCTGGATCTTAGCGATAAGGAAGGGCAGCGTGGGGAGGCGCAGGGAGAAGAATCGAAAGGGGTAGATCCAGGTGATAGGGGACTGGTTGAACAGCTAGAAAAGCTGGGGCCTATCAACCAAGACTCGACGCCTCGCGACTCTTCAAATCCTACCCCGACCCATTCTTCCATCGCCACACCCCAGCCATACCCCGCCCAGTCTCCCGATCCCCAGCTTGACCGCAAGCACAGGTCCCACGACTCACCCATCACTGTCGATGCCGACGAGTCTGGTGAACCGTCTCTGGTCAGTGATTTGAGCGGCATCGTTCGGTTGGGCAACCTTGGCTGGGACGATGCTGGGCCAAATCCCCGGGCAAAGCATGCAGCTCGCCAGGTTTCTGTCAAGGACTTTGTCAACGACCAGGCGCAGACGACAAACATGCAAGACCCAAATGCATTGGGGCTTGCTGATGAAGAAGGTGTGAAGAGGGGTGAAGCGGCAGGGCAGGAGAAGGATACCCAGGTTCATGACCAGTTTGAGGAACCTCAAGACGAACCAGCTCTTACCGCTCGTTTTCAGCATGTCATGACTGAAGAGGGGCATCATGTCATCAATGGCAGGGAAGGCGTCTTGAAGAAGTGCGAGGACGAGCCGATCACGACGCCGGGGGCGGTACAGGGTTTCGGCGTGTTGATGGTCTTGGAGGAGGATGAGGAGAGTGGCAAGCTGGCGATACGGCAGGTCTCAGAGGTATGTCTTTGTACAACAAAAGAAGGGTGATGAAACTGACGTGATGGTTCACAGAACTCGTCAAAGATATTGGGACTTTCGCCAAAATACCTGTTCCAACTCGACTGCTTCACCCGCCTCCTCACCAACGAGCAACACAATGTCTTGCGCGATATGCTCGAATACCTCCCCGACCCTTCCCACTACCTTTCCGAAGAAGCCAAGAAGGATGCCACCAAAAGGCTCGTCGACCAAGGCCCCTTGGTCTTCCTGCTCTCTGGTTTCGGCGAGCCTGGCAGCAGTCACGCGGGGCAAAAAGGGACCGCTTCGAGCTCGAGTGCGCATGAAGGAAGACGGCAGTGGACTAGCTGGGTGGCAGCACACAGGCCCCAGGACAACACGCTGTTGAAGGTGGATGAGCAACAGAAGCCGGTGCCACCGTCCAATATCATCATACTCGAGTTTGAGCTGGAGAAAGACTCGTATAATCCACCTTTCCCGACGCCGGAAGACACTCCCTCAGTACCACGCGCCCGGTCTTATACCACCGACTCCGAGTCCGCTAGAGGTACCGGCGCCACCGCCGGCTCCAATTCCTCGGCAACTTCGAGCGACCAAACAGCCCCTGTCCACCCCGCCCCGCCCACCCCGAAGGGCGCTGCGACCGCTCAGACCCCGACGCCCGCAGAGCCCAGCGAGTCGGATGAACAGGACGAGGACATCCCAGCAGAGAAGGTCCAGGAGAGCACGACCAATCGCGCTGTACCTCTGCAGGCCTTGGAGCGGATGCGGGGACAGTTGCCGGATAAGAGTGGCTCGGCACGACCCCGGACGAGACCGATCCGTTCACGCCCTCCAGGGGGATCTGGGACGATGGATACCTTTGCTGTCATGAGTGAGATCAATGAACAGCTTGGGGCAGCGCCCGACCTCGAAACCTTCCTCGACGTCACAGTGGGACTAGTGCAGGATGTCTCGAGGTTTCATCGGGTGATGCTCTATCAGTTCGATGAGGCGATGCACGGGGTGGTGGTGTCTGAACTCGCGGATAGGAGCAAGATGAAGGATCTCTATAGGGGCTTGAGGTTCCCGGCGGCAGACATACCTCCGCAAGCGAGAGAGTTGTACAAGATCAACAAGGTGCGGATGCTGTATGACAGACATATCCCCACGGCGAGGATGGTGTTGAAATATCGAGAGGACCTTGATTATCCGCTGGATATGACGCATTCTTATCTGCGTGCCATGAGCCCCATACATTTGCAATGTAAGTTCCTTCTCCTGCTGATGCAAGGCTGTCCATTGATCTGTGTCTAGACCTTGCCAACATGGGTGCGCGCTCGTCCATGTCCATCTCCATCATGGCCTTTGGTCAGCTCTGGGGCCTTATCGCTTGTCACTCGTCCGGGAAGTCGGGGATGCGCGTGTCGTTTCCTTTCAGGCAGATGCTTCGGCTATTGTCAGAATCGATATCGAAAAACATTGAGAGGCTGAGTTATGCGCAGCGATTGAAGACGAGAAAGATTGTGAGTGTGTCTCTGTCTCGGAGAGATCAGCTGCTGACAGATTTCAAGATTTCTACGGTCCCCTCGATAAATCATCCCACTGGCTATATTGTCAGCAATGCGGACGATCTTTTACAAATCTTTCAGGCTGATGCCGGGCTATTGGTGATTGGTGACGGCTGCAAGCTGCTGGGAAGGTGAGCATTCTGCGCGTGAGCCTTGCCACCCACTGATGGTCATGTTAGGCAAAAACAGGGACCATCTATGATGGCCATCGCCGAGTACCTCCGTGCCAAGCAACTCATCGCTGTCAAAGCCTCCTCCTCACTCGTCAAAGACTTTCCCGATCTCACACTCCCCAAGACACCCGACACCGCCGCCGGTCTTCTCTACATTCCCCTTTCCTATCAGGCCGGTCAAGACTTTATCGTCTTTCTCCGTAGGGGCCAAGTCCGGGAAGTCCAATGGGCTGGAAAGCCCACCAAGGACGAGGCCAGCGAAGGGGCGAATTTGGAGCCGAGGTTGAGCTTTGATCTGTGGGTTGAGCAGGTGATGGGCACCACTCGGGTCTGGTCGGATGATCAGCTAGAGTCCGCGGGGGTACTTGCTCTCATCTATGGCAAGTTTATCCAAGTCTGGAGGGAAAAGCAGACGGCTATGGCCTCCAGCCAGCTGACCGCCATTCTCCTCACCAACACGAGTCATGCCGTACGCACGCCTCTCAGTCAGATCATCAACACTCTCGAGCTCGCTCTTTCTGGTACAATTGACAAGGAGACGCGTGATATGCTTCAAAGCAGTCATGACGCGTCTAGGTCTTTGCTCTTCCACGTCCACGACTTGCTTGATTTGACGCGAATCGAAACGGGGAACGAAACGACTTTCAGAGATCCTTTTGACCTTCGCCAGAGCATCACGGAGGCTGTCCGTCTCTACGAGACCGAGATATCCAGGAGGGGTGTCGAGTTCCGAGTCAAGACTGGTGACGATCTGCCCAAGTTTGTCGTTGGCGATTCGAAGAAAGTGCGCACCGTCATCTCCAACCTGGTCGCAAACTCGGTCAAGTTTACATCCAAAGGCTTTATCGAGGTCTACTGCGGTGTACGGTCGCAGACTGCCACCTCTGACGACAATGAACCCTCAGACCGAACGGTGAATATCGAGATCGTCATCAGCGACTCTGGATGTGGCATTGCCAACGACAAGCTCCAGGCAATGTTCCTCACTCTTGAGGGCTCCGAAGAGAGTTCGCAGGACTCGGGCGTGGGTCTAGGATTAGCGGTAGTTGCTCGTATCGTCGAACAGCTACAAGGTCAGCTGCGCGCAGAATCAGAGGAGGGCATTGGTACGAGGATATTGTTCTCCCTTCCTATGAAGGTTCATGACCCGACCCGTCCCAACCCAGCTCGGTCACGGGACTCTAGAAGCACTTCAAAGAAGACCTCTACTCGAAAACGTCGATCCAGCACCAAGTCCAAGGCGGCTCTTCGGTTTGATCGGTCACACGTGCCCGATATCGATTCATTCGTGCAAGATTTGCAGAGCAATCATCTTTGTGCTGCCCACGAGGACGATGAGAGGCTTGAAGCTGCTGGGGTCAGGATGAGCCAGCCTGGGTCGTTCCCCGTGGCCGACTCGAGTTTTCCCGTCATGCCAGCAAAGCTCTCCACCGAAGCAGAAGCTCTCGCAAGATCACCATCACCTGAGCGGCATAACGTTCGCCAAGGGTCTTTGAGATTCCGCCGAGAGTCCTCTGACCAGTCCTCTGACCAGTCCTCTCAGCCTTTCCCTCAGTCTTATTCTCAGACCTCTACCGTTCCCTCTCCCGCTTCCTCTCCCAAAAACACCGTAACCCCTTCCGACAGCAAACCTTCAGCCTCTCCGAAGCAAAGCGAACAAGACGCAGAGGACAAGTCCCAGCTTCGTGTCATGGTTGTTGAGGACGATGTTATCAACTCTCAGATATTGCAAAAGAGGTTGAAGATGGACAAGCATCTTGTGGTTGCGGTCACAAATGGGCAGGAATGTGTGGATTTCTTGAGAAATGACAGGGATATAGATGCGATTTTGATGGACATTCAGTGAGTGCGATTCAATCTATTCGAGGGTTCTTGCTGATGTGACTGCAGAATGCCAATCATGGACGGGCGGACTGCTGCCCGGGAGATTCGCAAACTCGAAAGAAGCGAAAGCAAGCCACCATCCGATATCACGCCCTTACTCGTCGACGGTCGAATACCTCTATTCGCAGTCTCAGCGAGCTTGTACGAGAGTGACAGGACGAATCTGTCAGAGAACTTTGATGGGTGGTTGTTGAAGCCTCTAGGTGAGTCGCCTTTACCCGTCTGGAGTGTTGCTGACGATGCCTTCTAAGACTCTTCGCGTATGCGCGCAATCCTGGCTGGCCTGCAAGACCCGTCAAAGAGGTCGGAAGAAGTGTACAAGCAAGGGAATTGGGAGGCGGGTGGATATTTCCGAGGTACGTCAAAGGGCCGTCTTCGTCCAGGATAGCTGCTCATACGGCGTACAGGGCCCGAGTCGGCTTCTTCAAGCCCATCCTCCTCACATGCGTCGTCGGACTTGTAGATTAGATTGACTTGGTGTTTAGGGGTGCTGCATTGTTTGAGGGCGATGATCAGGGGACCACCTGCGAATCCCGGGTGCCGTTGTTTTTTCTTTTTCCTCTTGAGTCTTCTGTCTTCTTTTTGTTTGCTGCATCAGCTAGGAGAAGAATACAAGTACAGGAGGGAGGAAGCATTTGCGGATTAGGGTGGATGTCTTGACATTATTGCGTACAGTCACATTTGTGGGTATCAAGTCATAATTCAAGTGGTGGTTTGAGCTTCAGGTGTAATATGTATTTAAAATGGTCTTCCCGATCTCGGACAACTCTGCTCCTAGCGCTGTGTCCGAGATCCGAAGCTGCGTTTTTCAAAAAAAAAAAAAGAGGAGATAAAATAAATCTACGAGGCGGGAGTTAGACGCTTATCTCTTTCATGCACGGTCCACGGATGCACGAACGCAACAAAAGTTTCATGCATCTCAAGCGTTCACGCAGAGCCAAAGTGCCAGAGGGCAGAGGCCATAGGCGAGAGATGACATTCCAGAAGGTGCCGATAGCCGATTGCCAATGATGGGGTGACTACCTTGCCGAAGTCTGACTGTGCCTGTAGTCTGTACCCCATATGATGACGATGACTCCAACAAAAGCCAGTTTCAGAAACATGTATAGTTTCTTCTTCCATACTATGTAATCGGCACATCTTATCCAGAAGCCAGGGATTAGCATCCTGTGCATACTGGACGCCTGGGATTCATCCATTCGTGCCGAGACGGCGAAGGAGAGTCGAGTGTTCGGTAGGTACTCGCTTGTGTCGACCTCATCATCGAACGTGTGCATACAATCTCGACTCTGAGCTCTGCTGACAAGTTCGGCGCACTGTCAGACAGCTATGGGACTTTTTGGATCAAGCCATGCACCATGTCTGCCCATACTCTCCGGATAAGCCGAGGCAAGTCGAGAAAGAGAAACGAAGCGGATACGTACGCAGTCGTGGTGGTGACTTGGATCGGGGAGACACCATCATGTCATTAAACACATAATCTAGCGCTGTTGACTTGTGGCTCATTATAATCCATCACATCCATGCTGAGTAGGTTAGCATACAGTGATAATAGTGGAGGTAGGCGAGTTCTTTGGTGCAAGAGACGATAGTTGAACGACGAGCGTGGCATAAAACGCCCTCCCTATATTTATGCCGATCCACAATTGTCGATGGCTGGTTCATAACCAGATCGTGCCTGGCCCATTTCCTGACTTGCGGGGTCATTTGGTCACAGCTCAAGTCGGGCTGGCCTGGTCCGTTTCTAATGCTTTTAATGCTGGGGTCTGCATTTTGTAATGCACGCTTAGTATGCCCGGGAAGAGGTGAATGCATCGCAGACTAGATGCTAATGGATGCCGTGGAAAAAAAGGGTGGTCATAAGCAATTCGATCCGGTGAGAGCAGAGCCCGTCCAAAGCCCGTCGGTAGTCTCGTCCTTGGTGAAGTCGTCTTAATTTGTTACCTTTTTCATCCAAACCTCTCGGCATCATTCCACATCTCCCAATCGCCCGTTTTCTTACTTGCATCTCTCTACCACCTCGCCCATCAGCAACACAACACATCCCCGACTGATCTTCCCAAAAAACTCCCCTCGCCTCTCCGCCCCTTGCGCTTCTGTCGTCATCTGGCGGCGACTTGGCTATTCTTGAGGCAGTCATATTCATATTATAATCCGACCACGGCGGCCCCGTGGTGCGTACACACATATCAAGCCATGTCCTACAATTACAGCGAGCTGACTGTCTACAGCAGGGATCATGTCAAAGTTACCACCAAGCACTCCCGACGCTGATCGCTCCCCTTCTCCATCCCATGACGACTCTCAATCCCCTACAACGATCGCAGACACCTTCTACTCTTTCCCCCATCGCGGAGACCGACCGGGGCATATCGTTGCCCCCGCCTACTCTCCCATGGGCTCCCCCACCGGCCCTCTGAGTCCTGCCCACAGTGCTTCAAGTTTTGTCTTTCCCATACGCTCCGTCTACCAGGGCATGGTCACGTCTGGTTCTCAAAGATCGGATGGGTCCGACCCGCCCCGCAAGTCGTCGGGGAACAGCACCCAGTCGTATCAATCGGGCAAGTCTGCTCTTTCGCCTGGGTGGGAACGTGATCGTCTCGAGGACCCTGACGCTGGCATCAAATCTATTGCGCAGCTGTTGCAGCAGAGCCAGCAGGGGCAACAGAGTCAGCAGGGTCAACAGGGGCAGGAGAGTCAGCAGGGTCAACAGATCCAGCAGGACGGCAGCGACACTCATCAATTGCTACCCCGGCAACGGCAGGCGGGTGCCGCTACCTACCACAGCAAGCACGATCGGGAACGAAACACATCAAGTGGTGGCGGGGACGGCATGTCGGCGCTATCGCAGTATGGAGATTCAGCCGTTGTAGGCGATCTCAGTACGCCTTATTCGACAGAGGAGGATGGAAGGAGGCCGAGTCTACCGTTTGTTGAAGCGCTGGCTGGTCTCGAGCTGGGTGGGGATGGGAATGGAAAAGAAGAGGATGCCAAGAAGGAAGAGACAGAGAAACCGGATTCCGATGGGGGAGAGAGACCGACGCTGGGGCACTCTGGTAGTGGCGAGACCGTCAAACAGGCTTTTGACGGCGGCGACGCCATCCACAATCCTGTGTCAACACCCGACGCCAGCGCCGGGCCAAGCTCTGCCTCGCACAATTATCGTCATTTTCCCAATAAAGATGCCCCCAGCCAAGCTACCCCCGACGCCGACGCTCACACCTCCCCTCGCCGCTTCTCATCAATCAAACAAAAGCGCGGCTCACCAGCTCGCACTACGCCCCACGCACCAACGCAACAACCAGGCGTCGAGCTACAACATCCCATACCACAACGCCCCTCTTCCCCATCATCAAAGGCGAACAAGGCGGCTGAAAAGAGCCGGAAAGCGCGAGGTACATCTTCGCATGGCTCAAAAGTCAGTATCGACGTTGACGAGTCTGGTGTCCGCTCGTTGATCAGTGATCTGAGCGGTATCGTGCGACTGGGTGACGTGGGATCCTTTAATGGGTCAAAGACGGGCACGGGCACAAAGGGTACCTCTGGTACGGATGGCAGTGTCGAGCATTCTGGGTTCAATTCTGCCAATGCGGACCACGTCCATGGCAGAGCCGAATTGCATGGCTCGGGTCCTCGGACAAAGAGAGCAAAGTTTACTGCACGCCAGAATAGTGTACGCGACTTTGTGCAAGATCAGGCCCAGACGACCAATTTGCAAGACCCGAATGCTCCCACTCCCTCTCCGACCCCACATGTGATTGAAGAGGCGAGCGAGCAGGAGGAGGGAGATGGGAAGACGCCATCTCAACTGGGAGAGGAGTTGTCGCTGCCTGCGACGCCTTCAGAGCTGCATCAGCCGTTAGGGAGTGAACGGACAGCCGGAGAGAGTCAACCGACGGCTGCTGGTGTTTCTGGGGATCCGGACGCCCCGGATGAGCCAGCAGTGACGATGCGTTTCGAACATGTTGCTACCGAGGAAGGGCACCATATCGTCGCCGGTCGAGAAGGGAATCTGAAAAAGTGTGAGGATGAGCCGATTACGACGCCGGGCGCTGTGCAGGGTTTCGGAGTGTTGTTGGTATTGGAAGAGGATGAGGAGACTGGAGACATGCCTATCAGACAAGTGTCAGAGGTGCGTGCTTTGAATTGAATTCTACATGACAGTCACTGACATAGTCTAATAGAATTCTACCGAAATCCTGGGACTGTCGCCAAAGTACCTTTTTAAACTCGATTGCTTCACCCGTCTTCTGACTGCCGATCAAGAAGATAATCTTCGGGACATCCTTGATTACCTCCCTGCTCTGGACCGATCCTCAGGCGAGACTGCCATAGAAGATGACGGACCGTCCGTCTTCCTTCTTACTGGATTTGGCGAGCCCGGCAGCGAGGAAGATGGCGAAGAAGGTGGCAGCATTGGTTCGAGTGCAGGCGGCAAGAGACGAGAATGGAGATGCTGGGTGGCGGCGCACAGGCCGGGACACAAGAACTGGACTAAAAAGGACGCGGATGGGAAAGACGTGCCGCCGCCAAATCTCATCATCCTCGAGTTTGAGCTCGAAAGAGATGTCTACAACCCTCTTTTCGATTCCGGTGAAGCCTCTACTGCTCCCACTTCCGCTGCTTCTCCTGCTCGACCTTCGACTCCTGATTCCGGAAACACTGCTAGCAACAACAGCGGCAGCGCTCGTACTGGCGGTGACCGATCGCTCGACAGTCTTGCGGGCAACGGTGCCGGACCTCGCGCCGGTGGCTCCAAAGGCTCATCATCAACAGTCAGCGAGTTCACGACCCTCGCCCGACCTCACTCATCCAGTCAAACTTCCTTCACCAGCATGCCCCCGCTTTCCGACGACCTCATGGGTCTAGAAGGGCTGGACATGGACATGTCTCCCGAGCGCATTATGGAGTCGACCACCAACCATGCCAAGCCGCTTCGTGCGCTGGAAAGGATGAGGGGAAAGACCTCGGAGGTGATTGAGGGAAGAAATAAACGGAAAGGCAGACCGCCTCGTGCCCTCACAGGGACCTCGACGGGGACGATGGATATCTTTGCTGTCCTCGGTCAGATCAATGACCAGCTCGGGTCCGCGCCCGACCTCGAAACGTTCCTCAAAGTCACTGTCGGTCTGGTACAAGATGTCTGCCGGTTTCATCGAGTCTTGATTTATCAGTTTGACGAGCAGATGAACGGGCTGGTCGTCTCTGAGCTCGTCGAGTGGGGCAAAACGACAGACTTGTATCGGGGGCTCAGATTCCCTGCGGCGGATATTCCACCGCAGGCGAGAGAGCTGTACAAGATCAACAAGGTGCGAATGTTGTATGACCGTAGTCTGACGACGGCGCGGATGGTGCTGCGACACAAGGAGGACTTGGATTATCCGCTGGATATGACACATTGTTATCTGCGCGCGATGAGTCCTATTCATATCAAATGTGAGCCTTCTCTTCTTCCAACTTATCAATGCTAATGTTTTCATAGACCTTTCCAATATGGGTGTTCGCTCGTCAATGTCTGTTTCCATCATGGCGTTCGGTCACCTCTGGGGTTTGATCGCTTGTCATTCTTATGGCCAACACGGCATGCGTGTATCATTCCCGGTCAGGCAGATGCTCCGTATTTTGTCAGACTCGATCTCGAGAAATATCGAGAGGCTGAGTTATGCGCAGAGACTTCATACGAGAAAGCTTGTGAGTCTTTGTGATGGCTATTCGCAGTATGGACGCTGACCTCACTTCGAGATTTCTACCGTCCCTTCACCCGCACACCCTACTGGTTATATCGTCAGCAATGCGGATGACCTTTTGCAAATATTTGACGCAGATGCTGGATTGTTGGTCATTGGTGATGGCTGTAAACTTCTTGGGCAGTGAGTGCTAGACGGGCTTGATTTTGTCCTATTGCTGATATATCTTAGGAACGACCAAGGCCATGCCATGTTGGCGATCGCCGAATACCTTCGTATCATGAAGTTTGGCAACATCAAATCCACCTCTTCCATCGTCCGAGAGTACCCCGACCTCCTTCTTCCCCGAGCTCCCGATACCATCGCAGGCCTGCTCTATGTTCCTCTCACCGCCAAAGCAGGCCAAGATTTTATCGTGTTCTTGAGAAAAGGCCAAGTGCGCGACGTCCAATGGGCCGGAAAGCCCTTCAAGGACGAGCAAACAGGAAAGGCTGCGAGTTTGGAGCCCAGGAAGAGTTTCAAGACTTGGACTGAGCGAGTCACGGGAAACAGTCGAGTGTGGACGGACGATCAGCTCGAGTCGGCCGGCGTGCTGGCCCTCATCTATGGCAAGTTTATTCAGGTGTGGAGAGAAAAGCAGTCTGCTATGGTCTCAAACCAGCTTACTGCCATCCTCTTGTCCAACACGAGCCATGCCGTCCGCACGCCGCTTAGCCAGATCATCAATACCCTGGAGCTGGCTTTGGCTGGCGATATCGATGCCGACGTGCGCAAAATGTTGGAGAACAGTCACCAGGCGTCTCGAGCTCTTCTCTTCCACGTGCACGACTTGCTTGACTTGACTCGTATCGAGACGGGCAACGAGACGGCCTTCAACGATCCGTTCGACCTTCGCCAGTCCATCTCTGAAGCTGTTCGCCTCTATGAGACGGAACTCATCCGCAGAGGCATCGATTTCCGAGTCAAGATTGGCGATGGTCTGCCTCAATTCGTTATTGGCGATGCTCGAAAGATCCGTACCGTCATCTCCAATCTCGTCGCCAATTCGGTCAAGTTTACACCTGAAGGCTTTATCGAGGTGTATTGCGGTCTACGGTCACACGACAATGGTTCCTGTACTGGCTTATCGTTCGACAACTCTGTACACATCGAGATCGTCATCAGCGACTCTGGTTGTGGAATCACCAATGAAAAGCTCGAAGAAATCTTTGTCACTCTTGAGGGTGCTGAAGAGGGTATGCAGAAGAGTTCTGGTGTGGGCTTGGGCCTGGCAGTCGTCGCTCGTATCGTCGAACAGCTTGATGGTCAGCTTCGAGCTGAATCCGAGGTCGGGGTAGGAACGAGATTCTTCTTCCACCTTCCCATGGCTATTCACGACCCATCCAACCCCAAATCTCGCTCATCTCGTGCCGGCTCAAGTCAGCGCGCCTCCCGAGCAGACAGCTCTAGCTCCAAATCCCTGGTATCTCTGCGCTCAGATGGTTCGGGTGTGCCGGAAATCGACTCTTTCGTGCAGGATCTCCAGGGCAGCCATATGGAACACGCACCAGAGGACGACGAGCGTTTGGAGGCTGCGAGGAAGAGGATGAGTGAGCCTGGAGTGTTCCCTGTCACCGACTCGAGTTGGCCCATCAGGCCTTCAAAAATGTCTACCGAAGCGCAGTCTGTCAGTCCTACATCCATGTCACCCGACAATAGCGTCCCCAAGCGAAAATCCCCAAGGCAAATCCAGGCTCGCGATAGCCGCGCTGCCAAGCGTCTTACTTCTGGCGATCCCAAGACCGATACGCATGTCCCTCAGTCATCAGTCGATGGTGCCTCCGCCCCGCCTCCACATCGCAGCAAGGTCGGTTCTACGGGAAAGACTCTGATGCGTATCATGGTCGTGGAGGACGATGCGATCAACTCGACGATTCTGCAGAAGCGGTTGAGGATGGACAAGCATTCCGTGATTGCGGTCACCAATGGGCAAGAATGTGTAGACTTTTTGAAGAGAGATCGGGATATCGATGCGATTCTGATGGACATCCAGTGAGTGAAAGCCGTTCGAAAAATTCTTTTAATCAACTGACATTCATCTAGAATGCCAATCATGGATGGCCGAACCGCTGCTTCTGAAATTCGCAAGCTGGAAAGCGAGGGCAAGGCTCAAATAGAGTTCGGCTCCTTTACTGTCGACGGCCGAATTCCAATCTTCGCCGTATCGGCAAGCTTGTATGAGTCTGACAGGAGCAATCTGGCGAAGAACTTTGACGGGTGGATGCTCAAGCCTCTTGGTCAGTATCGCATATTATCTGGCTGACTGTTGCTGATCATAAACACAGATTTTGCTCGAGTGCGCGATATATTGCAGGGATTGGAGTCTTCCAAGAAGAGGAAGGAGAATGTGTATCAGCAAGGTTGTTGGGAGAGGGGTGGATACTTCAGAAGTGCGTTCTATGTCCGGGTGGTAGATGGTCGCTGACATTTCTACCAAGAACCCACGTCACATGCTCGTTCGCCATCTGCTTCAACACCATCCACTTTGTCGCCGTCTGTCTCAACGCCGTCTGCTTCGACGCCATCGTCTTCATCGCCTGCTCAGACTACCTGAGGGCGAATAAAAAGCAGCTTTTTTCTTTGGTTCCTTTCTCTTCGATTCGTATTGCGGTTTGTCACAAGTGTATTCTGTATCTGTTACATGGTGGGGTGGGGAGTTTAGTAACGTATCAATCAGCGTTGTTGCGATAGACGTGGCAGTATCATCTTTCTATCTATCATCTCTTTTCGGGTTATTGGACATTTATTTTAGCATTTTCATCTTTCATCACTTATAGAAATATTCATATAGTCGTGGCAAAAATCTTAATTGCTCGTTGGGGCAACATCTTCATGCACGACCTTGCCATGGCCTTGAGCCCTTGTTTTGACCTCAAATCCCCCGCCAAATACCCACAATGATGCCAAGGGGCTGATCTGACGGCTCTGATACAGGTCTTCGCAGATACAAGTGTACTTATACTTGGGAGGAGCTGCAGGCTCTCTCACCCGGCCGCATGCACCCGGCTTCACTGCTCACAGCACACGAGTTACACTTCACAGTTCACAGCGCTGACGCGCCGACATTGGTTTTTCAGGGACTTTTGACTTTTCGGACCTGTTCCTCTTGTCTCAACCCTCGAGACATGCCGCCTTCCTCTGCTCTTCTGCCCGTCTTTTCTTCTGCGGGTGCAGCGGGTGAGAGAAGGTGTCGCATGTGGATAGACATGGGGCCGCACATGTGTATGCACCCCGCACCCGGGCAGCGCACCTTGGTGCATATCTGCTGTCTGCCTGCCATTGTGTTCATGTTACGTATGCAATCATACTTATCGCTGCTGGGACTAGAGTTGACGCTAGCCCCGTTGACTTTGCTAGCTTGTCACATCGAGCTACGTAGCATTTTCGATTGCTCGCACCATTTCATTTGCATCTTGTTCCCTTTTATATCTCTTCAATCTCCACCTCTTCTTGTCCGACTGCGTCGTTCAACAACCTCTCTCTGTCAATCCGATCCAAAAGTCATATACAAAGACTCTCCAGGCAGCGCCTTATTCCCACCCTCAAGACTTTACCACCCACCTCAACACCGCCACTCTTGAAGAATGCGTGCTTTTACCTTGCTCGTCTCTTTGGGCCTTATCAGCTCTGTCCTCGCTGGTACGTCTCTCGCCACCATCTCTCCCTCTCGAAAACTGACTCTAACTGCAGCCCCAGCCCCCCAGCCCGGCCTCTCCCCTCTCTTCTCCAAAGACCCTCTCTCCCTCCACCGCCGTTCAGTAGCTCCTGACGCCGAGGCCGACTCTGCCATCCTCGCATACGACCCCGACGCCGCCTCCTCCGACGACACCCTCTCCTCCCCTTCCTCCTCCAACTCCGAATCTGACATTCCCATTGTTGCCACCGAGCCTGAAATGTATGAAGTCGAAGAAGCGCCGGCGGAGGATGCTTGTGCGGACGTATGTGGTGTGACGAGAGTGGAGGGGGCGAGGAGTGAGAAGGAGGCGCTTTGTAGCGGACCGGGATTGAGGGCCACTTGTGAGTCCTTCTTCTTGCAAGACTGGGTGACAAAGCTGATCTTGATAATCAGACACGTGTGCCCAGTGTATTGATCAGACATGGGCCGACAATGTATGGGAAGACTCGGCCATGGCCGAGTATGAGAAGATTGCTTCTGCGTGCGACAACTCTCTCCAGCAGTGAGTATCTTCTAAATTATCATGTGATGGTGTTTGTTGGCTGATTATTCGCAGACCTATTCGCCGAGGACGTGCTTCTGCTTAAGAATACGCCTCTGCTTGAAATGCCTGGACCCCTTCGCCGTCGTACACGCCCATAGACCATCACTGTATCACCCACCAACTCCCATGCCCGGCGCCTGGAACAAGCTTCAGACGGAGACTCGGAGACTGAGCTCAGAAGAAAGAGGCTGGAAAGAAATTCAGAAGAAGTTTCTCTGGAAGAAAGAAAGACACGCGTGTAGTAATATAGTAGTCTTGTAGAGTAATGGTTTCAACATATACGGACAGTCGCTCTTGAAGGGCGATTGCCATTCTTTATAGTAGTCAATGCAACGTATTCACGTCCATCAGTTCTCCAAATGAGGTCAATGGTCAAGATGATATTTCATCTGAGCTATACTTTTGAAGCTGACTACTTGACCCGACCAGAACAGGAATGCGAGCAAGGCATGAAAAGCAACCAAGCACCACCAAATACCCTTTTACTGTAGAATTGCAACATTAAATGCGGAGAGAAAATGAAGAGCAAGCGAGCTTAGAGCCTCTGCTAATGAGGAACACTCTCAACATGCTCCACCCCAGCCTTCTCAATACTCCCCTGCCTCTCAATCCCCGAGCCCGAGCCCGCCTTCTCCTCATCATCCAACCCCTGCCCTCGCCCCTCCAACCCCTGCGTCTGCCTCACAATCTCCGCCTCCCTCTCCTCCTTCGTGATCGTCCCAAAGATGACATCCATACTCTCCAACGAGACACCTCCGGTCTCGGGCAAGAACAAGGCGAGGACGAAGGAGATCATGTTGACGGCGGCGAAGAAGAAGAAGATACCGCCGTGGGGCAGGTGGATGACCATCAGGGGGGTGGCTTTGGTCACGCTGGGGTCCGTGAGTGGGGGTTCTTGGGGTGGGTGAGGGGGGAGAGTGGACTTACGCAAAGTTCCACAACCACTGGGTAGCAGCGGCTGTCATGAGACCATAGTGTCGCGTTCGGTTGTTGAAGATTTCAGAGCAGATGACCCAAGGAAGAGGACCGACGGAGAAACACTGTTTGGGTATCAGTCTATGTCTCTAACGGTGGGGTGCGAGGGGTGAGACTGACGTAGGGAATGACGTAGAGGTAGATCAACACAGCTGTTGAACCGACAAGTCAGCACGAAACAAGAGGAAGTAGAGAGGGGGCACGTACCCATGCCAATGGAAGCAGGTGGGACCCCCTCAGCATCAGCAGCCGGCTGGTGCGTGTTGAAGACCGCTCCAATCTAGTCCACTCCCGTCAGCGCCCAGTCCGCTTATTGAGAGCAGAAGGAAAGAACTCACAATCCAGAGGAACAAGGACATGAGGCCAACACCGAGCAGCAAAGGCTTCTTTCGTCCGAATCGCTCAACACCGAAAAAGATGAAGAGGGTGGTCGCGACGATCTTGACGATACCGTAGACACCACTCGCCAAGAGACCGGATTTGCTTCCCTTCAAACCTGAGCGTGGCGTTAGCCATCTATCATTCATCCATTCATCCAAGGAAGGAGAGGGGCTTACCAATAGACTGGAAGATGATGGGCGCATAGTAAGAGATGGAGTTTTGCCCACTCCATTGCTGCAACGTAAAGATCACGAACGCAATGACAAATCGAATCGGGTTTCCCTTTGGAAAGATCTCCCTCCAGCTCGCCCCCTTTGTCGCACCCTCCTCCTCCTTGATCGCCGCCGCAATCTCGGCATACTCGAGCTGAACAGTCGGGTCAGAGACGGGCAGTTTGCGAATCCAGGCGAGGTTGGCGATGGCGTCGGCGTCGCGGTGCTTGGTAGCCAGCCATCGCGGGGATTCTTTGAGGATGGGGAGAAGGATGACCATGACACCGACGGGGACGAATTGGAATCCGATGGGGATACGCCAGACGATGTTGCCGCGGGATTGGTCCATGTAGCTGTGCCATGGGTTAGCGAGGGGAAGGGCGGGGAAGGATGGGAGGAGGCTTACGTGACACCATAGTTGACCCAGTAGGATATGGCGACGCCGACGACGACGGTGATCTGGAAGAGACCTGTGATACGGCCTCGGATTTCCTTGGGCGCGATCTCACCTGCAGATATTACATCATCTTTTGCTCGACAGTTGGAGGAAGAAGAGACATACTGGCATAAGCGGGGCAGACTGAAGACATGAGACCGACCCCAAAGCCAGAAGTGAACCTTCCGCCATAGACCCAGGAGAGCTGGGTGGAAGCGGCGGTTTGGAAGATGGCGCCGATGATGAAGATCCAGCAGCCGACTGAAGTCGTATTAGTAAAGCTTCAACGCTGTGTTATGTGGCCAAAGTGATTCGTACCCATGAGAGACTATTGGGGAATCAGCTATGATCCGGCATGCAGGAGCGGAATACAAGACTCACCCTCTTACGACCCAACCAGTCATTCAGCCAAGCCGCAATGATTGCCCCAAAGAACGCCCCGCCCTGGAGGATAGCCACGATATTACCTTTCAAATCCGCCACGTAGTCGTCGCTTCCTTCGACCTTGAAGGACGTCGCAAAACTCTCGAGGGCAATGACACCTCCACCGAGACCGGTGTCGTACCCGAAAAGGAGGATACCGAGGAAACCGACGGCGGCGAGGAGATATGAGCGGGAGTGGGCGTGCCAGGGGCGGGCGGCGGCGGTGGCGGTCGGGACGATGGAGGTTTCTGCTGCTTGCTGACGCAGCTTCCTGGAGCTGGGGAGAGTTAGAGATGGTGGGTGTGTGATGAGATGCGGGAACGTACCCGAATCCGACCATGTTGGCTAGATTGTTAGCTTGTGGTAGACGGGTGAGTAGATTCCGAGTTGATGATTGGAGCGAAAAGATGGAGATGGAATCGATGGAGAAATAAATGCGGGTCGATGTGATGTTATATACATAGGTCTGCTGTCCATTGACCAGGAAACGGCAAATCGGCGCGGAAAGTGAGCACCATAAACAGAACGGCCCGGCGGCCCCGACGCATACAGCGGACCGAGGAATCAATTGACAGATGAGGCGGCGTACGACAGTGGAGTGGCTTGCCCAGAGGACAGAGGGTCCGCCGCCAGCCGCCAGCCGCCAGCCAGTACGACGAGGTATCTATTTCCGTAGGGAGCCCCACAGACCACGGGCCCCATAGCAGGAGCCAAACATGCCGCAGATGATCACGGGGGTGGTTTGTGGAGTAAAACTTGAGAGCACGGGGTCCATCTGTCGCCCAGCTGCAAGAGGACTATACCAAAGCAGCCCTCGAGAATCCGATGGAAGCGGAAAGCTGAATGAGGGCGTCGTATGGAGGACCGGCTGTTGAGATTTCCGCCACAGTCGATTGATGGACTGTCACTCGTGACTTGCTGTTGAAATTTGGTTGAAATGATAGAAGCTCCGAGCTCGACGCGCCGGCAATCTCCCAGGCACCGGTCCGCCCAGCTGGAAAGCGTTTGTGGCGGTTCTTACTTCGTTGAACGACCATGGGCATGCATATGTATAACGAAAGCTTCCATCGTTCTTTTGTAGCACCAATGCATACTCGAGTAAGGACCTTATTGTGCCTTCACACATCACACATACCCTCGCTCTCCGTCTCGATGCCTCACGAGTCTGGGTGCCTGCGTGAAACACGAATTTTTGTGTCTGCACATAAAGTACATTCGCCTGGCCAAAGTCCTGCACTTTAAGCCCACTATAATACCTCATTACTGATACCTCTGCCTCCGACTCTTCCACTGCTCGAACTGAAATCTCTCATCGACCTCCTTTTTCAAATGATCCCAATACTCCTTCGCCCTCGACTTCGGATCCTTCGCACTCGGCTCGGTATACTCTATCACATCGAAAGAGAATTCACCCTCCAACCAAAAAATCACCGCATTCCTCAAATGCGCATAGACTTCCCTATCGCGCTTCACCCAGTCGGCGCTGGTGACCGGGTCGACAAAGATCTCATCGCCGTCGAGGATCGAGAGAAGACCTTTGGTGAGGAGGTAAAGTTTCATAGCGCGGGCCCAGCGGTGGTAGCCCCATCCGTCGAATGCGCGAAGCTCGTAGACTTTGATGCCGTCGATGAGGAGGAATGTGGGTTCGTCGGCTTGGCTGGTGGGCATTGGGTTCCCCATTGTAGGAGTATTGGATGATGGGGGAGTAGAGTTGGTGGAGATGAGGGGGTGTGAGCGAGCTGCCGTCTGACCGGCGGAGCACTGGGGTGAAAAGGCTGATGTGGAAGCCACCCATATTTAAGGGGAACTGGCGAAGTGGCAGTGAAGTGGTGATGTGGAACGCGTCGGCGACATCCGACCTGCCGTGTGATCTGATCTTTGTCTGATCTTCTGCTCTTTGCCTCTTTCCCATCTGTGATCTGGCGCCTGTCATACACACTAGATACACGCTGACATGACTGTGCATGTACTCGTACAAATCTTCGCGCAGATCAAGAGCCCGCCTCTACGGCACAACGATCCTCAATAAAACGGTCTCCCTCCCACACCGCCCGCTCTGTTCCTCTTATACACCTCCTCCTCTATCAAGTCCCAAAACCTCTTGGCCCTCGAATGCGCATGCTCCATACTCGGCTCCGAATAATCAACCGTATCACTACTCAGCGCCTTCTCCACCTCAAAAGCCACAGCATTCCTCAAATACGCAAACACCTCCCTATCCCTCTTCACCCACTCGGTACTCGTCGTGGGGCTGATGAAGATTTCATCTTGCTGGAGGATGGGCAGGAGGCCTTTCATGAGGAGAAGGGTTTTGATGGAGCGGGCCCAGCGTTGGAATGTGTACGCGTCGAGGGAACGGAGCTCGTAGATCTTTATACCGTCGATGAAGAAGAAGGGGAGTTCGCCGGCTGGGTTCATGGTGGGGTAGTATGGGGCTGTGAGGTATTGTCAATGATCGTCTCTAGGGCTAATGCAGATACGTACATTTCCAATTGGCGGCAGAGAGCTGAGGGTCCGAGTCATACGGCGGCGAAGAGGGAAGACCTGTAGAATGCGGTGGGCTCCAGGGTCTGTTGAACATGTCTGACCTTTGATGGGTTTTATAGAGAGGGAATGGATGGTGAACGTTTACATTACATGGATTCGAGCTCCAATCACTATATAGCCGCACGAGGTGTCATGTCAGGGGATGATCATGAGATAAGGGCCTATCCTTGACGAAACAACGAGGCACGTCAAGGCCACCGCCCCTTGTCGGCACGAGGCGGCCGCGTGTCCAATCCAAAGGAGTGTTTGTATAACTATGGGACCTATCGGGAACCTCGCCGTGATAAGTCAGGAGTCAGGAGTACATACATACATACGATCCACGTGTCTGTACAGGATTATTGATGGTATCATAAGTCGACAAATCATAGTAACACCGGCGCGATGATGACCTATGACCCCATGTCCTTGTCCCGTTCAAAGTCTTCGTGACCAGATGGGTTTTGATGACACTGCAAATACTCTTGTACGGTATCTTTCATCAGAATGACATTCAAACAATTAATAAAACAGAAAAATTGAAACTCTACACCAAAAAAAGAAACCATCGACCTCCTAAGCTTGTTATCTCTTCTCATTCCTTCTATCCTATACAACGTCTAAAACTCAAACAATTATTCGAAAAATTGAAACTCTACACCAAAAAAAGAAACCATCGACCTCCTAAGCTTGTTATCTCTTCTCATTCCTTCTTCTATCCTATACAACGTCTAAGACTCCCTTGCCAAAGTGACTCCCAGTAGCCGCCTGGAACGCCGGCACGCTATTCGCATCATACGTATCCGACCCTACCGTGTTGCCCCACCAGTTGAACGTGATGCCGTTGTAGGAGAGGGTAAAGAAGATGATGATGGTGGCGAGGGCGGTACCGGTGTCCATGGCTGCTTGGGTGAGGTCTATGACGGGTGGTTAGCTACTGTTTGAGAGATGAGAGAAGGAGGGGACGTACAGTTGTATCGCTTCCACCAGGCGAAAGCCCGGGTTCGGATAAGGTAGTTGAAGATGAATCCAAAGATGAACCACAACGAGTATTGGGCTATCTCATGGTCAGCTTCACAAAATCGAGCAGAAGACGAGAGGCGACGTACTGGTGTTGGCGGGAGGGATGTTACCAGCAGCGTTGAAGAAGATCGGCACGTTGACCAACCTGAGCCAACTGTTCGGGTATCGTCTGTACAGCAAGTACACCGCCACCGTCACCACAGGCTACACAAGTCCCATCAGCCATTGCTAGACCCCATGAGCAAAAAGGAGACTCACGCCGATAGCGAAGAAGTACATCAAAGACGAATACACTTGCCCATGCTGGAACATTCTCTGCGGTCCGATGGTACCCCAGATGATGGAAGCGTTGTAGACGACCTTGGCGCCGGCACAGGTGAAACGGTCTTTGTTGGTAGATTTGCAGAGATCTTGGATGTTGCCTATCATCCAGCGCAGTACTAGAGACGGGTGTCAGCAGTAAGTAAGTATGGAGAGAGGAGAAGAGGGACGTACCACCGGTTTGAGTCATACTAGCCAGAACTGTCGAGTAAAGCTGAGCAGCAAACAACGTCCTTGGTGGGATTTTCTACCATCCGTCAATCAGCATTTGTGCTTGAGGAAGGGAATTAGAGAGGGCTTACCATGTATTGATCAAGCTTCAAATCCATAGCAAAGTCCATTCCATGCTTGACAGAGTTGTAGCCATAAGTCTTGACCATCATATTAGCGATAGGTTTGCCGGGCCAGGCATAGCCCGCGATGAGTTCGGTGATGATATTCAAGAAGACTAGTCCCTCATTAGCGACTTGCTTATACAAAAACAGGGGTGGGGCTTACTTCTCTGATTGGTAGTCCCTTCCAAGATACCCTCCGGCACCAACAAGAAGACACACATCCCAAAGCAGACTACGATGAACCCCCAGACCGGCAACTGCGTATCCCAATACCTGATCGTAAAGATCCCCAGCCCAAGCACCACCACCGTCAAAATCGCATACCACCAATCTGGCACTTCCTTATACTCATTCATTAACCTCTTGTGGATATCTTCTCCGCCATGTTTGGCGTTTTTGAACTTGGCCCAGATTTCTTTGCCGTTGTAGAGGATGGTGTAGATGACGATGGAGGTGACGGCGGCGAAGGAGAGGGCGTAGGAGAGGGAGTAGGACATGGAGATGTACATGGGGGAGTATTCTTTGTATTGGGAGAGGACGAAGTCGAGGTTGGAGTCGATCACTCTGGTGATGTTGTATGTGCCGCCGGTGTTGTCGAATGTGGATGATGAGAGCAAGGGAAGGCTGGGAAAGAGTCAGATTGGTCGAGCCAAGATGATGAGAGAGGAGCTTACTGTCCGCTATACCAGACATCCTTGTAATAAAGCTGCATCCCAGTCATCAGTCAGCGTTCTCAATCTCTAGGATATGAAGGGCTTACGATAGGGGACAAGAAGAGGTAAAAGATGACAATGGTCGCGAACGCGTTACAAGTGATGTAGAACGGGGTCGTCAAAGGCTGGCCGGCGTAGGTGATCTGGGTCCAATCGAGACTGATCGGTAAGAGACCGAGACCAGAGTTCATCTACCCTTTGCATCAGCACCCACTCTCCTTCAATAGATAAGACACAGAGAATATGAACGTACGCCAAAGATGGTGTTGACTTTTTGGTTGTTTGGCGCAATCCACGTCGCAAACGCAAACGTACTCAAACTCGTCCAGATATAATCCGGGAACCAGTACCACACAAACGCTCCAATTGTAAGGTAGGAGAAGAATCGGTATCGTGTGATGGTCCAGCCGTTGGCGGGGGAGTGGTCTTGGGGTTCGTGCAGGGCGCGGAAGAGGACGGTAGAGGCGAGAGTGGTGGGCCAGATGAGGGCGGCGGGGTAGACTAGCCAACGACGGGAGAGACCGGCGAGGCCGAAGCTGAACAGTCAAGTCAGTGAGATGCTGTAGGGGAGGGAGTGGAGGAGCGACGTACCCGAGGGATTGAGAGGTGAGGAGGTAGAAGAAGGAAAAGCCCGCTCCCCAGTCTGACTCTCATATCAGCCTTGATCGTGTGACTGTCCTGCGTGTGAGACTCACCTCTGTCCCAGTACTCGGGGGATACGATGGCCACAAGAGCACCCATACCATACGCCGTACTTGCTGTCAAGTTAACACACTGCATCACAATGTCAGCGCGACACGAATGATAAGATAAAGAGACTGACGATAACGATCAAAGCGTGCTCTTTGATGGAAAACTTTCCAGGGTTCAAGTAGAATGAAAATCGCCCAAGAGGGATTTGCCATTGAGGCAATTTCTCCCAAGCTCGACCGATAGGGAAGACAAGCAATTGCGCGACAACATAGCCAATCGTCAAAGAGGGCTATCAAGTGGTCAGTATTTACCAGGGAAGAACGAACTGGGGGACCTACGTATCGGAGACCAAAGAATTGGTTCACACCGGCAAAGAGCATCACAAAGATTGTCATCAAGATCCAAGCTTGTCACGTGGCTGTTGCCACTTGACCAAAGTAACGAACCAAACACCCGAACCTCCACCTCCGACGTCCGCGTCAACCCCACATCTTGCCACCATCTGGCTATAACATCCATCCGTTCTACCTCCACGGCCGAGCTACACCAGCACCGCCTTCGAGCTCTATGCTTGCTAAGCCTTTGCGGGCAATAACGGAAATACGCGGAGATAGAGAGAGCAAACCCATTCCACCACTTTCGAGAACATTCTTTCGCCACCAGGTTCGCCGATGTAGTTGACTCTAGAGGATTCGACGGAGGATACGATGAGTAAGCAGACTTGAGGTGCCAGGGTATATAAGGACGTGTCTCCATAGCAGTAGATACTCCGTCGATCCACTATTGTTGTCTTCTCTAGTACACACTCTCTCTCTCACTCAACACTCTCGCACAAACGCTATCTTCCTTCGGCATTGGTCTGGCCACTCACTTCGAGTTCTCAGACCATTTCGTCTCTACACCTCGGCGACCTCTGAAGGCATAGCCTAAGGAAGGTAGCCCCCTGACAAAGCTCGAACGGCTACACAACTCGTCAGATATGGTCGCTGTCTGTCAAAGTACAAGACTCACTGTTACAGGCCATGTTCGGGTCATCCGTGTTGGGCACACAAGCCGCTACTTCTGGGACTATGTCAAGTCAGCTGCTGCTTCACAAGCCGCAACAGCACTCACAAGGCGACTGGTCTCCATAGACAGCCCAAGTGAACGCCTCATTAGGCGTGAGCTCTTTCCCTTCCGGATGGTCTGTAGACAAATATCGGACATTGATCTCTTCGTCAGAGTCCAGCTGCTTCTCAAGGTCGCTGCCGTATGTGTCCTTTTCCACTGATTTGGTGTCGATATCGTCAATGGGGCCACCGTCAACTGAGGTGTCGTTGATGAGGTGTTCCGTGCCAACGTAGGCGGCGGGCATGGTGGCGGTGTGTTACTTTTGCGAAATGAGTGGAGTGGGAAAGAGACATTTCGTATCCCGCCGTGGTTTATAGGACTGGAGGATGCCGATAACCAAAAACCCGGCAAATTGATTGGAGATAACGCCATAGCGTGCGATGTATACGTAGTTCCAGGACACAACCGAAGCAGCTCCTCCTGCGTCTCCCAGTCACTCCCAGTTTGCATTCCGCCTGTCTCTCGTGAGACATCTTCTGCTTTCCGCTGGGTGCAATGGCGGGAAGAAGGGTTATTTCAGGAGGTCGGAAATACCCGCCTTGGCAATGAGGAACCAGGAACGCGGCAAGATAACGTTGAATCTCGCCTTATCTTTGCAAACTTTGCCGCTTGATCATCATGATCGACCCGTGTCAGAGGTCTGTGTCGTATGAAACGAGTATATATGGAGCAGGCCATCATGAACAGGGCCACCCCCTCTCGAAAGAATACCCAATGGACACAGCTGACCACAGCACGCTCCACAGATACAAAATTTACCCTATGAATGCACATGAGACTCATACTCTCCGTCTGCTCAAATTCAGCGAATCACGCCAGCTGTTGCACTCGCGCCCATATGTAATGGCCGTCGCTCGTCATTTCCTACACGAATATCTCTCAAAATCCGCCAATGATATGCCGGGGATATCAACATCACCTCAACGGGTAACTATTATGCATGTGCTGTAGAGTCGTTTGGGCCTGACATCTTGTTACTCACATGGATGATCACATCCGTGGGAAATTGGGCAGGGTTCAGTGGTTTCTCACGATGGTATAACGGATGGAACGAAGCTCGTCATCGACTATAGTCAATCACCATCTCGGTTGTGAAAGGAGTCAAATGAGCTTTGTGTTCACTCGCTGACATAAATATCACCGCTCAGACCACGACTTGCATCCGGCTGTGACTGCTATATACAACAGCCCCCAAGCATCACCAAAGTTTGAGTAGCAGTACTCCCCAGCTACTACCACTTCTCCCCATGATCATCCAATCTTCATTGTTGTTTGGGCTCTCATCAGCCGCTCCTCCGGCTGCAGAAGCGACCTCACTTTGCATCATCATTGCTGCCTTGGCTCTTGTCATCAGCCGCGCTTGTGCCGTTGACAGTCGCGGCCCTCTGAAGTCCCGATCGAAGCGCATGTGCCACGGCCGCCTGAGTTTTCTCCTCGGTTGCGCGCAATGCATCATCATCAGTGATGGACTTGTAGTCGATGATCAGCTCGGAAGGAACTGTGACTCTTCCTTGCGCTATGTGCGACCTCGCCGACGCTCGACACGACTCCAATCTCGAGGTATATCAGTATCTACTTGTGTTCGGGGTGCCACATAAGCTGGGATGACTCACGCAGCCTTGACGTCCTCGGGGACGACGAACGCATCTTCCAGCCATTGTTTGCCGCTGTAGGAGTGGGTAGTCTCGACACTCGGGTGATGACCGCCAACACTTACTGCTCCGGAATACCTGCCAAAGTCTTTCCATTGCTGATTAAACTCCAAGCCAAGATTTCTGAGAAGAAGTTTAAGGATTCGCCAGAACGAAGACCTTCTTCATCTTCTTCCTGAAACCTAAGCAGATCCGCCGTTAGTTAGTCGCGCTTCGGCCATCACTATCCAACTTTTCCACAGGATCATAGAAGCTATCTAGTGACGCAAGTCACAAACTTACAGTCGATGCTCTTCTTGGCGTGAAGGATCATCAGCCAGGGCTTGACCCACACTGTTGATGAACCTTTCATTGAGCTTGTGAAACGTACATTCCGAGTAGTCGTTTCGTAGCATCTCGTAAGCGGCGTTCCAGCTCAATGACGGAAGTCTGGATTCAGCAGCACTGTCTATAGAAGAGTCCATGATGATGCGATGCGGTTTTGGTGAGGCCAATCAATCGTGATGAAGATTGAGAGTGACTTTGGGATGCTTCCACGCACATATATAATCCAGAGTAGCTCCCATATGTGAATAATGCTCCTAAGAAGGGTTGAGGAAATTCACCCTTTATTACAACTAACAGGAAACCGCCCCACGGGATGTACGTACGGTAGAAAGGAATCATCTCAACAAATGAGCCTGCGTGGCAAAGTTTCCTCGTGGATGGGAAAACAAATCAACCTAGGGAAGAAACCATCCTCTCGTCACACCACTCGAAGACTCGAGCCTCCCATCGTTTCGAGTCCTTCGGCGGCAAAAGCTAGAGCCTGTTATTAGCGAGGCGGTGCGGCAGCTCTGTACGGATTTCAAAGCGATGCATGGAAAAGAGGATATGGGATGTGCTTTCTACTACTAGCTGTCATGCCTCTTCTTCTTCAATCCTCCATAGAATCACTCTCTATTATCACCATCCCGACTCTCGTCTACCGCTCCAACAGAAAGAGAAGCGACCCCACCCTCTACCTCATCCACCGCAGCTTGTGTAGTATCCGCTACCGTCACTACTGAACGTTGACTGGCAGGTTCACCACCATCGTCGTCAGCAGCGGTCGGGCGTGCCCACTGAAGTCTGCTCTTCAGCGCATGCTCCACCGCAGCTTGGGTCTTATCCCTCGTTGCGTGCAGTGCTTCATCGTCGGTGATGGATCTGTAGTCTATGATCAACTCGGGAGGGACTGAGACTTTGCCTTGGTCGATGTATGATTTCATCAATGTGCGGCACGACTGCAATCTGCAGGAGGGAAGTCAGTAGTGATGGCGCCCAAAGTAGTGGGGAGATAGATCACTCACCCTTTCGTGAACTCCTCGGGTGTGTCAAACACCTCTTCCAGCCATTCCCCTTGACTGCACAACTGGTTTAGCCTCGAGCCCCTGACAGTGTACAAAGTTCAAAAGACTCACGGCTCTACAAGGTCCTTGGCGGTCTTTCCGTTGCTAATAAAACTCCAAGCCAAGGCCTCCGAAAAGAAGGTCAATGATCCACCGCGCTCGGCCTCAACTTCTTGTTCTTCCTCTTTCCATCTGATAAGCAATTAGCAAGCCGTAGTTCCAATCTGTCCTCTGCCCGCTCCCATTCACTGCCGGGATACAGCTATCGGATGCTCATGTGACAAAACGTACGATTTGTACTCTTCCTGGCGAGTAGGATCACTCGCCAAACCTTGTTCAAAAGCATCCATGAATCTGTCATTGAGCGCATTAAACATTTGTTCCGAATGATTGTTTGTCAACATATCTTCGACGGCATTCCAGTCCAGCGGCAGTCGAGTAGCAGTACCTGTGCTGCCTTCTGCAGATGAGGGGTCCACGATGTTAATGTCAGGCATGGTGGTTTAGGAAGAGATCGGGTTCAGTTGGATTGCGGGGATGGAAGTCGAGAGGGAATATGTCGTGCGTCTATGGTTGTTTATCAGCAGATGGTGTTCGTCCCATGCAGCAGGGCGGGTAGGCGTGTACTTGGGAAAGGTTCGGGAACAATGGATGGAAGAAGCACTTGGCGGACCAAAAGTCGCATGGTCGCGCATACAGCAATAATACGGTCAAATATGAAATCGTATGGTTTGAATAATTCACACTTCTCGCTGCTGTCCCTTTTCCCAGCTGTGAAGATTATGGGATGATCAAATCCTCGGATGATGACGAACGGAAAAGTTTGGGTTATGGCAAGATAGGCGTTAGCGTTCGACAGGCGAGCGAGGACCCGGGGAAGATCGTCCATGGGATCGGTGGCGAGTCGTTGACAGACGTGAAGCCAGACCACCCCATATGATTTTGAGCTTCCCCGTCATTCCTTTCAACTCACATCCTTCTCCAAGTCGGCGACTGCTATGCTTTTCATGAGCTAATTTCCAAAACCTTGCTCTTCCTGAGTCATCCGTCGCCTTGCAATTTCACAACCCCAAAGCCATCCATGCAAGTACAATAATCTAGAAAAATTAGACGACGGTACCGGCGTTGGCGGCAATACGGGGCCAGAGGTCGGCACACTCCTTGGCAACACTACCCTCTATCAGCTACCACTCATTTGGGAGGATGGGGTGGTACTCACGGTCCCTGGATAGCACTACCCTTCATCTCACCCTTGGCGTTGACAATGACACCGGCATTGTCCTCAAAGTAGAGGAAGATACCGTCCCTTCTCCTCCAGGGCTTCCTCTGTCGGAGGATCACGGCGGGCATGACTGTTCACCCGTCAGTCTCAAATGTTGAGGGTAGAGAGATGGAAAGTGACTTACCCTTCTTACGGAGCTCGGGCTTACCCTTCTTGACGGAAGCCATGACCATGTCACCGGCAGCGGCGGCAGGGAGCCTGTTAAGACGGGCACCGAAACCAATGACGGAGATAACGTAGAGGTCTGCACACACCAACGTCAGCTTTCGTCCTCATCCACGGAGAGAGAAGAGGAGACACACTCTTGGCACCAGAGTTGTCGGCACAGTTCATGACGGCACCGACGGGGAGACCGAGGGACATGCGGAACTTGGTACCGGCGGCAGCAGCTAAGACGGGGGGGTTAGTGGATGGTCGTGTGGAAGGGTTTGGGAGCGATGGGTGATGGGCGATTTCGGGATTTTGGTGGAATTTCGAGGTTTTTGTCGAATGTCGAATTGGTGTCGAGGGGTCGTATGTCGTGTCGTGTCGATACACTCTGAGTGCAGTGTCTCTCCCCATCCGCTTCATCGCCCCCACCTTCATTCATTCTCACATCATCCCCCACAACGCGTCCCACAACCTCGAATTCCCTCTCCGCCCCGTCCCTCGTCTCCTATTTCCTCCCAGTCGACGTCGGATTCCCATGTTCGTGTTGCCCATCACCCATGTTGCTGTTGTTGCTTTGCTGCTACTCACACTTGGCGGACATCTTTGCTGGTGGTTGTTTTTGACGGTTGAGAGGAAGCCTTCAATACGCTGTGACTTGCATCGAAAAGCCAGAAGAATTTCGCCGAGCGCGGGATTATAGCGTGTGGCGGAAGAAGTTACGTAACCCTTAAAAGGAACGATTGCGTCTCGGCGACGACCGCTGGAGTTTTGCGCGACGCGTCTGGCTACTCTACTCTATCGCGCTACGAAGCAACTACGAAGACACCCTGTTGCTGTTGCTAGAGGGGCTCGTATACCATGTCCACCCTCACCCCCTCGCTCGCCAACACCACCGCCGCTTCCTCCCCCATGCCTGCCTCCCCACGCCCTTCCAACGAGGGCGACCAGGCCCAGATAGCCTCCAAGGACGCGCAAGACGCGCAAGACGACCAGGAAGAGGCAGACGAGGATAAGCAGGTGGTCGAGAAGATGATTGAGGAAGCACAAGATGACCCTCAGGTGAGTACCGCGGGAGACTCGTTTCGTTGGATGTGGCGGTTGAAGCACACAAGGGTGTGTGGTTTGTTTGGTTCAAGATCGCTTACTGTGATGCTCCTTTGTCTTGCCTCTTGCTTTAATCGCATTACTTTGTCAATCTTCCACTCGTCTTTTCATCCATGTCCTCCGCAATGACCGTCTCATCCTATACACCCATCGACCCCACCGCTCCCGATGACCAACAGGCATCCGCCCGCGCCTCACGCCTCTCCTTCCTCCTCGACAAATCGACCATCTACGCCAAGATCATCGGCGACCGTATGGCTCGCCAGCAGATCGAGAAGCGCAAGGCGGAACAGCGAGCTGAAGTGAGAAAGGCCAACAAGGAGAAGAAGGCCGAGGTGGAGGAGCCTGTGGCCAAGGGGAGGGCCAAGGGAACGAGAGCAAGTGCGAGGGAGAAGAAGGTTGAGCCTGTGGAGGCGGAGGTGGAGGAGGTGAAGGGGAAGAGAAAGAGGCAGAGCGTTGGGGGGAGAGGCGAGAAGAAGGCCAAGGTGGAGGAGGAAGTGAGTGCTTCCATCTCTTCAAGTCACTTATTCACACTTTCCAGGCCGATGAAGCTGAACCCCTCGAGTCACCTACCAAACCTACCGGCGACGCCGACAACGAAGCCGAAGCCGAAGAAAACATCCAATACTCCTTCAAACAACCCGAGCTCGTCACCGGTGCCAAACTCCGAGATTATCAACTCGCCGGCGTGCAATGGATGATCTCTCTCTACGAAAACGGCTTGAACGGTATCCTAGCGGACGAGATGGGTTTGGGCAAAACTCTGCAGACCATCTCTTTCTTAGCGCATCTGCGCGCAAAGGGGACGTGGGGCCCGTTTTTGATCGTCTGTCCGTTGTCGGTTTTGAATAATTGGATTATGGAGTTTGAAAAGTTTACCCCTGATATCCCTGTTAGTCTGCATCGAAGAGGGCGGCAACATGGCTGACTTCCATCAGGTGATCATGTACCACGGTGCCCCCGACTATCGCGCCGAGCTCCGCGCAACCCGTCTTCAACCCCCCACTGCTACCCCCATGGGCAGCACTTCCGCCAAGACCAAGGGTCGTAAAAACACAAAGACCGGCGGCAACACTACGGCCTCGTTCCCGATTGTCGTCACGACGTATGATATATGTATGAAGGACAAGCAGTTCTTGAGTGGGATCATGTGGAAGTTTATCGTTGTTGATGAGGGGCATCGGTTGAAGAATCTGGATTGCAAGTGAGTCGGGTCTGTTTTGGTGTTGAGAAAAAGCTGACTTGGGGTAGACTTATTAGAGAGCTCAAGTCGTATACCAGTGCCAACCGGATGATCTTGACCGGTACTCCCCTACACGTACGTCCTCCCTTCTATGTAAGGTCCATTTGCTGACATCTCGACAGAATAATCTCGCCGAACTCTGGTCCCTCCTCAACTTTATCCTCCCCGACATATTCGACGACCTCGACTCGTTCCAACAATGGTTCAATTTCGACGAGATGAACAACAACACCACCACCGACTCTCTCCTCGACAAGACCAACGTCGTCTCCTCTCTGCACGCTATCCTGAAACCATTCTTGTTGAGGAGGTTGAAGGTGGATGTGGAGAAGGACCTGCCGCCGAAGAAGGAGTATCTGCTGTATGCGCCGTTGACGCAGATGCAGAAAGACGTCTATCAGGCGATCGCTACGGGCAAGATTCGGGAGTACCTTATCGACAAGGTAACCAACGGTGACTCTGGGGCCAACACACCGGTTGAAGAGCCTGAACCCGAGGTCGCAAGAGGCAAGGGGCAGAGGAAGAAGAACAAGGTCAATTATGAGATTGAAGAGAATGATAACAAGTATATCGATGATCTCGAGAGCGGCAAGACGAGGTCGACTGGGATCACGTTTACGGAGAAGAGCGCTACGGACGTTGGGAAAGAGTGGGCGCTTAAACAAGCTAGTACGTCCTCTCAATCTTTTCATGGCATGGCTGACGGTGGTGTAGCCAAGCGAGTGAACAACATGCACCTTCAGAACATCGTCATGCAACTACGCAAAATCTCGTCCCATCCCTACCTCTTTGAATGGCCGAGCGACCCTACCACCGGCCAGCTGGTGGTCGACGACAATCTGGTGAATGCGAGCGGTAAGATGCTCCTGTTGAACAGGCTCTTGGATTCTTTGTTTGAGAGAGGACATCGGGTGCTGTTGTTCAGTCAGTTTACGACCATGCTCGACGTTATCGTAAGTCTCCCATCCCTCCATAGATCCATATTGACGAAGAGTAGGAAGATTGGGCGACATCATACAAAGGCTGGGAAGTCTGCCGTATCGACGGCTCCACATCACAAGAGTCCAGACGGGAACAGATGGACTCGTATAACGCTGGCAGAGACGACCCCGACGCTTGCAAATTGTTCTTGTTGAGTACGAGAGCGGGCGGGTTGGGTATCAATCTCGTTTCGGCTGATACTGTCATCTTCTTTGACCAAGATTGGAGTACGTCCCACTTTCCCCACATCTATGGATAAGGCTGATATGGGGGGACAGACCCGCAGATGGACCTGCAAGCCCAAGACCGAGCCCACCGAATCGGCCAAACCAAGCCCGTCCTCATCTTCCGCCTCGTATCCGCCCACACGATCGAATCCAAGATCCTTCAACGCGCGGGCAACAAACGGAAACTCGAAGAGCTCGTCATCTCGCAAGGCAAGTTTGGAGCGGTGGTGGATGAGAATGGGAAAGTGTTGTTGGGGCGGAAAGGGGAGAAGGGGGCGGGAGGGGCGGGAGGAGGAGGTGGGGGGAAGGAGACGGTGGCGGAGATGGCGAAGGCGCTTTTGGCGTTGGAGGGGGAGGAGATTAATGTTGCTTCGAAGGATGATCAGATCATCAGGTAAGTTTCCCTCACTTTTCGTGCAAGCCCGTACTAATGGAATAATGTCAGTGACGCCGACCTCGACATCCTCCTCGACCGTTCCTCCGCCGCTTTCGCCCGAGAAAAGGGCTGGTCTGCCGGTCTCGGCAAGACTGGCGCCGACGGTGGGGCAGAGCAGCTCAAGAAGGGCGAAAAGACATTGTTTGAGGTGTTTGAGAGCGCAAAGGAAGGGGAGGGAGGGTTGAGTGGAATGTTTGGGGGTACGGAGGAGGTGCAGTAGACTACCACAGTCGGCTTTTGGTTTTATAAAGCGAAGACTTTGCTTTTGTTGTGTTGTTACTTTTGACTTTTTACCTGTCTTCTCTTGGTACTCTGATCCCTTTTGGATGTATACACAGTAGTAGATAAGTAGATAGAAAGAATTTTTTTTGTATTTCGACGTATGATATGCGCGTATTCCATTTACTTAGCACATTTACAGAGGATATCGATGAACAAAGAGGATGGGCATGTGCGAGGAGGAAATGAGTGTAGGGCCACCGAGAGGATTTGATGGCTAACACAGATCGGGCCAAGGATGAGACGTCTTCGGCAATAGCGAGAGGGATATACACGATACCCTAGGCGTTGGTACTACACAGAGACGAGTAATCACCAATCACCGACGGAAAGAGGAGAACTGGACGTTTCTTCCGGATTCGGAAACATGTTTGCCGATCAACTGTCGAGTGTCGATCCTCGGGTGATGTTGAACAGTCTTATCAGGCCGTATCATTCGCGGGTGATTGCAAGGATGGGTATCTCGCCGGTGGTGGCCAACAGGCAGGTTCAGTATTATATGTAGTACCTTGGCTTCAGTTGTCCTATAGGGCCTGCAGATAGCAGCAAGGGGCAATTAGTAGCAGCAGGGCCACATGCAATCGAATGCACTCTCTTGGATGCCGACTATTCAGGATGTCCGAAAACAACACCAACGAAACGACCGACGGAAAGTAGTTGTCGCAGCAGGGCAGGGCTTGGCAACTTCTCTGATCTGAGCACACCATACAAGCGGTGGCTGCCCTTCGTAGGCCGTCGAGCATCATGGGGTATCAAGTTTGGTGATTGCCGTGCTACTCCTCAGCGCAGTGTGATGGCGGCCCACATAGCAGTTTTGGAGCTGGGACCTGCCAAGGTAATGCTGCACAGTACTTGCCCTAACTAAACATGCAACAGGCGCTCAGTTGGCTTACGAGAGATGCAAAGGAAAGGGTGGGCGTCTATTCATGAACGGAAGACCTTTCCGTTGCCATCTCCCTCTTACGGCGTTTCAGATTGGTCCCCGTGCCCCCTTAGAGTTATCACCAAAAACCCCTTTCGGTCCCCCGAACTAATCAACTGCTGTACGTTTGCTTATCTCGATTACAAATACGCGTAAGTTTCCCTGCAGGGGTATGTGCGATATGTGTATGTAGTGTGCTCCACGCTGACGGGCCCGGCAGAGCAAACGCCGCAAGGGAATCCAGGTATGCCCACGGCGAATAAAAGTAAGTAAAGTATGTATGTATACAAGTACTGGTGACTGGACGGTCGCAGAGTTACGCGTCGGTCAGGTTAAAACGAAAGGTCCCGTACACTCAGGCCATCTCATCTCGTCTCACTTGTCCTTTCTCTTCATCTTCGTCCACAGCGACTTGCCATATACACGGGTAACTCCCGTTCACCCCCATCACCACATCGCCCTCTGCCCCCTTCTACAGCCAACTATGTTTCATCACGATTTTCACGACAACCTCCCTCTCCACCTATATTCTCTTCCCAATCCCGTACCACAGCCTCAAGAAACATCCTATACTCGCCACGATCCCACTCAAGACACGGGCCTTGGACCAAACACCAGTCAGAGGACGTGGGATACAACTTTTTGGCCCCCTATTCCTTGGGGCCTTTCGACTCTTCCTACCGCTACCGCCCAAGCCCAAGTAGACGGGGCAAGGCTCGACCCATATTTCGCAGGCGCCGACACGCGCCAATCACCTCCTCGACCCATCCTTCAGCAGCCACTCTCCCAAGGCAACGCCCATCACGACCCTTCACTGGGCGCCTTTGATCTCGAAAACCTCGGTGACTTGTAAATCCTCTCACATCAATGTGTAAAAGTCAAAGGAGCTCATATCAACTAGACACCGCCCCCGACCTTCACCATCGCCCGCACCTGCCCCCACCACCAACTATCTCGACCAATATCTGCCCGAGCATCTCCAATTACCATGGGTCATAGCCTCTCCTCCAGTCAAATTTGTTGCTCCGTAAGCCCGAACTCTTTGTCCTCGGTGTATCGCGAAAGAGGATCCAGCTAACGTCAAAACTTGAAAGCGCGCCGGTAAGGACAGAGTATGGTGACCGATATCATCAGCTGTTACAGACGAAATTGTCGGACTCGCCTGTGACGCCGTCTACATCATTTCTTGGCCCTGGGCCTGGGGGAGAACCATGTGCGTTTGGGCAGGTTGCGACGAATGGTATGTTCTGTCTCATTTCACATGACGAGTGTCCCAATTGATAAAGGTGTTATAGCGCCTGTGACAGACTTGAACGTTGGAGAACGATTTGACGAGTTGCTAAAGATGAAGTTGAGGTCGTGCATCTCGGACCCGTCAGCCTCTACATCTGGGGCGTCTGGCCAGAGTGAACGGGCAAGAGAGAGATACAAAATCCACGCCAATCTTCGCCGGAATATCCTCGAAGACGGCTGCGGCATGATGTCTAGCGGGGCTGTACCTACCGTCGTCCGGCGGGGCAGTTTCGCAAGGCTCGGTCAAGATATTGGTCTTGGTCCTGACGTTGGTGCTGGGAGTAGAAAGGGGAAAGAAAGAGCCTGGACGTATGTAATCTCTCTTGACCTTGAATCGATACATTCACTTACCCACTCTGGGACAGTTATGACGACAATACCATCTCTCCTCCACTCTCCCGCCCGGTCTCTCACTCGCCTGCGCCAGACTTTGCAAATCCGCAAGCATGGTCCGACCGTCTCCCTGCTCGTTCCGCACCGACAACGGGGATGGATCCAGGGTATCCCGAGACACTCTTCTCAGACTATCTTCCTCGGCCTTTGACGCAACAAGAGACGCATGTACGTCCTGTTCTCCTCACAAAAGAAGCAAACACAAGAGAGATAAGCAGGCTGACGTACCGTATAGCAAGCGTACCCCCAGTCATTATCCGTACCGCCGTCGACCTCGTACGAGCAGAGTCAAAGCCTTGATGTACCCCTCGAGAAGAGCATTGGGTTTTCAATATGTGGCAATCACGGTAGTCAGTCTTCGTCGCACTGGGACATGGCCGCCGCTGCCGATGACAACACCGAACGCCGAGCTTCGTTCTCTATCTCCCCACCATTGCCCGCTCACCCATCCGTCCGATTCTCATGCACGCCCACCCACCATTCTCCTCCTCCTGCGCCCTCGCGCCCTGTTTCTTCGCTTGATACCGCCACCAAAGAGGCCTCCACCTCATGGCAAACCCCAGACCCAGATACACCCCCTGTCCTCAAGATCAAAGTCCACAAACGCAATGTCCTCCCGCCTTCTGCCCATGAATTGGAGGATGCGGATATCCATCCTGTTATACGGATGATACCGTCTTCGTTCCCGCTCTTGCATGGCGGTGGTGATGGATGTTTTCGTCCTTCTTTTGGGGATGGGGAGGGAGATGATGGAGAAGGTGATAAGGAGGGGGAGGGGATGGAGACGGGGATGAGGAGGGAGCCAATTGTGAAGAAGCGTGAAAGATCGAGCAAAGGCGAGCGGAAGGCCTCTTCGCTATTTGGCGATATCGAGAGTCAGAACGAGTCAGAGGAAGGCGAGGGGTTTATAAGGAAGGGCAAGAATGGGCGAAAGATCTATGCCAAAACTTCTATTGCTTGCAACTATTGTCGGGTCAAGAAACTCAAGTAAGCTTCATGCCCTCCTCGTCTGCTTTTGAAAGCCTATTCACAAATTGTATAGGTGTGATGGTGTTAGACCGATCTGCTGTCACTGCGCGAAACGAGAAAGCACGGACTGCGTCTTTTCCGCGACACTCCGTCGCCGAGGTCCTGCGAAGACGGCACGTCGTGGGGGTGCGCAGAAGACGGCATTTGCGAGGGAGGAAATGTCTTTTCCGGATGATGACGAGGAGGCGGGAAGGGGAGGAAGGATGGGAGCGAATGTGTCGATGTTGAGGGATGATCCTCCGCTGGGAGGGCGAGGGAAGATAGCAGGGTCGCGAGGCTCGAAGAAGCGAGGGAGAGCAGGAGGAGAGCAGGAGAGAGAAGATGCTCGAGATGCTGGAGAGTATCTTCCTCAGCGACGTCGTTCTTCTCGCATCGACGAGGATGAACAGGAAGGGGATCAGGAAGAGGGAGAGGATGGGGATGGAGAAGAAGAAGAGGATGAGGTCGAGGATGCTGGAAGAGCGAAGCTACCGATGTCGCAGTCAGTCAGTATAGGTGTGACGCTACCGACATCGGGAACGAGAGGTGGATCGAGAATTCTGACGAGGCGAGCTTGGGATTGAGGGCGATTCCCGGTAAGCGCTGGAACAGTAGGGTGAGCCTTTGGGTGCAGTAGAGGTGTAATGGGAGATGTAGGTAATCGATAGATTGTAGATCACTGTAGTATACTCGATAGTCAATATATTGTATAGTACACTTGAACATGTTAGCATCCGGATGATGACTGGCACCACGATCGGTCAATCTATGCCGGCGGAGCATGTAAAGTACTTATCATTGTGACCCTGCTGCATTGTAAAGTATAATCTCATTCACTATCATGTGTGACCTGGTGCCCTACAAGCACCCCCTGACTTTCGATCGCCTCTCTATACCGCAGCTTGAATGAACAAGAAAGAGCACACAAAACCAACACAAAACAGTCGCGCTTTGTGCGAGTCGACCTCCACTCTCGCGGGCCAGGTCGCGGCCGACTGCCGTTTCTTGTCAATTTCTTGTGCGAGTGCAAGGAATGTCTTTACATCTGTCCCTGGGCTTTTAGAATCTCTTTTCTTCTGCATGCGGTATCCTAGATTCCCTCCTTACACCGCACGACATGTTCTCAGATGCTCGGCCTTGGTGGGAGGAAGATGCCGAGGAGGAGACCTCGCAAGCGACTGCGCCAGTCCAAGCTGTCACCGACCGCAAGACTCGCACTCCTTCCCCGACAGCCGGCGAGGGGCTATCCTCAACCATCAAGAACAATGACGAGTCAACCTCCCATGATGCGCCAACCTCTAACGACGAAACGGCATCTCACGTCGAACCAGCCTGGCCCACCTTCGACGACCAGCCCACCTTCGACGACCAGCCCACCTTCGACGACCAGCCCACCTTCGACGA